CCCCCCCCAGATCTGTAGTACTTAGCCGAATTCGATTATCACTGGTGCACTTGGTGGTTTTTGGCCATAACGAGACCGCTTCGTTGCCAGATTTGGGACCGTTCGTAAGGCGCAATCATACTCTTTTCATCCTCGATTTCGCTACTTTTGTTTCTGTGCAAAGACTCTAGGGCGTGCCTAGCCTTGTATATCTTGATTCGGTATCGTTGTGTAGAATTGTACTTGCAGATGCCAGACTTGTCTGAATGCTTGTTGGTACGGCGGTTAATCCGAGTTCGTAGCTATCTAATTACAAAAAGAGCTAGCTGTCTGAATGGTCGAGAACTTTGTGGGTAGCTGGGTACCAACTGACGAGGGTGCCAAGCTTTGTCGGCTGAACTTTCATCCTAAACACCGGTACCGGGCGATTCTTTGAACTACAGTCCAGTGCAGTAATGTTGTTGATGTGGTGAGCGCTGGCAATTCTCGCTACTTGTAAGTACTGCATGTCAGAAAAGTCTTCCCATGATAGCGATTGCATGGCTTGAAGCAGCAAGGAGGGCTGAGGTACGTCGTTCTGCTATTCTTGATGCTTAGCTCTACTCGGTTCCGCCAAAGAACGGATCCGGGTTAACTAGTGTTATAAACTATGGCGTTGTCATGAACTCGAGCAAGACGCAGCGCGAATTCCGTCAGATGAATCACAGACGTTCTAGCATAAGGAACTCTTCCTCCCTTGACACGAGTTCAACGCTGGCCTGCACTACCACAGAAGAGCAAAACAGAGACTAGGATGAATATTGCGTACTCCTCCGCCCGAGAAGCTCGAGTGCGCTTTCAATCCTCGTATCTCCGCCTTGTACAGTGTAGCCAAGGCGCTCCGTTTCGACAAGCGACATAGTTGTGAGATCAAGGTCGCGAGAGATATCGCAAAGTGTGCATAAATCCGAGTTTCCATTGTGCTGTCCGCGACTAGCCTGCAGTAGTATTCCAGGCTTCGATCCGATACAGCAAGCGAAGCCGGCCTGATGGATATCAATTGGAGTGAAGTCCTGCGTCAGCACTCACTCATCCTCATCCTCCAAACAAGCTGCAGCCTGGTTCATCCACAGCGAGACCTCGTCGACCTTCTCCACTGCTTCCTCCACTTCTTCTCTGTTGTTGTCAGTCAACATCGGAACACTACGATCAGAGCCCTTCTTCGCAGCAAGTCTCCGCGCAACCTCATTCGCCTCATTGAGAGTGACCAGTCGTCGCTTGGCAAGCCCCTGTGTCTCGAGCTGAGCCTTCACAGCCTTCAGCAGGTCCCAGACCTTCTCTTGGGACGTGCGGCGGTCCGCGTCTGGTTCGTTGATGAAGTCCTGGGGGTCTCGACTAGTAATTTCGTTGTTGAAGTTCTTTGGCCAGCCATGCTTGCGGACACGGCGCTCTGGGAAGTTGTAATCACCTGGCAGCGGAGGGGCATTGTCACACAGAGCTGCAATGGCACCGTCTTCTGCCATCTCGTACGGCGTTCTGCCGGTCGCATTCTCACGTAGTGCCAGGGTTGGATCATGCTGGAGCAGAGTCTCCGTCAAGGTCTCGTTGTTTTGTCGTACAACAACATGAATCGGGGTGTTGCCCTCGCCATTAACGAAGTTAAGCTCCTGGCATTCGCTCCACGTGAGCAACTTTCGAAGTACTTGGTCCGCGTATTTATCAATTCCATAGCTTTCGCTGACTTGCTGGAGCCATTGAGCGATCGGAGTCAAAGAGCCAGGGTGTCGGGCGCTGCGTTCCGTGAAGAGTGTGGGCAAGAGTCGCCTGTCAATAAGTTGCAGCATTCTCTCAAGCCGAGAGAGGCCTTTGTCGCCCGAAATAGTCCGGTACAAGAGACCATGTACGAGATTTTCGCTGGCTGCTGTCCGTATGGTCTGATCAGCCGCCGCATCAATGAGCATTTTGGCCTCCTTCTCCCTCTGGAATCGGAAGCAAAGCATCAGCGGCGTGAAACCGTCCTGCGATTTGAAATTCAAAGACTCTGGTAGGGCTTTGATCAGAAACTTCAGCATCGCCTCAGTCTCCGGTAACGGCTTGGTCAAGAGGCAGCAGTGGATGGCAAGATTGGCTTGAGTGTTGAGAAACTTCGCCACTGTAGTCTCAAAGCCCCTCTTGGCTTCGGCCAGCAGCTTGATTCTCTTGTCATCCTTGTTCGTCTTTGCAAACTCCTTGTAGGCGCGAATGGGTGCGTCTGACAAGAACCATTCGACCATGTCAATCGAGTTCGCACGGCAGGCTTCCAAGAGGGGAGGACGATGAGCTTCGAAGGGCTGATGAGTTTGCTCTCGGCCGCGATCAGCCCAATCCTTGCGCTTCTTGCCATACACGGAAAGGCCTTGATAGTATTTCGGCTTTTCAACTACTTCGACTCCTGATTTGCGGACGAGAGCGTCAAGTGGAATACCGGCACCAGTGCGCTTGATGATCTCTGCGACCAAATGTGGCCGATCAAGCTTGATGGCCTCCAAGAAGTCATCTTCCTCGATGGTAAAGAAGCGTTTCGCACTCTCATCATCTTCATCAACATACTTCTCGGTGTACTGTTGGCCAAGGGACAGCAGCGCTATGAGCAAGTCTTGGTCGTCCTTGTGCAGAGCGAATTGGATGAGATTCTGGGGTTCACCAACAGTCTTGAGCTTTTCGGCGGACAGAAGCTGGCTGGAGGCCTTCAACGACCCTGTGTTGGTCCGCTTACCAGCCATCGTGTGCTGTCGACGAGGTCCGAAGTAGCTGAACCCACTGCTATTAGCTGGTGAGGAACGTAACGGTCCGCCTAATGGGAAGGAAGGTTAGCACAGACTCACTACTACCGGAAAGCAAAACAGAAACTAGGACTGAGGATCTGCGCTCCTCTGCCCGCGGAACTCAAGTGCCTTTCGAGCCTCGTATCTCTGCCTTGCGCAGAATAGCTAAGCCGCTCTGTCTCGACAAGCGAGGCGGCTGCTGAACCTGCTTCGCGAGGAGAGATCGCAAAGTAAGCGTATTTCTCCAGTTTCCGTTTTGCTGTCCGCAACTAGCTCCGTACCTCCTGCGATTGACGTCTGTCGAAGGCTACACGAGGGAACTTACCAAGGAAGTCGGCCACTGGAGCTTGCCAGAGAAGCATGGACAGTGGCTTGACTCGGCTCTGGACCTGCATCGACACCTCGCCCACATTCTCCACCGTGAAGTTCTCATCCACAATCTCAGAGTGCAGTGCGATGTCTGAGCCCACTGAATCATTTTCACTGTCGTACTCACTATCTCCGCCGTCAATGTTGTAGCGGCAATTCTCGGTCTTCTCGACAGGCTGATATTGGGCTGCGGCGATCTCCATAATCGCTGATGCTAGCTCCAGATTGCCCTGCAGGACCGCAATATGGAACGGGGAAAGATCAAATAGATCCTTTGTCGCTACCTTCAGAGGCGGCTGATCTTCTCCCTCTCCATTCTTCCATGGCGAGAGCGTCAACTCCTTGACCGCTTTCAGATCGCCAGACCATGCAGCCTCAAAGAGCTTCAGATAACGCGCTTGAGCCTCGTCAGTCAGATCCGGGAGCTGGAAGGAGAACTCCAATTTGAACGGCTGCGGTTTCTCGGGAGTGTAGCGGTGGTGGCGATAGTGATGATCTCGGTCTTCAGGATCTTTGATGTCTGGGTAGAGTTCCCGGAAGGTCTTTGCATTGCGTTTCACCAGTGTGGCCTCAAGCTCTTCGTAGAGCGTGATCAATTCCTGGATTGCAGTCGTCTTTGCAGTCGTGTCCTTCACTTTGGTACGTTGCTCTTCGATAGCTTTAGTGTAGTCCTTCAGTCCCTTTCCGTATGAGTCCTTCGCGGCACGGATCTGCTTTTGGGCGCACCACCACTGGTAGGAGCCTTCTGTGAGCTCGGAAAGGTAAAAGTCGTCGTTCTTGAGCTGGATTGGCTCTTCCGGCTGGTCCTCTTCGACAGGCTTCCATTCGCGAAGTTCTTTGATTTTCGATCGAACGCAGTCTAAGAGCGACTCTCCTTTGGTGTATCGTCTCGAGTACTCATCGTGCACAGCTCTCCAGCCGTGCGTGTCTATGATATTGATGTCAACGCCGTGCTGCTCAATCAGTATCTTCGCAACGCTTGGCACTTCATGTAGTACAGCGCTGATTACAGGCTGCTGAATGCTTTTCTGTGAATTATTAGCATTTGTAGAGAGGTTGTTGCGAATCTCGTAAACAGCATTTGCTGTGGCCATAATCAGCTGCCAAATTGCTTACCTCGAACTCTTCCCTGTTTCGTTTGGAATCCGAATTGGGCTCGCGGTTCGAATGATAAGCCTTCATGAATGCACTGAAGTCAACATCTGGTCGCGCGCCATTTGTCAAAAGCAACAGTGCAACAAGACTGTCCTTCGCAATAATTGCTTTCATAAGAGGACTAGCCATGCTAGGATGCCAGTGCGAGCCGGACACAGCTAAGTGATTGATGGCTCTCGCGGCACCCGTCTTGTCGGTGTCCAGCAGCATCTACCAGGCGTTAGTCATTTGCTCTTAAAAAATCCCCCTTGGACTTTTGCACAAGACGAGCCAAATTGTCTTGGCTCCCGCACGGCGTGGGTTCGTCGGCGGAGACATTGGCATTTAGGGAAGCATTGCACAGATAGTGACTTACCTGAAGCATCTGCGGCTGCTCAGCAATACAATACTGCACCACGGTGTTCTGCTGCATATCCGCCTGCGATATGGTGGCTCCCAACTCGATCAGGGTTTTGGTCATCATTTCAGCTTCTACGAGAGGCAGTTGCAGAGCGAGAACCAATGTCAGTATTGCGCCACGAGCTGACCTGTCGTGATCATGGAGAAGCTTCACTGGCAGCAGAATATCAGCGCCGAATTCCGTGACCAGGCAACGCACAACATCGCCATGGCCTTTGATGATTGCCAGATGTAACGGAGATACTGCAGTATCCCACGCCACAACGTTGACATCGTAGACGTCGGGCTCGTCTTCTTTCTCTTCCGCAGATGTCAAAACGTCCTGGCTTTCTTCCGAGGCTGGCGATTTAATATTGATCATCGAATTCTCCGTAGTCGCATCCATGTTGTCCTCTTCCTCGGCGTCTTCGACCATGTCTACATCGGAGTCGCTTTCCGGATCAGTGGTCTTGGACTCCAGTGTTGCATCTTCCATGGCAGCATCAAGCCCATCATTTCGCGCAGCAGCACGAGCTTTGCGCTTTGCGTCACGCTTGCTCTCTTCCTCTTCTTCGTTCGCTGCACTCTTGCGTAACAAGGCGGAGACAATTTCGACGCTGCCGCGCATGGCAGCAAGGTGAAGCGCAGTCTTCCCGTCCACGAGTCGTGCCACAATGCGAGATCCATGAGAGATAAGGAGCTCGACAACTTCAAGAGTGGAGTTGGAAACAGCGAGATGTAGTGGTGTTCGACCAGTGTAGTCACGCGTATTTGGGTCGTTGCCTTCTTGCTCAAGCCAGCTGCTTACAAACTCCGCGTCGTGATCGACTATAGCTCTGCACAGCTGCTCTGTGTTGCCCACATAGGCCATGTCTGTCCAACCCTCGGCAGAGATGGGGTTGAAGGAACCAATAGCTTGTCTCCCTGGATTGTCGACCAGGAATTTACCTTTGATGTCGCCGGAGACATAGATCTTGCTCTCTTCTTCGGCGAGTTCCTCCTCCTCTTCATTGCCTGGAGACGGACAGTAGCCACAGCAGTCTGCGAACACATCCTCAGCGCGGCCAAAGAACGCTGGGTGCCTGTGTAGATTGATGTCTTTTCGATCTTTGGGGCGGTTCCACTCGGCATTGAGCAACAGGTCTTTTGTGAACAACAGCTTTTCGATTTTGCGAGCGTGATACTTCGGCCCATAAGGGATCGTGAAAGTGTGGTAATCGGAGACCTCGTCGGAGTCGACCCATTCGGCGACTTCATCTTCATAGTCGTCCTTGATGTTGTCTCGGATGCGATAGCGGCGTTGGAGATAGCGGTTGATAGCGGGTCTTCCGCGTTCTGCGCGACGCTGATCCAAGTACGCTTCTCTATCCTCAGTCTTCGGTAGTTTCTCCAAGATCAAGAGCCGAGCCAGGCCTTCGGTACGACCAAAAGAGCGCTCAAAGATGGTAGGATCGATACGAGAGCGGTCAAGGTTCGGCCAGTACACTTCGAAACCACGACGCGCGTACTTGGAAAGACGATTCTCGTACGAAGGGCTTCGGCGGCTGAGGTCGATCGTGTTTATCTGCGTGATGTATGCTGCTATGGCACGAGGGCTGGCGTAAACCTGCTTTCCATCGAAAGCGGCACAACTGCAGTCGACGTCGAAACCGGTCAAAATCTCCGAAATCGACTTGTAAATGCGCAAGACAATCTGAATGTGACGTGTCGGGTACCTGGCAACGTATCAGCGTGAGCAGCGCGTTTTCTGGGTTGAACTTACTGGCTAACAATCGTGATTGCATTTTTCGTGCGCACGGTTGTGGTCTCTGTGAGAATCGCGTCTCGAATGCTCTTCTCGATTTCTTTGATCTTCTCAATCGCTTGCTCTTCTGTTAAGTCATACAAGAAAAGATCGACGTCGGACGCTACCGCAATTTGCTCATGGTAGTACTGGCGCAGTGCTCTCTTTGATCCGCAATGTTCCTCCGGGACTGCAAGCAGGGGTGTGACAACACTGGAGCCGGCGGCGACCACATTGTCCCAGTTCAAGTCGACCAAGGAGGACTCGGAGAAGACATTGAAGTTGGTGTGAAAATCTTTGAAAGACTGTGCGATTGCTGGACTGCCGTTGGGTCTGCGTTCTTCATGCTTCAGTGGCATGATGTATGAATCTCGCGCCTTCTCATCTTCTGCTTGCAGATCTCGTGCGCGAGCGCGAAGCGTCTTCTCCTGTCCAGCGAAGACTGGCACTACGCTGGGAGTGGCAATGGCTTCGTGGCTCGGCAGCTGAGCGAACACTTTTCGCATCTCGAAGTCATATTGCTGGAAGGGCTGCAGAAGCTCCGCAACAGATCTGTCTCTGTTTCGATCGAGGTATCCAATGAAGTCTTCGTGTTTGACTGGCAGCTTTGGCAAGTCAATTCGGACTGGTTCCGCTTGGCTCGCCATTGTTTGATCTGTCGCTGAATTTGAGTTCTTCGTAGTTTGTTGAATGAGTGAAGGGCAGAAGGAGAGATGTTGGACGAAGGCAGTGAATATGTACACTTAGGGGTCGGTTTGGGAGTTATGGGCCTCGAGTTCATGCACAAGGCAGCTATAGTCTTCAGTCGTGCTGTGGTCCAATGGATAGCGGTCTGTTGCCTTAAGGATCGCCACCCAGCCTCACCTGAAAGCAGACGTCGGCTAAGAGCTTTGCGCATGCGCTTACTCGCTGTGACTGCTCGACTGCTGTGGTCGCTGATGACAGAATGCGATAAACGTTTGTGTCGCAGTGAAGCAGTGAAGAGTTGTGAGTTGCAGCCTGCTGCTGGAGACGCGTTGCGGCGCGATCGCGATCACCCGCGCGGGCGCCACTGTCGGGAACCTCGCGAGCACCACTTCTCCAACACGATGCGACACGACACAACACGCTGCTTCTATTAGCTTCCATGCATGAATTCCTGCACTGCAAGCTCTTGCAGCAGTTTCCGCGTTGTCAGGATTGGCTAAAGGTTCAGCTCCAGTGGCATACTGGTGAGAAGCCTCGAAGTGGACAGCTCCGAAGTAGTCCCACGACTGTCTAGTCTTAGGTTGTGTCTATCGATTTATGAAGGCAGGGTTCTAATCACTGTCCTTACGATCAACCATAGCGCAAGCGCTGCAAAGAAGCTCACACAGAGTTGGAGCATTTCGACAAAGTGCCAAAGCTCGATCTTGGCTAGCATGGGAGCGCCAGAAGAAGGGAATTTGCCGGTGCGCTGATGTTGCTGCAGGAGTTGCTCTTTCTCTGCCCACCGCTCGTATAGCCACTTGTCAAAAGCCTCGGCGTCTTCAAAGGGGATTGTGGAGACAGCGAAGCGTCGCCAGTGCATATGGGCAGTCGGCGGCTTGCGACCTTCGAAGTACAGATTAGGAAGGTTCCACACATCTTGACTGTCCACTCCTGGCCTGCTTATTCATGAGTAATGTGACCACGATGCGGAGCGAGTTACTCACGGAATGCCATCATATGCGATAGTGCAGTCGTACAACCAGTCCACGGTGCTAGCCAGTTCACGCAGGCAGAATTGTAGACCACGACTTCTTGGGATCAAGCTAAGATCAAAGTCCTTGGTCCCAACCTTGTCGGCCCATTTCTTGCTCATGCTGCGCGATCGAGCTGTAAGATTCGTGCCCTCAGGAAAGAGTAATAGCCACATAGGTACGCGATCTTGAGCAAGTCGGCCAAGGCTACGCTGCATTTCAACCTCGTCTGTTTCCCATTTACGGGAGAGGAAAATCCAGTTGAAGAACACCAGGCCAGGGCCGACAATCGGAATCTTCTTCAACGCATCTTTCAAGATGACAATCAAGTGTCCATGGTGTCGGGCTGTGTATGCGGACCACCAGAGGTATATCCAATCAGTGTAAATCTGTGAGCATGAGCAGAAGTTCTCCAATGTTGTTATGTGACTTGAGGCAGGACGGAAGCGTACCTGATGATTCGCGATCAAGACCATTCGATCCGGCGCATTGAACTCAATCTTCCCGTTGGATGTCCACTTGATCTGTCCTTTCACACTTTCATCCCAACTGATTTCGGCCGTGGTTGGTGCACGCCACTGGTTCAGTCCGATCAGAAGTACGGCTGTAGACGACTTGACAGCGTCTTGCCAGGAGCGATAGAGCCGACTCGACCAGTACAATGGTAGACCGAAAAATTGTTGAATATGAAGACTGTGAATGGCAGTCAGCCTGTGGCGGGCTCACTGAGTATATGAGGCTTGGCAGAGCAATACCATGCAGCGCATGTCAGAAAGCTGACAACGACCAGGACACCTTTGAGTCTCTCCAGCAGCCACTCCATGCTCGACTGGCTCACATGCTTGTAAATTGTGGCTTTCTTGCCTATGGAGGGAGTGCCCGTTGGGGGCGACAGCGTAGGGCCATGTCCAGATTTGGAAACAGGCCTCTGCACGACAGCGACTGATGAGGCGGTCATGCCTGCAAAGCGAGTGAACAACAGCACAGATGCTGCAGATCAGCAGGATTTTCCGAACAAATCGAGATCAAAAGGTACCCGAGGCATTGTTACACTGGGCAGGAAAAGTGCTGGAAGAACGGTCAGCGAATGTGATTATTTATTAGAGAAGGCAGCATGCTGGGATGTATATCCCGCGCATGCCGAGGCGAGAGTCTGGCCACCTACAAGGGCGATTGGCGACATGGGGGTAAGCAGACGATGAGTGTACGTGTTGTTAATGCTGATGTGAACGTCTCGACGAGCAAGTCGAATTCGGTGCGATTACGACCTCCGAAGGCGCAGTCGTGGAAGAACGCCACGCTTTGTTCCTGGAGGAGTAGGCGCGAAACTTGGTTGCACCACGTCAGCCATCCCTGGCAAGACGTTGATGCTGTTCAAAGTTTGACCCGTTATTTGACTAGTCCAAGTCTTGCCAAGACGGAGCACTACGAGCTGAGCTGAGTTGCTCCATTTCTTTGCTCGCCCAGCCAGCCGCTCACTTCCATCGGCATTATTGGAGTCCGAGCTATGTATGCTGTATCTGCAATACTCTGTAGGGCGGAGACAGATTTCCCTGCGGCTACGACATGTCCGGCCTACGTCATCAACGCCTGCCCACTGTGAACTTCTCTGAGACAAAGCTCGTTAGCTAGCTAAAACAGCAAAAAACATGGACGTTGCCCAACAATTGAAGAGCTCCGAGAATGCCATCCACTGTATCGATATGCATACAACAGGCGAGCCCACTCGCATCATATACGGCGGCTACCCGGCACTATCAGGCACGCTACTAGAACAGCGAGCGCAAGCGAAGCAACAGTACGACCACGTACGCCGCAAGCTCATGCTTGAGCCTCGCGGGCATAGGGACATGTACGGCGCTGTCCTTCGTCAAGATACAGAACACACGACAACCGGGAAAGCGCACATCGGGGTGCTGTTTCTCACCAATGAAGGCTACTCAACCATGTGCGGGCATGCTACCATAGCTCTTGGCAGATTCCTCGTAGACACCCATGATAAGAACGTTTTCCCTAGACGGGATGATGTGAAGCATGATGCGACTGCAAGAACTGCAAAATTGGTTCTGCACGCGCCTTGCGGGCTTGTTGAAGTCACTGTACCTACAAATGCCGATGGTACCAAGTCGGATCCCACAAGGCCTGTCTCGCACATTTCTGTGCCCTCTTTTGCCACTGGACTGAACGTCCGAATAGACATCCCCAGCGAGTACCGATGGCCAGGACTAGGTGAAAGAGCACACGTCACTGCTGATTTCAGCTACGGAGGCGCATTTTATTGCCTTATTTCTGGAGAGGAATTGGGGTTTGCGAGTGGACTCAGCTCCGCTGTCGATCTTGCTGCTATGGATCTCGCTACAAGAAATATCAAGGCTGCTGTCAACAAGGACCCCTCGCTGCGATACCTCTTCACCCATCCTGATCATGAGGACTTAGGGTTCCTGTACTCCGTAGTAGTTGTAGACTCTCAAGCGGGGACCCCACTGCCTGGCACAGCACGCGCTGAAGTTGGATTGTGCTTCTTCGCAGATCAACAGACAGACCGCTCGCCAACTGGGAGTGCAGTCGCCGCCCGGATCGCTTTGGAATCCGCGAAAGGCCTTGAAGAACCTGTGACCTACCATTCCCTGGTATCGCATGCAAATCGAGGTAGAGGGGGCTTTGCTGGCAAACTGTACGAACAATTCGGGGCCACGAATGAAGGTCTGCCGATAGTTCGAGTGCAAGTCGAAGGATTTGCATCGTACGTCGGAACAGCCAGTTTCGTGGTCGAAGACAGTGACGCGCTGGGAGACGACGGCTTCCTCTTTGAGCGGCTGTGCAGGGCAGACGCCATCAAAGATCACGATTGAGATTTTCCTCTCGGGCTTGTTGGCCAGTACGCATAGCGCGATTTGCGGGTCACTTCCCACGTGTCGCCCTTTCTTGTCTCCCTCCTGGATCGCTTGATGCTGTACTCGCCTGTATCAGGGGCCTTTGCAAGAGGTATTCTCATTGCGTTCTCAGCATTTCGAGGTGCGAGAGCTCGACGCCTGTCGGCTGTGCGTGAATCATTGTGGGTCTGTAGAGGCGCTCTGTCTGGAGGTCGCGGAGCCACTGGCAGAGTTGGCTGTCGGACCAGGACTTTCGGACTAGAAGTTGATCTTGACCTAGGAGATACTCGCGATGTGCCATAGGATAAAGATGAGATCGGGTGGCCGAGAGTGCTGCTTCCAACCGCCAAAGGTCTCTCAGGCGCGGCTTTTCTGACCAACTGCCTTGGGACTCGGCTCTTCCGCTGCTTGTCTGTAGCCTCCATGTCCTCATTGACTATCATGTTCGCTGTCGCCTCTCTCAACCTTATTTTGAGCTGCTCGGTCGAGTTTACTGGGCCGACGGAGCGGACGGTGACTCTGAGGATCGACATTAGGATGGTTGAGTGTTGGGCGCTCGGAGTAACGGCTTACGTTCGCGGGGTTCTCTGTAAAGCCATTCTAGTGGAGCGGAGAGATGGACGTCGAGCAGGTTTTATCAACTTCCGGCCAGATCTCGTGGAGCATGGCGGCAAACCGCACATGAGCGTGGGTTACATGTACATATCGTCGATGCGCAGGATTTGAGGTCGCACAGGACGTACGAGAGTGCGTTGTTGAGGCAGCAGGTGCGACGGATACGCGGCCTTGCACTTCGAGTTGCGCAGTCAGGCACGTCCCAGGCCGGGGCGTTACCAAGAGTACCATAAGCTGGGACAACACGAATCTGTGTCTCAGAAGCGCTCTGTGGTACACTCATGTCGCTTCGTCACACAAGGAAGCAGAGACCGACGACCTTTCTCGGAGGGAGACAAGCTCGAGTACATTCAAGTGAAAAAGATCCTCCTGGGGTAACATGTTCTCTCTTGAACGACGAGACCGGCAAGATGTGTGCCACTGGTATACCAACCAGATATTCGAGGTAATTAATGTGGGAAAAGGCCACTGCAAAAAGAAATGCCACCCGCCGGAATCGAACCAGCATCACATAGAGGACAGAGCTGCGCCAAACGCTGCCAATCGATCAGAGAAAGATTGGAAAATACGCGGGAGAAAACCCCGGACGCGCCTCTACGTGCCTTAACCATTAGACCAGAGCGGCCGAGAATGGACACGTCTGATGCTATTATACAGAAGAAACCCTTGTATCTAGTTTATCGCTGTGATTCGTGTCTTGGAAAGCCAAAGTTCGGTCCAAAATGATCGAGAAGTGAACGAACCGAAGCAAAAGTATTGTCGACCGCCGGAATTGAACCAAACATCCCGCAGAGATCGCATACGGCAAGCGTTGCCAACTTCGCAGTACGAGACTGGAGCTGGACTTTTCCAATTGGACTTTGCCTGGAGGACTTTGCCAATGATCTACTACGTGCCCTACCGTTAGACCAGGTCGACAGAGAGCCGCCAAATATGGAAGCCTTTGAAGGCTGCTTTTTCTTTGCCGCGCTGCGCGGAATCAACGATGAGAGTGAAAAGCTCTGGAGTGTTCGACTGGGGAAAAACGCAGATGGTCTTTCTTCCAACCCTTGGGTGAAGCGTGCTGTAGAATGTGTCTATCGAAGAGACGGAGCTCAAAGCAGATTCTCAGATTATGGCCATCTGCTCTGAGGCACCGAAAAGGAAAAGCCCCGCCGTTTGCCTCATTGCCGCGAATTGAGAGACCGCATGGTCTTTGACCGTTTGCGTAAGTATTTGACGCACAGTATCATCGCCAATCGGTTCTAGCAAATGTGAAGTGAAACTGCAGATCCGCACTGCTTCACTTCACATGAATGGCTTGGCACAGCCTTCGGTTCCGACGCACTGACAACCGTCAAGCAATCTGTTCAAATACTCGCACACGACATCAACATCACGAAATAAGCACAACATGGACATGCCGGGCGGCGCGGCACTCACTGCGCCGAATCACAACACCAACGGCCTTCAACTCCGAGCCAGCTTGAGCACCATCCCTCGCGAGCTTCGCGACGAGATCTACCGCCTCGTTGGCAGTACAACGCCATATCAGTGTCGCGTCTGTAGCGAGATTGTCTACGGCGGTGATGACACAGTCAAGTTCGAGACCCATTCTCGTACTCGGTTGAAATATCAGAAGCCCGACTCAAGCATCAAACACAAGCTCTCCCGCTGGCCACACATCAATCATCAATGCCGCGTGAAGACCTGGCGGCCCTGTGGCCCCGCGCATCGCATCACTTTCTTGCGCATCAACGCTAGCGATGCCACTCCCCTCCATCATGCTCATAAACGCCGACTGCAGGACTCCTCTGAGTCCACGCAACACACCGCGCAGCGAGCCGAATTCCCAACACTAGCCAAAGTCAATCAACAGCTGAGGTTTGATGTCCTCTCCAGCATGTTTCTGAAGAGTCGGCTCTATGGCACGGTCTTCGTCAAAGAAAAGGACGGTGCTGCCATCTTGCACAGAATCGGAGGGATGGGACAGGAGGCTGCCAGCACAATCAGGAAGCTCTACGTGATCTACAGCAAGAAGAAGGATTACAAGTACATTTCGAATGAGCTCTTGCCGGGTCTTAAGACAGCGGGCGTTCGTGTGGAAGACGGAGTCGTGGATGTTGTTCGTTTGATGCAGGAAAAGAACGTACCGAAGCCAGCCGCCCCTCAAGTTCTCGAGGAGAGAATGCTTCCGGGATGCAAATGCGAGTGCTGTATCGTACAGTTCTTGCGTGAGAAAGACCGAGAGGCGAGAGGTGTTCAGAGGATGAAGAATTAACAGGCGTAGGTCTGAAAGGATTTTACCGAGTTTGATGTACCCAGGTGTTGAGACTGTCTTACATCAGAGTGGGAATTATTGCACGCAGTCAGATCCCACAAAACCAAGAGGGGACTGGTACTAGCGTGCAGATGGCAAGATAAAAAGGATGAACGAAATTTCTTACGACCCAACACGTCTAATTGCACTAGTTCCTCTATTCTCTATGTCTATCACATTCTAGTGGTCGCGTCTCTTCTCGCTTTCCGAGTCACAAAGTTGGCGCTGACGAATGGTCAGCTACTTGCCGACGCGCAGCCAGAAGTTATCTGAGAGTCAACTCGTGGATTGTGTTGTCAGGGCAGGCAACGCCGTTGTACAGATCCAAACACAATCACTCCAGCGGGCTGGGTGGACGAGTGCACAGAAGGCAACAACGTTGCGGGTCACTGACCAGAAACTAGATCCATCAACATCGGACTTATGTTCCGGTCGTCATTGCCTGAGGGAAATCTTCTAGCAGGAAAGAACGAGCTCATTACCTTTTACGATCAGTTGACTGCGACGCACACTCTCGACAACTCAGCACTACAAGACCTCCACGATGTAAGATCCCAGCAGTGAGCAGGTCGAGACGCAATGGAGCTCGCTGGGAAAAATTGCGGCGTTGTCGGAGCAGGTTGGTACCTCCGCTGAACAGACCTCTTGTGTTCCCTTCGAGCTGCACATTTACAGTTACCCTCGAAACCTCTCCCAGCCTCACTTCCACAGCCTGTTCAGCTTAGTTCATCTCATCAGCAAGCGCTTCACTTCACAGAAAGGGAAGGTCGCGTGCACACGGCTCTGAAAGGCCCGCATCTGGCATCTGCGGTCGTAACAATGGGATAATTGGCAAACTTTGATGTGACAATCTTCACATCTCGAGAACAGCAGATGGCGTGATGATGGCGGCAGAACTGAGGATCAGATTAGATCCTGCAGGGCGATTTGCGTGCTTCCATTCGCAGGAACCTGTGGAAGTCTAAACCTGGCGGTGGTCTTCAGCGCCGCGTTTACTGCTTTCGTCTTGTGCGCGATGTGAGCGAAACTCTTCGTTCGACCAACATCGGCACGACCTGTCGCCAAAGTCAACGTGGTTCGATGTCGGCAGCGAAGCATGTGACGCGGAGAAAAGACCGGATCCTTCTTTCACCCTCAACGTCCACGCCGACTTCGCCTCAGCAATGACGCTGCGCAGATCTTCCTCGACTCGCCCTTCACCCATCATTATTCATCAACATTCGCGCCGACAGCCATCCACCACAGTCTCCGCATACCGCTCGATGTTCGCTCGCGTCGCACAGCTCCCTGGACTACGCCGACAAGGGTAGCTCGCTCGGTTCGCAGGCTGCCAGCACATGCGCGACACTTCCCGACATCTCGATCGGAACCCGGTCCACGCGCACTTCCGTCACACCACACCTCTGCACACCTTCGCCGTCGAAAGTCCCCGCCATGGGCAGCGTTGAAGTCGACAAGCTGATCGAGCAGCTTGCGGCTGGTTTCGATGCTCTACAAGATGAATACCAGAAGTTGTTTGGGAGACATTCTGCCTTGGAGAGGAAACTGGCCACGGCAAGAGAACAGGTACGATAGCACAGCGCTCCTCCATCCATACACACTGCCATCTTCCCTCGTGATGAATCAACATAGCTCTAGATCTGTAGTCGTCGGTTCCGGCGGCGTTGACAGACTGTTTTCAAATTGACTCTGACTCGCTTTGCTTGCTGGATCGCTACATCTCGAAACGCTAGCTTGACTACAACTAACACTTCTGTGTGTAGTACAACGAACTCGCAAAGCTATACCGTACCGACGCCACGACCACGCCGCCACTGAGCCTCATCTCTTCACCCGCTACAGCAAAAGACGAAAACTTCCCGCCGAAGACTACGCCAGAAATACTTGACCGAAGCAGCGACGAGCGATCAAAAAGGGCGGCGAATAAGATTAGAACAGCCATAATAGCAGCCAACGGACTCAGACACGCCGTGCCAGAAGTGATAGACGAGGGGGCTGTCAAGATCTGGTCTGGTCCTGCTGCAGATAATCCCGAGGGCTCGAGCTCTCTCATGCCGAGTATCGCGGAATCGCCGCTGGAGCAGGACTTCACTGTGCCGGGCAAGCCAAGTCAGCTGGGCTGTCCATTCGCCAGCATGGCCAAAAAGAAGCTGAGCTCACATGCTGCGAGCGTACTGAGCAGATACGAAAGGAATGGTAGTGGAGGAAGCACAGGGACAGGCAGTACACCTATCAGTAATGCAAGTCATGTCAACGGGAGAGAAAGTTTCTCGAAACGGCGAAGCAGAAGGGCGAGCATGCTGGATCCGATCAAGGCCGAGATATGCGGAATGTCCGATCATAGCGAATCTCCAGCGCATGCGAAAGCTCCCAGCCTCGTGGCGCCTAGCAAAGGACCGGCCGAGAAACAGATTGAAAATGCTGAAGTTGGCGTTTGTCCCATACGCTTTCTCGATCAGCATTCTCCGGAAGAGGTTGCCACCTATTTCGAAAATCACAAACACGAATTGCCACGAAGCCACGAAGTCTGCGTGATGCGATATCAGAGCAACGAAGAACAGATCAGGCAACTGGACGCCAAATACGGTAATCTCGTATCGATGATCCAGGGCCTTGGGCAGAAACATAAAGAATTGCTCCCAGAAGACATTGCCGTTGAGGACGAGCAAGAGGATGATGGGAGTGAAAGGGCGCTCAGCGATGAAAAGATCCGCAATTGGGCGAAGAGCGTCAGCGCGGAAGTACAAATTGGGGATGAGCTGGATGATGGAGAGGAGGAGCGCGTACCGCACTTCGAAAGGCCTGTTCGCGAAATCCGAGTGGGGGAATCTCCCAGTCGTCCCTGGGGCATTCATGTTCCGGCCAAATACACAGACGCGCAGAGTGCGGACGAGGTATCCAGCAAGGCTGCGCAACTTGCCTCTGTGCCTCCAGCAACGTATCCAGAGAAACCAGACGCGAGCTCAGTGCCCAAGGGAAGCGGAGGCAAATGTCCGTTTGATCACACCGCTATGGTCGGGGGCGGACAAGGTGGCGGAGGTCCCGAGGACTTCGGGGCCGCCCTTCGAGCCGCAATGGGAAACATGAATAACACTACGAATGCTATTGCCGAACCCGATACCACATTCGTGGCCCCGAAGACGGCACAGCAACAGCAGTCTCCCAACCCGCCCTTGCTCCGGGTGACCAAGGATGCGACTTCTGCACCTGTGGCGGCCGAGAAATCAGAGAAGCCTGCGATTGTGATCAATGGCCCGGTATTCTTTGGATACTCACCCGAAGACACAATTCGCATTTTGAAGGAGAGCGGGTTGAAGATGGCTGGGCAGTGAGTGAGGACTGCAAGAGGGCGTGATGACTTGTGCAACTTTCTGCTTTGCGTTCTGAGCGATTTGTTTCTCATGCAGCGGACGAATCATGAATCATGTGAACTTAGCATTACCTGTAATGGATAGATGGCTGACAATGAGACGTTGTTTCTATTTGCAGCTCGCCGCACGCCGGCTTGGGTGACGGTCGCTTCCCAATGGCCAAGGCTTAGGCTCTTGAAAAGGTTCAGCAGCATTTGGTAGTCTCTCAAGAATGATCAGGAGATCCTTGCTACTCTTCCAAAGCTTGAACCGCCTCATAGAGTCGAGTCCGACAAGAGATCAGAGCTCCATTCCTCCACCCCATGCGAAGCTTCCGAAGCATCAGACGGCAGACGATTGCGCCTGACCTTGATTCGGAGACAATGGGCTAATATGAGCAATGGAAACTCGAGAGAACTCACGAAAGCCCAAGCAGGATCTCCAACAACCCCGCGAGCTCTCCATCAAGTCATGAACAAATCAAATCAAGGCCAAGCAACTCACAAGAGAGACATCGTTCTAAGCTCCCAGCTATCCCACCACCGCAACATACCAGAACCATCGAACAACAGAGACAACACTTGTCCGTCATCAATCTGCAACCGAGCCGTTTCTGCAGTAGAGACAAACCACATCCCGCACCTTCGTGGCTGATCACTAAACTTTTCATGCATGCAGGCTTTTATTGTTGGAACTCAAACAGTAGTGTCTACTACAATAATCAACCCACATATTCCTCTGCAACAACCAGCAAAAAGCACGCGTAGCACTGAGGCTGAGTCCCTCGACCAAGACTTCTTCCAAATATGCCGATCGGTTCTTGGCATGGAATGCAGCTGCGGATCAAGAGCTCCGCGCCTGCAGGAACAGAGAAAGAAGCTCAACTGCCTAAAGCTCCACAAACTGGTACAATGACATAGACGCAGAGAATGAGGAGCACCATGAAAACGATCAATGAAAGCTTGGGAATTCAATTGCATTGCATTTGCACTCACTCATCTACATGTCGAGATAGAATCTAGATCAGTGAAAAGGAGCGCAAATGCGAGCCTGTTCCGACATTCTTGGGTTTATTGTGAGCATAAATCATTAACAACATCTTCGCAGCTATTCCTGTCAGAATACAGTACCGTTCGTGTTTCTCATCGCAGTCGTAAGTAAGGACAGTAAAGCACTTTGTCGTGCAGCCGTAACCACTCCTCGTCATTGCTCAGCACTCTCTCGTTGAAACCCCTTTTCGCTGCCATTAAACAGCGAGAAGGGCGGCCAGAATAGCAACACCAGCCATGGGAGTTGCCATCGCTCCAGCGCCAGTGGCTTGCATTGGTGTAGAAGTCGAGTTCTGATCATCATCATCGCCAGTCTGACCTGGTGCCGGAGCTGGGGTAGTGGCAGAAGGGGTCACGGTGGTCAGGGATGTGGAAGTGGTCGTGCCACCTTGACCAGGCACTGGCACGGGTGCTACCACAGTGTCATCATCGGTATCATCGTCTCCATCCTCTGTTCCTTTGACCGGGTCAGTGACTCTGCATTGTTTCTGGAGCATTTCTTCAGCTCCGCGCGTGTTGCAGCCCCTTACCATCGTCCTGGTCATCTAAATCCTCCCCAGTTCCCGGCGCTGGCGTTGGCGTGGGCTCAGTGCCAGGCACGGGCGCAGGAGCTGCCCCATCATCGTCCGAGTCTGGAGTATCGGTGTCTGGTGTATCTGGGGTCTCCTCATCGTCTGTATCGTCAGGAGTATTTGCAGAATCGTCCTGGCGTTTGAAAGTGGCGGGCACCCCTGTAAGCTGTTAGGGATCGATCTGTACGCTCCAGGTACTGAGGTCATCGCGAGGCAGCAAGAGTAGAAGGGCCAGGACCGTGTGTTGAACCGCAAATTGGAGAAGGGCTGTAGCAAAGCGACTCACATGGACTTCCCAGTGCCGCCTCACGACGCTCAATCATGAGCGACCTGTCGAGTGGCTCTGAGCTGACGAGGCCGGCAGCGGCAATGCTGAAAGCAGCAATGAGCGCGAACTTGCTGTGCATCTTGAGCGAGTGTGGTAGTTGCTTGTTTGTTGTGTTCTAGTCTGTGTTGATTCGATGACCTGGGAGGGTTACGGCGACGGCGACGGGCTGCTCAAATACTCTTCCTCTGCTCTGGCGACTTCCTTCAGCCACAACAGGTTGCGCGGTCGACGACAACCATAATAAGATCCACGAGAGCGCATGAACCGGGTAGAGCAACCGGTTCACAGTTCGCCATGCTTGTGATTGAATCAGCGGCTGAAGCCATCACTTGCTAGCAACGCGCGGAAGTCAAAGCCACAGCCAAAGTGCATTGTGGTACATCTTCCAAGCCGCTTCAAGGAAGTCAATCGTACGCAAGCAGCGAAAGAAGCGGGACCTTGACAGGTTTGGTTGACAGCACAGAGAGTTGTGGCGTTGTCCAAGAAGCTCGCCCTAGCTCGGCAAAGTGACAGCAGCCACGCCCTCACGCCAAGTCCGCGGGTACTCGTGTCTTGACAGCACGTAACGTTCCTGGCTATGCCTGATTCTTTCCGCTTTCTGGATGTTTCAAATGGTCGAATGCAGTCTAGCTTGTGACCGCAGTCTGCAGATCCAAGATGGCCACGAGGTGCGAGGCACGGTTTCAGCCTTGGTTGTCGGATCAAGTTGCGTCTGGACAGCGGAAAGTCGGGTGCGAGAAATGCTTGTGTACGCTCGAGAACGAATGCACGTCGGCGACAAGCGCACGTGTGTGGAGGGTTTGAGGGCTGCGGCGAACCTGGGGACGTGTCGTGTTGTCTGTCGTTGACGATCAGCGGGGTCATCTTTGGCAACGACTGCAGGTCGACTCGGCTGTCAAAGGTGGACCATTACAAGACTACTTACCACAGCGTGGCAGTGCCGATCGGTCGGGTGCAGAGATGTGCCGGTGACATGCTCGCTGCCCGCGCGTGAGAGGCATTCCAAATGCCCAATGCCGTTGCTGTTGAGTGGTGCTGAAAAAGTGCGGGCGATGATGGGAAGTGGAAGTGGAAGTTGGAGATGGAGGAGGAAGAGCAGGCAGAAGCGAGCGCTGCTTCCACTCCCAGCAGCTCGTCTCTGCCACTGCCCGACCTTCCAATCAAAACGCGTTTCTTTAGCGAGCCAAGTGCACACGCTCGGCCTTCCATTGGGAAGCAACCATCACTCAAACCGGCCTCGGAATCATGATCAGGTGCAGTCGTCTGCCGTCTGATGTTTCGAAATCTCGGAGTGCGCGAGAGAAATGGAGCAATAAGTTTTTGTTGGACTCGATTCTGTTTGCTTTCTGCAAGAGCTGCAAGAGTACTCTGGCCATTTTCAGAGACTATAAAGTGCTGCTGAACCTATTCGAGAGCCGAATGCAAGCCTTGTGTTACTTGTGGCTGCCTGTGCAGCCATCTGTGCGAAGAATGCCACACAGCCCTTTACCGCCACTTCGGATGTGAACCAGAACAAATGAAAAACAAAGGAGATTGAAATTTGGAAATTCCTTGCGCACTTACTCGTTCACCTTTATCGCCTCTTTGCCGGCCAATGGACTTACGCTTTCTTGCTACTCTCGGCTTCCTCTTGCTCAGTACTGGGAGAAGCAGGCGCTGGTAGCAGATTGGTCTCTTGCGGCTTCGTGCCTGGAAGAGCAACCAATACCGTACCCAACAGCTCCTTCGAGAACTTGAGACGGCCATCCATATATAGATGTGCTGAACCGAGTCTGTTGGAGCCCTTGAGATCGCCTTTGCCGTAATGGATTTCGTAGTGCTCGGGGTCAGTGGTACCATCGCGCTTGCGTGTTGCGTGGGGCTCGCCTCTGCTCTCAGTGTTAGTCGTTGCAATAGTCGATAGAGTTGCATGTGGGCGTTGAATATTGACAATGCCCTGGAGATAAGCCTGCAATAGGCAAAGGAATTGGTTGTGGAATACGAACTGGATGTTCGCGGAGGTGATCTTGCCGTCTTCAATATCCTTCCTGAGTTTAGGCACCATAGCGAAGCCGTCCTCGAGGGCTTTTGCTGCGATTTCCGGTGGCATACCGACCTGAGCATCCGGGCGTATAGTGCCAGTCAGGTACCATGTCAGACGAAGGCCAAGTTCTTTGGTTGCCATCTTTGCGGCGGTAGCGTATGTGCGAAGACCCTGCATGATGTTCTTCGTTCGATTGAGTGTTCTGGTCTTTCTTTCTGTGGAATGGTAGAGGAGAGTGTCTAATGCTCGAGCCTATGTTGTTGACCAAGTGAAAATCCCATTAGAACTTGCGAGCTTTTGTGCTGAAGGCGCTGTTGGTGAATGCATCTGCATTGTCTCTTCATGCGCAGAATCGGTGAATGTGTGGAATGGCCCTCATTGCATGTGATCGCTCAAGGGACGCATTGCAGCAGCTCATGTCGCGAAATTACTGCTCCGGCTCATTGACCAGCCAGGGGTGCGTCAGCAGCTCCTTTGCGGTCTTGCGGTCCTCAGCGTCCCAGCACAACATCTGCTTCATGAAGTCGATGAAGGCCAATTTGTCCTCCCCGTCCAGCGCCGTGATGCTACCTTCGAGTGACAGGTTTGGCGGCAACAAATCTGGGAAAGCGAACGAGTCTGTTGAAATCGTCAGCATATCGAACTACAATCTGTGATTTGTGAGGAAGGCGCACCGTCTTCAAGGAAAAATGGCCCGTGGTAAAGTCCGACAAAGGTACGATGCGTCTCTCCGTCATCATCTGTGACTCCGTAGGGAAGTGGTATATCTCTGCACCTCCGCTCCACTTGCAACAGGCTGGGTGGAGGTGGACCCAGAAATGCGATCATGTTTGCGAGATGGCACCGCGTGCTGTATTTCCCGCGTGCATCTCTGGTGTGTGCGAAAAGATCAGTGCCTTCCAGCAACTCCCAAATCTACGCACGAGTCAATAAAGGAACACTGCCAGACTCCCGTGAGAAGCTTACCAGGACGCCCAGGTTCCAGATGTCCACTTTGTAGTCCCATACCACCCCAAGCATGACTTCAGGAGCTCTGTATAGATTAGGCTGGGACGGATGCCGAAATCCGAGCCCTGGTTCCATGACCTCAGCATGGCCAATATCATGGATCTGAGGACATGACCAGATATCCTTGAGAAGACCAAACTCGACTTGCGATTGATAGATCGTGCGGTCGCCCACTACCTTTTGCGCAACTGGCTTTCGGCCGAGATTTTTGACGTATTCGGGCAGCACGGAATTGTCCTCGAAGCTCATCATGATGTTGGGAGGTGTCAGATCTGTACGGGCGTCAGCTAGATCGCAATGTAGCACAGAAACCAAAAACTGACCTGTGTGCACCACCTCGCATTCCGAGTGCAGGTAATCGAGTCCATGTAAGATGAAGCGGACGTATACCTTGAGGAGCGGCGCAGGCACTTTGCCATCGGGGAAGCGAGACTGCCAAAAAGATATGGGCTCCCTCATCGGCTCAAAGACCTGACAGAGATGCTTCTGGCCTGCAACACCTTCGGCTGTGAAGTTATGAGTCGCGCGTCGAACGAAGCCATGACCGTCGTGCGCAGGGCTCCTGGTCAGCCGCTGCTCGACCTCGTTCTGTCGCTTCTCGTACTCCTTCGTAGCAAGCGCTGCAGTTTGGACTTTGACAGTGGCGTATGCCGGTTTCTGCCAGAACCATCTAGAATTCCGTCAGCTCATGCTCAACGAGATGATGAGAATGCCTTCCACAGCGACCGCAAAAAGACCTGCTCCATCTCCGAACTCATTGAAGGACGCTCAACTGCCTGGCTGAGCCTCGCACGAGGCTCTGCCGCAGAAGACGCTGGGAGAGGTCACTAGCTCCGCCCCCAGGATACTTACCGCGAACGATCCTTCGTGAGCCAGACCGTAGAATAGCGGCCATACCCCAGCTTCGTCAGAACCTCGTACTTGCCGTTCAACACGTCGCCCGGATGCACCTGCAGAAATTGCTCGGCGCGGTAGCCAGGCGCCCTCTCTTCTTCAATGAGTCGATCCTCGGGCAACAGAACCGGCGCGTTCGCTGTCGCCCCCCTCGCTTTCGAGCCCATCGCTCGCACGTACTGACTCGACTGAGCGCTGCCGAATGCTAGTCGTCCCGAGCGCAGGAAGTGCCGCATCATCTTGGTGGCCGACGCGTACGAGCGGGCACACGAATGTCCGATCCTTTCTTGACTGTAGCGCTGGTCGTCATGGCTGGTGAAAATGTAGTCGCTGCACAAGTTGTTTGCTCGCCGGATCACTCGCCCATTCACCACCCTTTTTCACTTCACTTCTCACCTCGCCCCCACGAGTGAAGCCAAACTGAAGAAAGCACCTGCACAATCAGCCTAAACCCCTTCAGTCCTGATCACTAAACACCCAACAACCAACAAAAGCCCATCAAGACATGAAGTTCCAGAATCTCGGACTTTCCTCCACACTCTTGGCAAAAACCTTCCTGCCGCGTCTCAGGCAGGAACCTCCACAGGAAAGGAAAGCGCCACAAATTGGGCAGCAATACATGTACATGTACAGAACGCTCAACCACAACGGCACACCAAACGGCGCGTGAAACTGAATTCGTACCTCACATGTGTCTATCACTTGCAAGAAATGGTCTTGGTGGCGTTTTGTACATCGCGCAAGTTATGCAGATTGCAGCCAGATGGCTTAGGGCTTGTCGGATGGATGAAGCGAAGCGAAGCAAGGGTAAAGTATAAATGTTTTTGTGGTGTGTGCAGGTCGGAGGCGTCAAGTCGAACAACAGTAAAGATCATCCGGTCGACAAATGGTCGCTTTGCGATTGGTTGTTGCGTACGTCTATGTGTGACACGTTTGGATGACACGAGTACGAGATCTCACTCGCTTAAGGTACTGTAAGTTTTCGTGGTTGGGCATGAAGAAACGAACAGGCCACCTTGTATGGCAGGCCCAGGCAGGTGCATACGCAAGCCTCTCCAAGAAAGATCGATCGCGCCAAGGCCGCCAGGCGCGGAGAGGCATCGTGGAAAATCGAAACGTAGTTTCGATGAGATGTGATGAGATAGGGTTATGTGATGGGGCCAGATCGAACTCAGATGCTAGTGGCGGGTAGCAGATTCGACGAGGCGTTTGCAATAACATCGTTGCAGCGATTTTGGCCTACAGTAATAATACATGTGCTATGATGATTACAAGCTGCAGCGTGCTTATGGACGTGCAGCTTAAGGCTGCAGTAGAGCAGCAGGGGTGAAATGTGTGCTGACGACGAAAGGCCCCAGTGAGAGAAGGTCGGAGCGAATTCCTTTTTGAGCTTAGATACAACCCAGCGCTCGTGCAAGACCAGCCAGAATTCTAACGCAGATTGGCAGTCCAGAAATACGCAAGAGAAACATCATGGAGGACTCCATAGATCGTAGCTGTTGTGCACATGGAATCCGATCCCCGCCATTCTGCCGTAAGCTGTGTAAGTGTTGCCAAACGATGCCTCGTCAAGGTGCATATCGCTTAACGGGAGTTGAGATTCCTTCGCTAGAAACCGCAGCAGCTATCCATCCTTGGAAAACTCTTGATCGCTTCGCCCCCAGTGTTCCGCCTCAGGATCCCGTGCTTCATCTATGAATTTGACAAGAACGCGTGCAAGTAGGTCCACCGCGGCAGGAAGGTTGATACGTGAAACTTCGCTTGGACTAGACTATTCCTTAGCTTGGCGAAACAGGTTTCCAAAGTATGGAGACGGGCAGTGCTGTCCACAAAAGCTGGCCAATTGGCGCGGAATATTGATGCCATCTGACGGATGAAGGCCTTGAGGGTTCGCCTGGAAATGTGCGCTCTGGGGCAAATCTCGCAAATGGCAGACTCAGTGTTTCTGAGCGTCGGAAAAGCTCATGGGCGAGGGCCGAGTTCATTGGAATAGAGCCCATTTCTAAGTCCAGGAATAGGTCGGCTTGTGCATGCTCAAAGTCCCAAGGAAGATTTGGTGGTCATATCATCCGCCACCATATGGGATGGCCTCTCAAGTGATCGATCCGGTGACAGAAGCAGACGAAGGAGTCGAGGCCATTGAGTTCGCGCGCGGCGGAGGCGGAGGCCTCCACCAACACCCATCCCGAAAGGTCACATAGCCTCGCAAATAATCTCTGACAGCAGTCTCTCGCTCAAATGCCACCCAGTACCACTCCTCGGCGATAAGTCTCTGCTCGGTCAAGGTGAAGCCTTTGTGCTGGAGGGCCGGGTAGAATTGGTTCTCTCTTGTAGGATAAATGTAGCCTCCCAGATAGCTGATGATGCATGGGAAGCATAAACACAATGTCTTGTCCATGTTGCTGGCGAGGTGCTTTGGGTCCGGGCCTCCAGAAAAAGTTCAAAGGGGGAATGGGCCGGAATTGTACTTCAAGTATCCTTCATGGTGTCCGACAGTCCACCGTCGACGTGAGAGAAGATCTGGATGGTGAGAGAAACAGAGAGGTTCGTGGTGCAGCTCGCGTGATGGCAGCGCCATGCGACATTATATTGGCTGAGCAGCACCTTGCGCTCCCGCCTGCAGGTGCTGGGATCCTTCGCAAAAAGAGGGCGCAGAGGCAGGATGTCGAAGTCGCGGTCGACGGACCAACCAGCGTGTGGGCAGTTGACAAGCCATGAACCCTATGCGCGTTAGTGTGGAAAGTTGACGCACGAGATGTGCAAGCAGGCTCTCAAAGCAGATTAGCTTTGCACGCGCGGTCTTGACTGTCCAAACATGGCGAACTCTATGCTCGAGCGTTCGCTCCTTTTCCCGTACCAATGATGCGCGAGCGGGTCTGCGAGGGCCACTTCGCTGTAGGCCCGCGTCGCCTACACGCGAGGCGCCAGGGAGGCCGCCCAGCGGGAGACGACGTTCGCAGGCAAACGTGCAGCCCACGCGATGGGGGACGTCGGGAGGGTGAGCGTGCACTCCTGGCCGCTGCTGCTGAACACTGCACAGTGCACACCCGGTCTGGTCTGGTCTGGTCCGCGCTGAACCTCGCTGCAGACGATCTCAGATGCGCGCATCGGCCGTCCGCGCCGCTGCACACCGGACGGCACGGCGACGATTCTGCCTGCACGTCTCTGCACGTAACGCAGGACGGCAGCCAGCGGCCAATTGCGAACACCACCATCCTTCGCGTCTTCGTCCGCGCCGGCAAGCGCGCGCTGGGAGCATCCCGTGTTGCTGCACGCCATGCCATGCCATGCACCGAGACGACAGCACAGGCACGGTACAGGACAGGCACGCCGTGTCCACCGGGGCCCGAGCGAGCCAGCCAGAACAAATAATGTTGCAAGCTTGTGCTGTACGGCGACGAATTTGGCCGTGAGATGATGTGCCACGCCTGCTCGCTTCCGCCCCTGCTGTCTCATCACTCAAAAGAGCAGAAGACTTTGACCAATGCGCGCGCGTGGAACGAGTGGGCCGAGGGGCCGGACCCCTGCGAGGCAGAAGTGTGATGGGCACTTCTGAAGCATCTGACCGTGGGACGGCGTTGCCGCGATGCTTCGCAACAACCACCACGGCCACCACTGACTGCCCACCAGATCCTGTCTCCCACCGCATCGTTAGGGCTGCTGAGAGGCCTTGTCACATGCTGCACACTGCTCACGTACCGCGGTCAAGAAAACACGAGACCAGGCAAGACAAGGCTGACAAGCCCCTACAAAATCGCTCCGACTATTGGCAGCGCCCCATCGGTGACGGATGGCGTGGAGAGCCATGGGGAAACGGACACAACCCAGTCAAGCATCGCAAACATGCGTAATAAATTAAGTATGCATTCATCATGCTCGCATTTTCATCCATCGCCATTGGACGACTCGCCACCCCTCCAATACAAGGACGGGTAGCCACATCGGGCTGCAATGTGCCAATGTCACACATCGAGCCACCGAGCGTGGCGTCCGGGGGCGCCGACTACGCCGCAAACGCCTCTGTGTCCTCGCCATGTATATGCCTCCTCTAGCCTGGACCAATGCATTTTCCCTTGTGGGATATATCAGAGCGAAGAGCCGGCACTTCGCCAAAGCGGCATGACCAAAAGTCGAAGAAGAAGGACGCAAGTCCATGTACCTTACATGATAATCGCGGGAGCTGCACATGTATGTTAGCGGTCGCTCGGCAAGGGGGTGACGTGATGTCCATAGGTACGTACTCTCGACGTTCGCCTTGATGCTCTTGTGTGGAAGCACCGAAGCGCCATTGCAGTAGATCTCATCGCCAATCGACACATCGTCGCCAAGCACCGAGACGTTCTCCATGCGTGCCCATCTGCCGATGGTGCTGTTCCAGCCCACGATAGTGCTCTTGATCCACGCATGCTCCTTGACCTTGCTGCCAGCCAGCAGCACTGAGCGTTGTATCCGCACACCGTCGCCAATCACCACATTGGGTCCAATGACCACGTTGGGTCCGATCTTGCAGTTGTTGCCAATCTTGGCGGAGGGGTCGATCATGACATTTCCGCTGTGGACGAATGGCTCCGATGGCGACGTGAGGAGCTTGCTGCCCTTCTTGGTGAGGGAAGACAGGTAGAGGCAAGTACCGGAGAGGAAGTCCTTCGGCTGACCCACGTCCATCCAGAAGCCTTCCAGGTCGAATGAGTGCAGTTGCCCCTCTTTGACCATTTCTGGGAACGTCTCCTGCTCGATCGATGTGGGTCGCAGTTCAATGCGCTTCAACACCGACGGGTTGAGGATGTAGAGACCGGCGTTGATTCGGTTGCCGACGAACTCGACAGGCTTCTCGACGAAGCGATCAATGCGTGTAGGGTGGTCGGGCTTGTGAACAACCACACCGTATTTCGATGGCTCCTCCACCTTGGTCACAATAATGGTACCCTCCCCACCATGTGCCTTGTGTGCGTCAGCAAGCTCTTGGAATGGATACTCGCAGATGACATCGGAGTTGAGAACGAAGAATGGTTCATCGCCCTTTCCGAGAATGCGCTCCGCAAGCTTGAGCGGACCCGCCGTGCCCAAAGGCTCAGTCTCCACCGAGTATTCAATCTTGACACCGTATTGTTCCTCGTACTTCTTCAGCGCTGCCGTCATCATCTCAGGTCGGTAGTTTACTGCGAGCACAATATCGGTAACGCCGGCTGCTGCGAGAGCCTCGATCTGGTGGAGAATCATAGGGCGGTTGCCGAACTCGACAAGGGGCTTCGGGAGGGTGAGGGTCAATGGTCGCAGACGCGTACCAAAGCCTCCGACGAGGATCAATGCTGCACTCCTGTTAGACAATATTCCTCGAGTCGTCTCCGCCGCACTGCACGTACCTTTGAGACCCATGTCGTCTGTAGTGGTCGATGATTCGGCTCTGGGGTTAGTCGCAGGAACCAGCTGCTCTGCGGGGATCTATGCGCCTTTCGGTGTGACGTGTCGGTTCGAGCGAAGGATAGCGACCTTGCGATGGAGTACAAGATCCAATGGCGACGTCTGGGCAGTAGTACTGGCGGTGTTTGTGACGAAGGAGTCGGTGAAATAACTTTCTCTTGAACACGTAAGTTCCTCCCCAGGTATTCGAGCTCCAGGGTCTCGCCTTCTGTGCTAGTGCCGATGGACCAATGAAGCGGGGGCTTGGCGGGCGTGCTTGCTAAATAAAGGGGAAGGTTGCATCGTTCCAGCGACATCACAAGACCGATGAGGGATTGGATTACCCATGCCGACGCCCTCAGCCCATTTGTGGCGACACGTTCACCGCACTGTGGTGAATTTGCAACTTGTGACACACCAGCAGCGAAGATGAATGAACCTGAATGCGTGGTCAATGGCCTGCCGCGGGGACTCGAGCTGCTGAATCGTCGAGAACCCGGATCCCACGTGTTGAGGACGGATCTTATCTGCGGAAACCGGGCAAGATGGCAGCAACCTTTGACAGGCCACGGACAACGTGCATGACCGTGCAAATATTTTCAGAGGCCGAGACTGAAGATAAACTTTGCAGCAGATGCGCCTCGCGCCTCGCGCAACCACAGCTTGCCCATGCGGAGGTAGAGATACAGGGAAAGGCACACAGCTCCTTTCTGGCACTTGCTCCGGTCTACAGTCCTTCATGCCAACTTAGGCCAACACCGTCCGAGAATGCGCTTATAAATGTTCTGGAGGCATTGCTCGATGGCAGTCTCTCTCCGCTCACATTGATCTTCCGATGTCGTTCAGGTCAGAGTGAGTCTGCAGGCTTCAGCCGACGCTCTTTTTACTCGAGACAGTCTCAAACCTCGAAGTCTCTGAGCATATCCCATAGAATCCTCTGAGGTCTTCCCCTGTGATAACTCAGAAACTCTACAAACGTCGAAAGAAGATGGAGCTCAGCGTGTGTCTCTTCACAAAGTGACACATGGTCCGCTGTCCGAGATCGGACTGCAGACCGCGATTGAGAAATCTATCGCTTGGAAGCATGTCAGGTGTGCCTGACCCAGATGCTATAGGGATCAACACAGTCGCCAGGAAGCGCATCTTTCTCTTGTCTGTTATGCGACTGTCTTCAGTAAACCCACATGCGGAAATTGGTTTTCTTTTCACGAAACTGTGTGGACATTTTGCTCTTATCGAAGAGGCGCGATGGCGCCGCGACAGCTGTCGGAGGTATCATTGTCATTATCTGGTAGTCAGGAAGTGAGAACTTATTAAGACGTTGGCAGATACAGAGTGTAGAGTTGCAGGTAAACGCGCTAGCGACGTGACAAAGGCTTGGCGACCGCTTCTTCACGCGGTAAGCACGCGGCGCCGAACCGAGTAACAACATCCCGGCACAAATAAATGTAGCTCCTTACCACCTGCAGGGAACAGGTCTAGGAGTCTACCGAAAGCGAAGGACGAAGCGCGCAACTTCTCGTTGCCTGTCGAACCTGTGCTGAAAACAACTTCCAACCAAAAACTTGTTTGCATATCAACAACCACAAGCTCGTGCACAGTCACAACTCGTGACTGGCTCAGGATCGAAAATCTCTCCAATAGACGATTAGGCTAGTGCGGTTTCGAAGTCAGACAGTCTCGGACCAAGTTCGCGCAACGCGCTGCGCGTGATCCTGGCAACATCTAACCACGACTCTGCAATGACCACGCGACTGAGCGTCACCGCGAGCCACATATGGATATCGCGAACTCAAATCTGGTCCAGTGGATCGCCAGCATACATGCTGCTGGCGACGATCCCTTAGAAGGCTTCGTCGACGCGCCCGAAGCATCTGGCATCACTCTCACGCAGCAGGAGATCAACCGCAACCTGATCGAAAAGGCCATCTCTACTTTGCGCGGAATTGAGTCGGAAGCAAGTTTTCAAGAGAAGGACTTACGAGAGCCTTTCGTGCGGAGCTCTCTCAGAGCACCACATCATCGCCTTCGAGATGGTGCGTTGCCTTGGCAGGTTGTTAATCACCGTTTCGCGGCCGAGAGAAGTGCTTCTGCGTCCGTGGAACCAGATGTGATCCAGACTACTGCGGTAGACAGAGGCAGAAAGCGTCCTCATCCAGGTGACGATGTCGCGGCCATGGAGAAGCGCAAGCGGCGGCGAAGGGTGTTGAGCGAGGAACCGGATGACGATGAACGGCCGAACCCACGATCCGCAACTTCCAAATGCCGACAGAGAGTTTTGGCTGGTATCTGGCCTCGTGATGGGTTCCACGGTGTCCTTCGGAGAGGCGACCTCGTGCGAAGATGACGACGCATTATGAGAAGTTTTGACGATTCGCAGCATTTCTCGCTGGCGCTTTGGCACAGAAGCGATATGGTTCTGATCACCGCACTTTCGGAAGTCCATCATCTTGCTCTGTTGTGAGCTACATGGTTGGATTCTGTGGTGCAGCCACCAGAAGCGGTATGGCAAACCATATTGGCCACATTAAGTAAGAGAAGGCCGCAATGACCAGTACTACGGCGATCCGCTGACATCGCCTGAGGTCGCAGTCTACATGTGTACAGCGACACAACACACTCGGGAACGTCGGCTCTTGGGAGTCATCTCGCGCATACCGGTCTTGACGCGGCTTCGTCACTGGCGGATACGCTTTGTCGCGTTTATGGCCGGCTCTTATTTGCTTCGGCGTACATGTCGGCTGATGTTGTTAGCAAGCAAAGCCGTGACGCCGTCTGCTTGTCATTTGTAGGGCGAGAAGCAGGCACAACAGGGTTTTGGCGCAAGAACCGGAAGCGGAATTGTTCCACGTTTCCGACCGAAATCTCAGTGTCGACACATCAAAAGCCCACAACTTGACAGTTTTCGGCGCTGACAACAAACGCTTCTGATCACAACGACGTGCTGGTACTTGCAACTGTAAATCAACATGACGAACGCGTCTGGAACAGATGCCGCTGCCGGCGCAAATGGCCAAAGCAAACTCGATAACCGCACAGTTCCGCCATTGGGCATGACGGGCAAGCAGTTTCTGGAAGCGGCAACATCTTCACTCAACGAGATTGAGCAGTACTATTCCGATATCGCGGAGAGACCTGTACTGCCTTCGATTGAGCCAGGTTATCTTCCCAAGTTGCTGCCAGATACAGCTCCCGAAGTCGGCGAGCAATGGACCGATATCCAACAAGACATCGAACGAACGATTATGCCAGGCATCACGCATTGGCAGCATCCCAAATTCATGGCCTATTTCTCAGCTAGCTCGACATATCCGGGAATGTTGGGTGAGATGTGGAGTGCTGCTCTGACCGCACCCGCTTTCAACTGGATCTGCTCACCTGCAATCACAGAATTGGAAACTGTGGTGTTAGACTGGATGGCCAAAATCATTGCTCTGCCACAAGAGTTCCTCTCAAAAGGCCAAGGTGGTGGTGTAATCCAGGGTTCTGCTTCGGAAGCGATCGTCACTGTCATGGTCGCTGCAAGAGAGCGATGGGTGCGAAGACAAATCGAGAGGGAAGGTCTCACAGATGCAGAAGACATCGAGGATCGTTCATGCGAGTTGCGAGGCAAACTCGTTGCGCTGGCCTCTGACCAAGCTCACTCTTCCTCTCAGAAAGCAGCGACTATCGCCGGGACGCGTTTCCGAAGCATCAGAACACGACACGGAGAGGCTTATGCCCTCAAAGGTCAAGATTTGCGCAAGAAGGTTGAAGAGCTCCAAGCGAAGGGTCTCCACCCATACTACCTGACTGTGTCAATTGGTGCAACAGGTGTTTGCGCTGTCGATGACTTCGAATCGATTGCTGAAGTAGCTCGCGACTATCCTGATATCTGGATCCACTGCGATGCTGCCTACGCAGGAGCAGCTCTTGTGCTGCCAGAGTACCAACACCTTTCCAAACAGATGTCTATGGTTGATTCCTTCAACTTCAACATGCACAAATGGCTTCTCACAAACTTCGACGCGTCATGTCTATACGTTCAGAAACGCAGAGACCTCACGGACGCTCTCAGCATTACGCCCTCGTACCTGAAGAACGAGTACACCGAAAGCGGCCTTGTGACCGATTATCGTGACTGGCAGATTCCTCTGGGTCGCCGCTTCCGCTCTCTCAAGATCTGGTTCGTGCTCCGAACATGGGGCGTCAAAGGTCTACAAGAACATATCAGACATCACATCAACCTCGGAAACCTGTTCGCGGACCTGGTGCGTTCGCGGCCTGATCTCTTCAGCATTCTTGCTCCACCTGCTTTCGCCTTGACTGTGATCACCATCAATCCTCAAATGTGGCAAAACCTCAAACTTTCGCAGTCAGCGAACGGAGCGGATCCGCGACCGGAACAGGATTCAGTGGACACCAAAATTGCAGTAGATTCAAAAGCGGACGTGGACGATCCCACGTTGAGAGCTGCAAATGATGTGACGAAGGAAGTGTTCGAGTTGATCGATGCGAGGAAAGAATGGTTCCTGACTTCGACGATGGTCGGTGGAGTCTATGCGATCCGAATTGTGTCGGCGAATCCTTTGGCAGAGGAGAAATATGTCAGACAGGTGTTTGAGGAATTGGTGCGAACCACTGAAGAAGTCATGTCGAAGCATTTGGAAGGCGGAGCTTGAGCAGCAAACAGTAGACCGGGAACATTGCAAACGTTACAAAGCTGGCACGACAATTTCGGTATCGTGGACCTGCTCCGTTTGCGAGGCCAGGGACTTCCACCAGAAGTGCGGCGAGGATACCAAGCGATTCTCATCTGGCCGAACACCGTATGCATCTGTTACGCGTACATGGATGTGATTCCGGAGCCATTGCAGCAACTGGATCAGAAATTCTGTCAGCATACCATCCAGCGATGTAGCCATGAGCTGTTCCGGTGCACGCCACGATCACAGCACTTTGAGGTTGTACGAAATCACGAAGATAAGCGAAAGGTTGCTCCTTCGCTACATTGAAAGAGACATGTGGGCGACAAGCGAGCACACAAGAAGTCGGCAGGTCGACTTCACACGACATCAAAGAATTTCCTTACTTCTGTAGATATGTATATGTATCCAGCTAACACGAGTTTCTGGGCTGGAGAAGCGATTCGATACATACGTACACGGCCAGTTGCTAACAGCATAGAGCTCGCATCTCCAGGTTTTGAGATGGCTACAGGTTCTGCGCGAGTCACAACAATCCAAGCCAAGACTGTGGCGCTTGGAGAACCGCAGTGTGCTCCGCCGGAGCAGCCCATCTGCAAGCAGGGTCTGAGCTTGCTGGTCGAGTGGCCTAGCATCCGGCTACAAAGCCAACACGGAACTCTGAAATCATGAGACATGCGGAGAAGCCCTGTGCCGATTTTGCGACCTCTCTCCCGCTCACATCCACTAGCATAAGCAAATGGTAGAGCTATACCGAGGATGAGTCGTTGCACAGAAAAGCGGAGAAGCATGGTGATTTGAACGAACTCATAGAAACGGACCAGAGCTTAAATGGTCAAAGATTGCTGCTTGAAGACGAGATCTGCTTGGCTTGTTGCTGAGCGTTTGGTCATCTTGCTATCATGGGTCGCTACATTCCCAATGCTTTCAACCTGGCTGTGGTCATCTATGTGGCACTTGGCTCCACGGCTTGCTCGTATGGACTTGCTATTCTCGGCAGTACGATCGGTCAACCATCCTTCTTCAGGTCTCTTGATCTTGCACAGCAAGGCGAGCCAGGATATGATCGAACTGCGAATCTGTTTGCCGCCTTCAATGGTGTGAGCAGTGCGGGAGCGTGTTTGGGGGCGATCTTCAATAGCTGGTAAGTGCGAGACAGATTGAGATTGAAAACTGGTGTTGCTTACTCTCTTGCCTACAGGTCCGCGGATGCACTATCTCGGAAACATACAATTCAACTGGGAGCCGCTATCCTGAGCATTGGAGCCGGACTCTGTGCAGGCTCTGTCAATGTTGGCATGTTTGTCTTTGCTCGTCTGTTCGCAGGCTTCGGAATTGGAATCCTCGTCACTTGTATTCCAATGTACCAAGCCGAAGTGTCGACGCCCGAAACGAGAGGCTTCATGGTCTCGATGCACGGCATCATGTTCGCTATGGGCTACAGTCTATCCTCCTGGATCGGTTTCGGAGTATACTTCATTTCTGCGTCAGGCTTCGAAAGCACTTTCCCATGGCGTTTTCCACTCGCATTCCAGGCAGTTCCTGCACTACTGCTACTTGCAGGCTCATTCTGGCTACCATATAGCCCTCGATGGCTGATGCAAAAGGGACGATTTGAAGAAGCTGAGGGTGTCCTGAAGAGGCTGCATACCCGAGCTGGTGATACCCACCAAGAAGAAGCCGCGAAAGAATTCTACCAAATGAGGAAGCAACTCGAACAGGATCGCGCCCTGAAAGCCAAGATCAGTCAATTCGAGCTCTTCAAGACAGCTTCCAACCGGAAGAGAGCATTGATCTGCGCAGCAATGATGTGGTTCAATATGTTCACAGGTACAGCTCACGCTAGATTCGCCACGCATGAACTCTTCTGACCACTGTCCCCAGGCGTCCTCATCATAGCCAACTACGCCGTAATAATCTTCACCGACCTCGGTCTCTCAGGCTACATGCCTCTCCTTCTTCTCGCCCTCTGGGTAACCGCCTCCTTTCCCGGAAACATCCTAACAGCCCTCTACGTCGACCGCTGGGGCCGGCGAAAGTTCATGCTCGTAGGCGCCGTCGGCCTAACGATTTCCCTCCTCCTCGAAACAATTCTTCAAGCTCTCTATACCGGCACTTCCAACGTCGCTGGCCAACGTGCTGCGATTTTCTTTATCTTTTTGTTCATTATCTTCTGGAGTAGTTGTTTTGATGCAACGCAGTATTTGTACATGGCGGAGATTTTCCCGACGGATGTGAGGAGTCAGGGAACGGCTTGGGGGATGGCGAATCAGTTTGCGGCGCAGATTATCATTGTTGTGGCGGGGCCAATTGCGTTGGAGAAGATTGGTTGGAAGTTCTTCTTGGTGTTGTTGTGTCCGACGGCGGTGTATGTTGGGGTGATCTATTTCTTCTTTCCTGGTAAGTTCACTCAGTCTCTGTTTGGTGAAGTGAGGTGTTTTGTGAAAGTGAACATGCTGATTGGCGTTGGTGCAGAAACGAAGAATCGATCGTTGGAAGATATCAATGCCGAGTTTGGGGATAGTGTTGCGGTGCACTATTTTGGTGCTACGGAAGAGGAGCAAAAGGAGTATGCTAAGGCGATTGAGGCGGAAGGAAGAATTTCAGCACATATGTCACATGTGGGCGAAAAGGAAAATGGGGTGCAGCAATTTGAGACTGTGACTAAGGTATGACATTTTCAGGATCGGGACCAGGCAGCGCATACACGTTGAAGTACCACGGGACAGCCAGAAATGAGCTCCCTGCAAGTACGACGCCATGACGAAAAATACCTTCCACGCACTCACATCCCGATCTGAAAAGTCAAAACCTTTTGTCTGCTATAGAAGTCGAGCAAACTTCCTCGGGCAAATTCAGGTATCACTTTGGAGGATTCAGCAGATAATTCAGATCTGTGAGTCCCAGGCTGGAGAATTGTGTTAGCCTGTCCTCACTACTTTCTCCACGCTCAACCATCCTCGTCTGCAAATCGACTTTTAACAAGCTCGTTCCCAGCCACTTGATAGGAGTCCCATCAGGTACAGCCCTGGGGACTGGTCAGCGATATACCTCTATTGGTCTTCAGAAAGAAGTGCACGTCGCTGAGGGGCCACGAAACAAAGCGTAAAACAGGACTTACACTCCCATATTGCCCTTATTGGCTTTCGCGGAACCTTCATATCTCACAGCGATCTCATCACAACTGGCAAACGCGTGTACAACCCGTGCTTGGAACTCTTTGTAGATGCTGTTCGTTTCTCCAGTCGAGATACCTTTGTACGCTTCTAGAACCTCGTCCCTACTGTTGAACAATGGAGTATCGGGGCCAATGATATGACATTGGTCTCTGCTGCCACGGCACAATATTGCGTCGCCATCGATGTCGACGTAATGTGGTGTGAGCAGACACATGGGGATGTCTGTGCCGGTTGGAGATTGACCGGTCGAGTTTGTGTTGAAGAGTTGGACGAATTCTGAAGCGATATGCTGTGCTTCATTATTTGTAAGGCAAGCGCCCATCTCGTTGGCGGAGAGCGGATGTGCGGCAATGCTTTGAAAGAGGAGCGAGAAGAGGATTCCGGCTGCGAGGCTTGAGAGGAGTGAACCGAGCATTTTGTCGAAGTTGATTCGATGTCGTCGGTGTGAGGTAGTCGGGTATCAGACAGAGTCACAGACCTCTGCGGTGCAATATTGTCCAGAACGAACTGAGTGGGCCAGAGGCGAACAGTGAACGGCTTCGAAGAAAGTGGTGCCTTCAGGCGTTCGCTGCGTCCGAGAAGCGGCATCATGGCAGTTCATTGCAGCCATATTTATAAAGATACGCTGAAGACATTCAGTCACGCTTTTTTGACTAATGTATCTGGTACTTAGATCCAAGGTTTCTTCACGGTAAAGTTCCATGCAGCTTTGGGATGTTGCTCTCTACATTGAGTAGGGCAAATGTCAAACGGGGTCGGTATAATGCGAAAGCTAGACGACGTTGAAGACTGTGCTGCAGGTAAGCTGTTTTGACCATGCTCGCCGACCGATATGTTAGCAGTACGCGGAGCAATTCGATCGAGACCGTGTCTGATCAGGGCATTGCATGGTGCGTTGGTCAAGGATCGCCTTCGTTGTCCCTGCAGAAGCACAACACCCGGGAGAGCTTAGGTTTCCAAATACGACATCGTGGCTCTGAGTCACGTAGGGCTCGGTGCTGCAGGGCTTGATAATGTAGGGTTCGGTGATGGCATTGGCGAGGAACAGTTGTTGCATGTCTTGCGAGAAGCATTGAGTTGCTGCACGTGTCAACGCCGCGTGGTCATTCTTCAGCCACGCGTCATGTGCTCGGAACCTCAGAAACTGAGACTCGGTTCCACTCACGAGGGCGGAAGAAGGTCGATCACTTCAGAAGAGGTTCTCAAGTGAAGAGATAGAAGTGAAGCGAAAGTAAGGAAAGTGGTCGCGTCTTGGCCGGGGTGCTGATCCCAGTCAATGTTTGAAGCTCAGAGGCAAGCTGTCCCAACTCACCAACAATTCTTCCGGCATTAACCCAAGCCGCTGCTCACAGGCATCTTCAGGAGATTCTATTCTCTGACGTCGCTTGGAGATGATGGAGAGTCCTATCTTGTACACTAAAGCGCCAATATAAAACGACTGCACGCGTTCGAGCACAGCAACCATGGATTCCGCCGATTCAATACCAGAGGAAGTGTGGGACGGGATGGAAGTGATTGCAGAGCAGTCGCAGGTGGTGTGGTGGATTGCCATTGGAGCCACGATGTTATCGGGATTCGTTCTATGGGTACAGCAGCTGAATACGCACACTCGGAGTCAGACTGACACTTGTCTAGCTCTACTCAATAGTTTGGCTGTTCGCTCCCTCTCCACGTCCGCCGACCAAAGCTGAAAAGCAGTACATTACTGTGACTGCCGAAGGACAAATCTCACCTCCACAACCACTTCCCTGTTGGTACGACAATCATGTTGCGGTTAAAGAAATGTCGCGGAAAGGCCTCATACCCCGCGAAGAGTCCCACCAGATCACCGACGCCGAATGCTTCATGACACTTGTGATCCCCGCATACAACGAAATGCACCGATTGAATGGGATGTTGGAAGAGGCAGTGGAATACTTGGAAGAGCAATACGGACATCACGGAACACCGAGCAGGAGTAGTAGCAATAGCAAATTGCAGGCCAGTGGACAGCAGGGAGATCCGCGAAGAGGGTGGGAGATCATTCTGGTCAGCGATAGAAGTACGGATAAGACTGTCAATGTTGCTTTGAACTTTGCGAGGACGCATCAGCTCAGCAAGCCTCCGCCGACATACAAGGGGCCATGGATAGGAAATGGCGGGGCTAAGCCGACGACTATTGCGCCTGGCACGATTCGAGTAGTGAGCCTGGAACAGAACAGAGGGAAAGGCGGAGCGGTGACACACGGTATGAGACACGCAAGAGGAACATACATTGTCTTTGCAGACGCAGATGGAGCAAGCAGATTTACAGATTTAGGCAAGCTGGTCTTGGAGTGCGAGAAGGCAAAGGACAAGAAGGGAAGAGCTGTGGGCGTTGGCTCTCGAGCGCATATGGTTGGCACAGACGCTGTTGTAAAGGTGAGCTCTTTGGTGAAGCCAGTTCCACTCGCGCCTACTGACCTGCTCAGCGATCCGCTCTCCGCAATCTTCTCATGCGCGCTTTTCATCTCGGAATCTGGCTCCTTACAACGCCCAAAGTGGCTCAGATCAAGGACACGCAGTGTGGCTTCAAACTTTTCTCGCGGCCGGCTCTGCCTTATATCATTCCATATATGCACTCGGAAGGCTGGATCTTCGACGTAGAAATGCTCATGCTGGCTGAAAGCGCGGACATACCAATGGTGGAAGTGCCAATCGGTTGGAAAGAGGTCGTAGGGTCAAAGTTGAATGTCATCAAGGATAGTATAGGCATGGCGGTCGGCCTTGCGTTGCTGCGCGTGGCATGGGGTACTGGAATTTACAGAAGAGATTAATTCCAACGAGCTGGAATCTGGTCGTGCTTGAACCCGCCTGCCGCTAAGGAGCAAGACAGAAACCGTGCCCAACGCTGCGTACTCTGTTCCGGAAGTTCGAGTGCTCTTTCGATCCTTACCCTTTTCTCTGCCCAGAGCTGTGTCGCTAGGAACACTCTGTCTCGAGAAGCGCACTGGGCGTGGAAGCATTGTCGCGGTAAGTGCTCGCCATGTCTCCGGGTCCCTGTTTCGCTTCACGAGAGTCACTAGCATTGTATCGCTGCATGCGCTTCTTCGCCCAGACATGGAAGCCATGGAGAACCAGGACTTTTTTGGGTCGATCCCTTCACCTTCCGGAGAGCTTAAACGCCCCTGATGGGCCTGACCCATGTCCCTTCGCACACGCATAAGACGCGTCGTACTTCGACTGAACGCGTTGTTCCTCGACTGACCTTGTCGACGAGATCTGTTTCCACATTAGTGCACAATGAAGCGCGAACGCGAGGAAGACGACTCAGATAGCACAGCCATGCCACCACCATCGACACCACCACCGTCAACACCTGATAAATTCCCGCCACCGTAAGCCACTACGCTCGCACGTCGCCATTCGTCGACACAATCTCCTAGTACTCGGCACCTGGCTGACAACTTATACAGAAGTGCGTATGGTGAAACGGTGCAGATCAAAGTCGGGACAGATCGCACCAAGACATTTACTGTGCACAAATCAATACTCACTTTCTACTCTGGCTACTTCGCAGCTGCCTTTCGGCATGGAAACGCATTTCAGGAAGCCGAGACAGGACTCTTTAACTTGCCCGACGAAGATGTCAGGACTTTCGAAAAATTCGTTTGCTGGCTCTATAGCCGCCGGATCGACCTTATCGCTTCGGACAGCTCTTTTTTCGTTCTGTCCAGGTTGTGGGTCCTCGGCGATCGTCGACAAGTGCCATTGTTGATGAATGAATGCATAAACATGTTCCGAGACATGATCGTCCGCATGTGGAAGATACCTACAGCGTGCCTGCCGCTTATTTACGAAAACACAATGGACAGCTCGGCTTTACGCCAATTTGCTCTGGACATTATTGCGAAGACGGGCACCGCAAAGTTCTTGAAGGAAGGCAATGAATCTTTTGTCAAAGAGGCGCTGATAGATATCCTGAAAATTGTCTGGCAGGATGATCACAAGAGGTGGGCCAAGCACGATGTCGAAAAGCTGCAATTGTGCCCGCAGTACCATGTTCACGAAGAAGGTGTGACATGCAAGAAGGAATGATCTGACGCCCTCAGTCGAACATCTGCTCCTCGCCAGTGCGCTCTGAATCCAGATCTTTGCATGCGGATTGACATTTGGAAACGCGTTGGCTACGACCGGGACCATGTGGCAGAAAACGTCTGTTCATCGAAATCGGCCTCGGCGTGCAGGAGAAAATCGGAGCGTTCCTGCTGGTGTAGATCACAGTTTGTATTGCAAAAGGCTGAAGTATGCGAGACATAGTTCACGTTCCCCCGAAGCCCTTAGCCACGCAAAACGCGCTCGACCAGAGATCCCAGCAAGAGGTGGAGTCAGACAGATGTTGATGATCGACATGAAGCACAGAGTAACAAGGCACAGCTTATGTTCAGCCTCGCCTGCTGCATGTGCTGAAGTCGCAGCTCTATCTTCACATGATGAGAGAGTGAGCGCCAATAGTGAACCGGCAAACCTGTCCAAATGTGCTTGTAGTTGTTCAGATTGCAGCATGTGAATGCAGGGCACTGCTCATGGCACGTGCGGCACAGACAAACAGCAGACGATAATGCACGACTTGCATGAACATACAGACACGACCTTGCAGAGACTCTTTCGCTTTGCACATTGAGTGCTTCTTCTCTTGCACCCTTCAATCTACGCAGATATCTGCAGCAATGGCGCCCGCATCAACGGCATGCACATCTCCACCAAGGTCAGTCACACAATTCACCGCAGTATGAAAGCCGCGAACTCGCTCCTTTCAACAGGATAACTGACAAGCCGTCTTAGAAGCGCCTACGCCGAGACAGTGCAAGTCAAGATTGGGCCAGATCCGGGCGCGAAGGTCTTCACGATCCACAAAGGCATTCTTACATTCTACTCCGGCTAATTCGAAGGCGCACTCCGCCATCCCAGTACGTTCACAGAAGCACAAGACGGCATCTTCTGGTTGCCAGATGAAGAGATTGACGCCTGGGAACGATTCGTGCTGTTTCTGTACACTGGGAAAATCGACTTGACCGACCCTCCGCTCGCGATCGCCGACTCACCCAACCCTTCTGTCGACGTGCTCTGTCGCCTCTGGGTACTGGGAGATCGCCGCCAGGTTCCATTGCTCATGAATAAATGCATCGATGCTATTCACAGCGAAGTCGTCCATACCTGGTGCCCGCCAGTTCACATGCTGCCGTACGCCTACGCCAACACCGCGCCTGGTTCGGCTCTTCGTCGCTTTGTTTTGCTGCTTACCGCCCGAGCTGGCGAGTTGGCATTCGATCCGTCTATTGCCCATTTTTTTGACGAAGAATCTCTCCGCGATATTCTCCGGCTCATTTGGAATATCGAAGACATTCGGATTTGGAGACCACTTGAAGTGTTTATTCTCAAAACCTGTGCAGAATACCACAGTCACGGAGCGGGTGAAAGGGAGAATTGTGGAGAGGAGGAGTAGCAATACATCATGTTCGCGCCACGATTCACATCCTATTGGATGTCTCGCATGATATGAGAAGTTGGACATTGGCTGCGCGATGGAACAGACACAGGCACTGCTGAAGCTACGCAGCGCGATACCGCGCTTCGCAGATAGAGTGTTGCTGTGGGAAAGACGCATCTCTCTCCCGATCACTTCGTCTTTCGAAGCTTCTCTCGTCAAATAGCCTCAGAGCTACTTCATTGATAAAACTCCAGACAAACATGACGTCTCTCCATACTCCGTTACAATCCTACGCTTCTCTTACTATACATGCTCGTCAGACCCGATTTCCGACATTCGGGCAGTGTACCGATTACCGATTGTGATCAACGACTGCAACTACCTCCTAGTGATCCTCAGTGTGGCAGCCCTGGCATGATGTACCGGACTTGGGTCCGTTGCAGCGTGCAGGGTGCGGTTATGACTGTGAGGACCTCGAGTACCCTTTCAATCCTCGTGTCTCCGCCTTGTGCAGCGTAGCTAAGGCGCTCCGTCTCGACAAACGAAGCTGCCGCGGGATCGGGTTCGTGAGAGAGGTCGCAAAGTGAGCGTATCGCCCGGTTTCTATTTTGCTGTCCGCAGCTAGGGTGCGGCTAGAATGCAAGCCACGCATAGCGTTGCTCGGTCAGCACCATGCACACAGCGAAATCTCACAACAACACGAGAGTTGATGTGACGTGACGGTTCGAGGATAAGAGAGCAGAACCAGGGACGAAACATTCTCGTTTAGGTACCGATGAATAGGAGGCTTGGCGTTTGGCGTGGTGGATGCCAGAATCGCTGCGGTGGGCCTGATACCCGCCCGTGAACGTCCGCGTGCCTCTTTATCTTCGCTACGCGACCAACTGCCAGCGTCCGCACACTGCACCGGCTGTCCTCCTCCTATGGACGTAAACATCTTCGCACCGCCTGCGAGCCCTCCGAGTCCTGGCGACTACACATCCTGCGCACCGTGATGTCGGCCCTTGTGCCTCCTGCCGCCAACGAGCGATTCGAGCCGCCTGCCCTGGACTTGGGAGATCATCGCAGTAACATTGCTTCGAGCGTGCGGAGCGGCGCCCCTACCACGAATAGCATCGTCAAATCCAGCAGATGGGCGCGGAGGACAATTGGGCTTTTTCTGCTCACCGTCACCATCTTGGCCTGGACCAGCACCAACTTTCTCGCGAGTGTACGGCCCCCCTTAGTTCCCAATCCTACATGAGGGAGACAGCACACTGACATACGAGCAGTCCATCTTCTCCGACGATACCTACTCGAAACCCTACTTCGTCACCTACGTCAACACAGCATTCTTCATTATCCCACTGGTACCGATACTGATCAAGAGGTGGCGCGAAAATCCCGAAGCATTCAGGGCATGGATAGACGAGCTGCGCATGCGCGCAAAGGGCAGATACTCTGCTTTGAAGCAGGAAGAGGGAGAGAATGACCGCGGCTATCACGAGAGTCCCATTTTACGCAGCACAAGCGCGCTCCTGGACGAGCCTGTTGAAGGGAGCCAGGTGCTCAGCGGTAAGGACTTGGGCATTCCACCTTCGGACGCTGCCGAGGCGCCTCTGACGGTACTGGAAACCGCGCGACTCAGCTTGGAATTCTGCCCTCTCTGGTTTCTGGCAAATTACTTTGTGGCAGCGTGTCTGCAGTACACTACAGTGGCCTCCTCCACCATCCTGACCAGCACGAGTAGTGTCTTCACACTCATATTTGGAGCCATGTTCAGAGTTGAGCGCTTCACAGTGCGCAAATTGCTCGGCGTGCTTGCGTCGTTGGCGGGAATTACTCTCATCTCGTGTCTGGATCTGTCTGGTAAGACAAACGACGATGAACATCGAGGCGACTTCCCGCAAAAGTCGCTGAAGGAGATCGCAATCGGAGACTTCATCGCATTCCTCTCCGCAGTCATGTACGGACTCTATGCTGTTTTCATGAAGAAACGCATCGGAGACGAAAGCAAAGTCGACATGCCGCTTTTCTTCGGCTTCGTGGGCCTCATCAATGTCCTCATTGCCTGGCCTGGACTCATTATTCTGCATTACACGGGCGCCGAAACATTTCAGCTACCTCCGACTGGAGACGTGACACTGGTCGTCTTCCTGAACTCGGCGGGGAGCTTGATTGGAGACATTGCATGGGCATACGCAGTGCTATTAACCTCGCCCATCGTCGTTACCGTTGGCTTGAGTCTGACGATACCACTATCTCTGATCGGCCAGATCATCCTGGACAACCAGAGAGCGGGGCCGTGGTACTGGTTGGGAGCATGCATCGTGGTTCTATCGTTTCTTTTCATCAATCACGAAGAGAAGAAGGACGACGACATACCTACGCCTGCGGCAGGCGAAGGGCCCAGCGCAGAAAGACAGGACTTTCTAGCGCGATGATGATCACGTAATAATATGAATTGGAAATCCGCAATTTGCTTCAATTTCATCTTGCTATTCCATGTACTCTGGCTCGGCCCTCCTACTGCGCTTCAGCAGCTCATACGCCAACCCATTGATCTCCAATATCGCAACCTCGATCTCGGGCTTATCGAGCAAGCGGTTATGCCATCCTAGCGTATCTGCCACTGCTTCTCGCATATCTTTGTCGGAGGGAGGCGTGGACGAGTATACGACATGTATTGCCTCCGCTAATTCGACCGCATCCCAGTGTCGAGTCAATTGAATCTTGAATTTATCAAGACAAAGCGCTTTCAACCCGCCAACTCCGTACTGCTCAGCAGCAGCATACATTCGGGCATGCAAGACTAAATGAGGTTCTTGCGTTGCCAGCGGTGAAGGCTCAGGCGGGCTAGTCACCATGCTTCGATTTGCTTGCTGGCGCCTTCTGGGCTGGTTGGTGTTGTATGCTGTGTATTCTGTAGCCCCGAGGGGCATCGCATGCATTGTCAGAGCGGAGTCTGTACGCGATCTGAAAGGTGGTGAGAATGGTGATGCCGGGCCACCGAATGCGCTGATAGCGGACGTTCCATATACGTGGCCATAATTTCCTGCATCTGTTCGCACGCTCGTGGCGTCGGAACTATGTCTTGAAGCTGGTGTTGCGGGATCTGGAAGCCGGATGATGGGGTCGTAGTCTAGGAGATAGAAGTATTCTACTATGAGTCTCACGACTTCATCGTCTTCTGGTAGGGTTATTTGTCCTTCGACGCCTTCCTGAACTTGAGATCAGCAAATGAATTTGTGGTAGCACAGCGCAGTCGGTATATCTTACCCTCCATCTTCCTTCTTTACAAGCCCGATAAATGAATTCTGACCTCGGACACACAATTGCGCGATGCACCGCGTGCCTCGTACCCTCTCGCCCAAAAACCACAAGATCCGAGAAGTCCCGAGACTGATATATCGCAGCGAGCCCAGCAAGTAGATCTTGCTTAGATCGTTCTCCCATAGTAAGAGCTGAGGTCGATCTCATGCAACCAGGCCTCAAAATGCCTAGAAAGGAAGCGTCGTCATCTGATGAGGCAGAGCTACAGTTAAAGAAGCTACATAGCTCTGTCTGTGTTTCTTCTTTGCCATTGCGGCTGTGCTCTTGTACCCGGACAAGCCTGCGAAACGCAGATCAGGGAAGGGAAGGATCGTGCTATTCTGGTCTTTGTGGCTCGTAGGATTAGTTAAGATTATGGTCATCCATCATGGGCGTTCCTTGAGTACATTCGGAGAACCATGAAGCTGTCGTGCATATGATACGATGGAGTGCGATCTTTGCGCTCTCAATGTTGACGTGGTCTTCTTAGTGTTTCTCAGCGACAGTCTTGCCTTGTGGAATGCGGCAGTCGTGAAGCGTGGGTAAGGTGTAGATGACCTCGGAAGCCTTGGCGTTCTTAAAATAGCCGGGATTCTACGCTTTCCAGACTTCACGCATCCTCTTCCTCCTCTACTTTGCACAGATCGTCCATGCTCTATATTGTCAAAGCCAAGCGTGTTGATTCTGATATTACCAAATCACAGACAAGGCGACTACACCGGATCGTGCGCCGATGTCACGATAGCACAAGACAAGCGAAAGTTGACGAATGGATCCAGGAAGGCCATTGCAGAACATGGGATTCAACACCGCGTAGGACGTGCTCATCGTATTGGTGACAAGAGCCCAACACCATCATTGAAATTATTCGTCAAGCTTCATCGAGCATACCAAACTTTCTCAAAAATTTGTGGCCTCACCCAAATATGCCTGCTCCGTAGAGACGGCTACGTTCAGAGCCATCAAAGGTACGGAATTCAGGTCGTAGCTATGCCGATGGGTGGCACAGAGCTGGCCATTACAGATTCACTTCTTCGTCTCGGTTGGATGTTGCGAGTGGCGACGAGCTGCTTGCGGAGTCAACGGGCCTCAGACCTCATCTTGCAGACAGAAATGACAAAGTGTACGAACTTGCACCACCAGCTTCTGCAAGTGCCAGAGAAACGTAATCGCCGGCATGCCTGCTCGTAGCCCCTCAGTCCTCATTTTAGGAACGGAAGTCAAGGTGGAAAATATCTCTGATGAGATTCGCATCAAGTGGCCTCGACATGCGGGGCCAAAGTGCTTCAGTCCTCGTTCCAGAGATGGCATCGACGAAATAATGGAACTCCACTGGACAGCCAGCATTCAGTCATCCTCATTCTCTTTAGGAAGTGGTACTCGCCAAAGTCAGTTCCTTGAGGACAACGCCCACAACTTCATATACTACATGCCTCCCACTGTGCTCCCACTCCTAATATCATAGCTTCGCTCTCGCATTGCCCGATACTCAAGCATAGCCAATCTCGAAGTTTTCAGAGACAACCCACACACACTCACACACAGAAGCAAGATGGGAGGCCTCTCACCACTCGCCCAACGCTTCTCAGAGATTCACCCTGACCGCGCCCCCGTTGCGATCCACAACACCAGCTCAGGCCAGATTGGAATGGCCGAGAATGCCCAAAGACAGTACGATGAAAAGCGTGCCTCACGTCTCCGCGAGGTTCCCCAGCCACCGAAGGTGCAACGCGGCAACAAAGTGCTCTGTTCAGGCAGCAGAGACTCCATCCTGCGTGACCCCTTTCATCGCGGCAACCCAGAGGCAACGTACAGCCTCTCCTACTCTCGGTCCTACGAGCAAGGCGCTCTGAAGGGCACTCCTTCCGAGCGGCCCCCTAGTATGCCCCTTGGAGCGATCAAGGAGTCGGGGCCAAGGTGCCACAATGAGCGGAAGTGTGATATGCACGCCAAGGGGTATACGGCGGAGCAGACGCTCATCTTGGCGAGAGAGGATTTGTTGGAGGAGAAGCCTGGTCTCGTGTTGGGGATTGGTGGTCTCAAGGCTCAGGATCACGATGATGATGCCGAGTGGGAGGATATGGAGGATGGATCGACTGTGATCCGGCGGAGATGAGTTTGGGGATTGATCCAATCTCCATGAGATTGATGTGCACTGAGACACTCGGTGAGAGCATTTGAAAAAGTTTTGGAAATGGGATTTCTGGGGATTGGCAGATCTGGGACCGATCGCTCTGAAAGATAGATCTCTGCGTAGGCATTGAATGGAACGATGTCAATAAATTTTATGCTGCGATATTCAGGAGATGGAATTCGTGAATCCGCGCACGCAAGCGGACCTCGGGGGCTAGACGCGTCGAGAGCATGTGGGCTTCGTTGGGCACACTTGCACAAGATTAATAGCGCGCAAGAAAGATGGAGAAGAAACTGCTGGAAGAGGACAATAAGTGGAGGACGATAGTGGAGGACCGACAGCAGATTGCCAAAGCTAAATCAAATCGAGTTAGAAAGCTCATCAATTGACAGTGGCTTTCGCCAAGACATATCCACAATTGATCGGAGACCGTCCACTTCACCCAATACAACGCTTTCTAAGTACAGATTCCAATTTTCAATCGCTGTGACACGGGGATAGATAGGTACAAAGTTCTTCGAGGTACTTGCTCTGCGGTACGAGCAACAAATTCCTCACTTTTTGCAGTTAACCTGTGTCGTCTCTCGCTGACTCAAGAAGATTTTCGCTAAAACTCGGAATCCAAGAATCCTTCCCCAAAGCTTAAGTCGTGTGCAGCACAAATTTGGCCCGCGAAATGTCGACTGCGTACAAGATGTTCGATGGTGTACTGAGTCCTGGCGTTTCTGGACAACCGACTTCCATGATGACGACCGACCACCATGTTTACAACAAGTAAGTGTATTTCAATGCTTGCAAGATTGCTGGTTGGAAAAATGCCGTGCTATGACACATTCGACAAATTTTTGCTGTGCTGCTGCGAAGTCGGATTGATATGAGGGGCGTCGCGAAAAGGCGAGATCCCAGCTCTGGTCGTGCTTGCAGCAACAAAAGATCAAAGGATGCGCTCGAGTCGATCATCTGGTGGCAAGAGCACCTGCGGCATTGAGAATTGGGTCCGGCGCCGAAATCCTTCAGGCGGCATGCGATTGGCATTGAGACATGGGCAAATGGACTAACTAATCGCAGCCCCCTCAACTCGAGATACTGCTCGACGGAGATGAAGTACATCTTCTCTCCCCACAACCGCTTCAGCACATGGCGCCAACTTTGGGTCTACCTCGCAGAGTCCGAGAAGGAGCTCGGTCTGCCGATTTCAGATGTTGCCATTCAGCAGATGAAGGATCATATCAGCATTGAAGGCGACGAGTTTGGTGCTGCTGCTATCGAGGAGAAGCGCAGACGTCACGATGTCATGGCCCACGTCCACACGTATGGCGTTGTCGCACCTGAGGCAGCTGGTATCATTCACTGGGGAGCCACGTCATGGTACGAATTCCGTCTCGTTGATAGGTGTCTTGCGAAGCTCACGAGTCCCCAGCTACGTTACCGACAACGCAGATCTCATTTTCCTGCGAGATGCTCTTGACCTCATCTTACCTAAGTTGGCAGCTGTCATCCAGCGCCTCTCGGCTTTCGCAATGGAGTACAAGGATCTGCCTTGCCTTGGATACACTCACGGTCAAGCAGCTCAGCTCGTCACAGTCGGAAAGCGCGCATCCCTCTGGGTCACTGACCTCCTCCGCAACCTCCGTGGCCTGGAGCGCCAACGCGAGGAAATCCTCAATTCCTTCCGTGGCGTCAAAGGAACCACTGGTACGCAAGCCAGCTTCTTGACAATTTTCAAGGGCGATCATGCAGCTGTCGAGAAGCTTGACGAGCTCGTCACCGAGAAGGCAGGTTTCAAGAACGCCGAGATTTCTACCAGCCAGACATACTCTCGCTTGATTGACGTCGATGTCCTCCACGCATTGAGCTCGTTCGGTTGCGCATGTGAGCGCATTGGCGGCGATATTCGTCACTTGGCCATGTTCAAGGAGGTCGAGGAGCCGTTTGAAGCCGACCAGATCGGTTCGAGCGCGATGGCTTACAAGCGCAACCCAATGCGTTCGGAACGTCTCTGCTCGCTCGGAAGGAAACTGCGCAACTTCTCTGCCGATGCGGAGCAGACTTATGCTTCTCAATGGCTTGAGCGCAGTTTGGATGATTCTGCGATTCGAAGAATCAGTTTGCCTGAGTCGTTCCTGAGCGCTGATGCCTGTTTGATCTTGGTGGGTACCTGTCTTCCACCACTCTCGTTGCAGATTGCTGATTTGAATCTAGCTTAACAACATCTCAAATGGTCTTGTTGTCAACAAGGCTGTGATCGCCAATCGCATCGAGCAGGAGTTGCCTTTCATGGCCACCGAGAACATCATTATGGCCCTCGTGGAGAAGGGCAAGTCAAGACAGGAGGTGCATGAGGAGATTCGGTAAGTCATCAGTCCTTCGTTCATTGTCGACAATACAGCTAACCGAATCGAAGTGTGCTTTCTCACCAGGCCGGCGCCGTGGTTAAGCAAGAAGGCAAGCCAAACGACCTTATCGAGCGCATCCAGAACAACGAGTACTTCCAGCCTATTCTGTCTGAGCTCCCTGCACTGCTCGAGCCTTCAACGTTCATCGGCCGCTGCCCTCAGATTGTCGAGAAGCTGGTCAAGGATGTGGTCAAGCCAGCTCTCCAGCCTTACGCAGCAGATCTGGCGAACGCGCAGGTTGCTGAGTTGAGCGTGTAGATGCGGTTCCTTCGGGATGGTAGATGAAAAGGGGCAATGACTAGAGCGGACGACATTAACGAGAGTGGATGAACGACCATAGACGTCTGTACATACGAAACTGATTCAGTCATGCTTGTCTCTGCTCTGATTGCAAATTTCAAGGCGTGACTTCTCGCCTTGAGCATCCAACTGTTCCGCGCGCTATACCGAGTCCGCTCATGACCTCGTAAAGGGCCACGGGTCGTTCCTACCCCAATACAGCAACGAAGCTCCAACTGCCAGGTAGTTGATCATTGTGATCCCATGTGCCGAAGCCAACGCTTCATATCCATACTTCTTCACAATCGCGGCATCAGCCAACGAGCTCAAAGCGCCATACAGCACCGCAAACCCCAGCGACCTTCGATCGCGCGTATAACATGCCAGCGTCAAGATCAGAGCTCCATTCTGAATATTCCTGAACGATACAGCTTGCACCAGACCCTTTTGCGTCTTTTGGTTCTGAGTTAAAGCTTTGTTCTCGTCTTCGACCGCGTCGATTTCGAGGCCGTAGCCTTTACCGAAGGCCTTCGCGTCTGAGAGACCGCCGATACCAGAGATGATGAGTTCGGAGCAGCCGACGAGGATGGCGAGACATTCGGCCGGTGGCGGGAAGTGCGCGAAGAGGCCTTCGCCTGGGTATCGTGAGGCCATGATGGACGACTGGTTGTTGCTATGCGACTGGTGAAGAGATGGGCGGTGCACTGAGCTCATCAATGACGATCAACTGAAGCAACAGGAAACAGGTCAACAGCGAGCTCCCAATGCGGTCTAGCGTGGGCCAATGCTGGAGCTGGCAGACTTTGGGACGCGGCGACAGTCGGAGACATTGGAACGGAGCTCTGGAACGTCGTCTTGTCTCGCACTGGCCGAGGGCATGATGTCAAGCTACCATCTGCCAGCGACATGTCCACAGCATCTCCTCAACGAGGCTGTGGAGTCACAACGGCAGGAAGTCACACGACACGCGAGTCCGCACTCGCGTCTGCTGCCTCTCTTCGCTCTGGCCGAAACTCAAAGGCCGACTCCAGCCGACCCCCATTGCTCATGTCGACAGGTCCAGAATTTCTGATATTGAGCAACGACATTGTCTAGACATAACAACTCCTCATGGCAGACCAGCGATACATCTTCAGCAACAAAGAACTCGAAGTCTATTTTGACAGGATATGCCTGCCGGAACACAAGCGAGTCTACGATGTGACTGGACTCTCCAACGATGATCAGCTCGAATTCCTGCACCTGCTGCAAAAACACCAATTGGTCAAAGTACCATGGGAGAACTTGACCCAGCACTATAGCTGGCACAAAGTCATCAATTGCAAGCCCAAACACCTGTTTCGCAAGATCGTGCGTCAACCAGGTCGAGGCGGGTAAGTCCACCTATACAGTAACGAGTCGCGTGACATGAGCCTGCAACTAATATGACCTAGCTACTGCATGGAAGCCAACCCCTTCTTCCACCACGTCCTCTTAAGCCTCAAATTCGACGTCTACATGTGCGGAAGCCGCATCTTCCATGCCAAAACCCAAACCTACGGCGGCTTCACCCACGTGGTAAACCTCGTCACAATTGCTGGAACGAAATACCTCCTCGACGGCGGCTTCGGAGCCCAAGGTCCCTCTCGCCCCATGCCTCTCCACCACCGCGAAGTCCTAACCCAAATCTATCCCGCCCAAATGCGTCTAATCTTCGACACAATTCCCCAAAACCTCAACAGCAGCCACAAAGTCTGGCAATACCAATTCCGTTACTCCTCCCCTTCTCCCCGCTCCTCCCCAGCAACTTCTCCGGATCGAAGACAAGAACCCTGGCAAACAATGTACTGTTTCCCCGATATCGAATTCCTTCCTGCCGATATCGAGGCCATGAATCTCGAACCTTGGCTTAGTCCTCATACATTTCTCACGCACAAAGTCGTCGCTGTACGATTTACTACAGCTCTCGAACGGAATGGAACTAAAGGACCTGCGTCTCCTTATGAAACGGAACTGGAAGGCGAAATTGACGGGGCTATAGTTTTGAATCACGATGTGCTGAAATGGCGACGCAGAGGACAAAAAGTCGCTGAAATTCCATTTCGATGCGAAGCAGATCGCGTAGAAGCGCTAGGGATGTACTTCGGGATCACATTGAGTGAGGAGGACTTGGAGGGGATCAAAGGGACAGCGGCGGAAATTGGGGCTGGGGCATTGACGCATGGGTGAGATGAGAATCGAAGTAAGTGTTGGTCAGAGGGAAATGTGCTGTGTTCTGTTGGCCAGACTTCGCTTCCGAGACCGCTTGTAAATAAAATTTGTTTAGAATTGAGGGAGAGGTGATTGGAAAGTGGAGAAAAGGATTGTACATACATTGGAGAGTCGACTTGTCAACATATCAACATCAGCCCATGATATGGCTTTACTTCCTCACGCGCATCCTTCGCTGCAAGGTCTACATATATAATGCATGAACAACAAAGCATTCCGCAAGGCCAACACATCATGCATCACGCATGAAGAACGTGTCTAAGGCTGTACAACAATGAAGGCACTGACTGACAGCACAGCACAGCACAGCACATCACAGCACCGAAGAAATGGTATTTGACAGGCAGATCTGCAGCCCGTGCGAGCTTCGACAGCCCACCACGTGGCAATGTCAAGGTCATGGGCATGAAGGGAAACAACAAATGATGGCCAAGTTTCTTCTTCAGTATCATCCACAAAGGAAACCCTGGACAAGTTCTGTGACATCTGCGCGCTGGCAATTTCGACGTCACTTTGCGATCTGATGGAGTACGGCCAAGGTAAGTTCAGACTCTCCTGTGTCATGCCACAACGACGGCTCTTGTCACTCAACCTCTGATAGCGAATTGTTTTTCGTTGAAGGATGCACATATTATTCTTGGCAGTATTTTCTTCCGCTCTTTTTTTTTTCTCATCATCAAAAAGAGCCACAGGTTTTGGTAAGTAGCTGATATGCACACATGCTCGCTCGCTCGCCAGCTCTTTTGCTCCCGAACAAGTGAAACCATCACAGGAGTCGCAATCGACGGTCCCAGCACAAAAGCTGCTTTCCTCCTTCGTGCTACACCCTCGTAGTAATCATCAACATTTCATCGCTACCCGCTCCATGTGGCCAATGCATCATGTCAATATCAAAAGTAAACGCCAATTTGTATGCTGAGCTGAACAAGCATAAGAGAATCATTACGCATCTCCGGAGGTCCAAGTGGTCGCATCCGGATTGCTTAACTTCGTGGGTATCGAGCAGGACCGCCCATGTATGGCTCAAATCCAAGTCAGGGAAACGCCAACGCTTAGAGTGCTTGCGAGCTCCATTGAAGATGTGTTTGTTTACATCCAGCTGTAGGTGTGGATGTCATGTGGCCATATCCTGCAAGGCCTGGAGCACAGTCCGCGAACGTAGTAATGCATGAGGCCAATGTGCCCGGGTAGTGTGATACTGGCCAGTATGGATAGCCACATGATGGATCATGACACGAACACAAGGTAGTGCGATCCATGCCAGAGCGCCAATGACGGCCAGTGTGCCTCCTAGAGTGCGGTTGCACATATCCATAACGGCCAAGCCCACACCGGAGTCCAAATTGTCCACGAAATGTGGACGCAATCACCTCCTGCGGCGGTCGCTAGAAGAAGTGCCAGACAAGCCACCAAACACACTGGCACGGTTTGTGCGCGAGGATCCAGAGCTGGGTTGTGGGTTGCTTGGTGCAGCTGGCGCGACCCGTCAGTACGGGTCTACGCCTTGAATTCGCTCATGTGAACTTACGTCGACCAGCATATTGATCGTACTGCTGTGCGGGAATAGCACCGTATGGACTACTAAAGTCAGTAATGCGCGAGGAACAATGACCTGGAGAAGCGAACCTTTGCTGTGGTGGACTCGCAATGGGCTCACGATCCCGAGCGGACACGGAGGACACAGTGGCTGCCGGACTAGGGTAGGCGTACCTGGCGGGGTCTGCATAATCGGACTGAGGAGGATACCTTGTTTCCCTTGGATCACGACCTTGTGGAGGCGGTTGTGGATATCCTCCTGCGCCATATGGATCGGCGCGACCTGGTATTGATGGAGCAGTCTCATATCCGGATACCGGTACAAAGTAGTTGCCCTGTCTCACGTAGCCTGGCGGGGCTCCATCATTGGACTGCTGGTAGCTTGGAGCATACCTAGGTTCCTGACCATATGCACTGGTGACGGGAGGCTGACCAAAGCCGGACATGTTGGTATCCGCAGGATATGATGACCTACCGTCCGGCGCAAACCCTCTACTTTCAGAGGGAAATGGTCGGCCGTCAGGCTGATATGGGGCACGGCGATCCGGTGCAGGATAGCTTCCTCTGCTGGGCGCAGGCGGGTCCACCTGCATTCTGTCCACTGGTATCCTTTCCCGTTCACGCTCGCGTTGGGATGGGGGCAAGCCATACGGTCCATCCATGTTGGGCGAGTCTCCTCCCGAGCGTTTTTGTGACACCCTCCCCGCACTGGAAGCGTGGTATGTGGAAGAGCCCACATAAGGTTCTATTGAGTCGTCAGGTACTGTTAACCCCGATTTGATACTCATGGTAGGGCTCTTGCTACCTCTTGTGCCTGTCTGGCGCTGCTCCTGCCTCCATCGTGCAGAGTCTGCGCGCAGATCCGCAATCATTGCCTGCAGTCACGGTTAGCGAAGGAACGACGTCTGAGGGAAGGTGCGACACACTGATGTCAAATTCCGGTACGCCTTGATCCAGTAGCCTTGCACGCCCTGCCACGTAGTTAGTATTGCTTGCATCCGAGTGCCCTCAGTGAGAGTGGCTGACCTGGTTCTCGCCGGTTCCCACACCGGGTCGGACGGTCGCATCGTTGCCCAGGTATCTCTGGATGTCTGCGGAAATCACATGTCGGTCGATGCCCTCTCCCGGCACGAACCACTGGCGGGCGATCTCCTGAGGCATGGTGGGCACGCCGTTGGTCCTCACAACAAACAGGCACTGGACGACGCGGGCAGAGTCCTCCTAGAAATGGATGGCAGTGGGAAGAGGAAGCAGCAGCACTGAGGATGCAGGCTCCTGAGAGCACCGGTGCGCCGAGAGTGGATCCGGTGTGGGCAGGTCCTGTGATATGGCGGAGGAGAAATAGCAAGACGCCAAAGAGTCGCAGGCTCTGGCGGACCGTGACGACAGACCAGCAATGCCCGTCTTGGGCAGCGCTGAATCGGAGCAGTAGGCCAACTCAAAGCACGCCAAGGTTCAGCAGATCCGGGACTGTCGATGAGACAGGCTGGGGAATGGGGAGGGAAGTGATATGCGACCAAAGACGAAGCGCGGATGTTGATGTAGAAAGATGTGTGTTTCGCAGCGCAGCGAAGTGGCAGGCTGATGAGAGGGGCGGCGTGCGTGGGACAGCGGACGGGTGCCCAACGAGACCGTGACTTGACAGGCCTGTGCGGACACTGCAACAGGCTCAGCGCGAGCTCCGCCGCTGATAGGCTCCACCGCCCACGGCCACCGCAGAAGTCCACACGCCCACACCGACACCGACCAATCGAGCCGACGCGGGTGGCTGTCGCAGTCGAGCCGAGGAGACGCTGGCCCTGCTGCGCTGCGCGATGAGATGCGAGACGAATTGCAGCAGAAATGACGGCAGCTGCACTGCGCGACGATGCCTTTGTGACGCTGGCAGACAGCAGCAGGCGTGGCGGGCGCGCTGGGCCTCGCCGTGAGTGGCTCCCGCCGTGCAGGCCTGAGTTGGGCAGCAAGGCCTTGCATAACAGCGGCAACCTTGGTGCCACACCATCACCAACCTCTGACCGGCCGCGCTCGCCCAAACACCGGCTTGCGCTGTTGACTGACTGCCCTCTGACTGGCCAAGTGTTCAAGTGCGAGTGCGAGTACCGCAGAGCGTCGGTCTTCCCACGGCCACTCTCCAGCGACCGGCCTTCTGTCCGCTGCGCTGACCACGACCGCCACAGCGCAGCCTGTGGACTACCTTTAACGGGCCCAGACGTCACGCACGTTGTGACAACAAACACCTGCCAGCGCAAAGAGATACTTCCCGAAGCGACTTCCTGCGCAATGATCGAGCGTGTCCAGATGCGGCGCGACGGCATGCACCATGTCTCGTCTATGCACGTCTCGTACTACCGGGGCGTAGAACACTTCCCCACGAGCACTCCTTCTACCGCGATCCACCTTTCAACAGCAGAGCACCTGCACAGAACTGCGCTGCGGCAGCGACATCTCGGTCTCATTCGTCCCAGCAAGACACCAGACGCAACGTGCAATTCAGCGCATGTCGTGTCCGGCTGCCATTTGTCACGAGCAGAGTCCGCGAAGGCTTCGTCCGCAGTGTGCATGTGCATTGCATAGCGCTGTTCAACCGCGCAGGCAACCCACGTCGGCACCAGGAAGCCCGGTGTTCTTTAGGCATCATTCTCACTTCAGCGCGTCTATCTGCACTACCCAAACGACACAAGAGGACGTCGCAGACCGACACTGGCCGCGTGTTGTCTGCCCGAGCTATTCGCATTTCGGGAGCTACCCCATCCGTCTCCCCAATATGACACAAGCGACTGTCTTCAGGGTTAGAGCCTGGCGCCTTCACGAGATGCTTCAACCCGAAATGCCCATCTCGGAGCGTGTACATGAAGTTCGGCGCCCGACTTTGCCTGGATAGCGATGGCAACTTCATCTCGCGTGAGCTTGACGAGACGGCCCTCATCCTGAAGTATCGCGCCGTCAGTTATGTGTCAAGTCAATTTCCGAAGAACCAACACCAAATCAGGGCATGAGCGGCGCCGGGCAAGAGGTACTCACCTGATGTTGTGGTAGTCCACCGCCGTCCATCGGGAACACCTTCACGTGTTCGCCCTTCGTGAGCCCAAGCGGATCATTGGCATCAACCACCAATTGTCGATCATGGAACGCCGCAGATGTCACGGCATCCACCGCCTGCGCGCCCTGCAGCCTCAATGGTTTCTGCGCACGCTTCGTAGCCGCGCGCACAGCATCACGGTAACGGTGAATCCATGCGTGAACCTTCGGATATTGCTTCTCGGAGAAGTACGCTTGGTCAGGCATCAAGTCGCCCAGAAACCATTCGAGTGCCCAACCCCCCTCCAAATCCGCAAGCGAAACATTCTCCGTATTCCCTACCCACGTCCTCCCGTCCGCGAGCAACGCCTCAATAATGTCAAAACACTGGCGCAAGTGGACTGTGCCTTCGGGCTTGATCAGCTGAGGATTCCGCTTTTGATCCGCCGTACGAAATTCTGCGCGATCTTTCGCAAACTTGGGATCTTTGAGCATGGGCAGATCCTGGGGAATCTGCGACACCACTTTACTGAACACACTGACGTCCACCATAAGCTTCTGCAACAGACCTGCCAGACCCGTGGTCTCGGGCATCGAGAGGCCAGGATGCTCCGCAGACGCCGGGAACAGCTCCTCAAGCTTGGCGATCATTATGCGCGTATCGACGTAGACCTCCCGACCAATGGCCATGACCGGTGATCTGCGATACTTGACACCCAATGCCTAGTAGAAGGAAGTTATAAAGTGAGTATATGCTTCTCCTTGGGCGCATGTGGATTCAAGCCACACCGATCAACTCACCTCCATATCCGGGCGCGGGAGTATCGGTGGCTGAAGCTACTTGTTCGCAAGCCTCTGATCAGCATATGTGCCGAGCCGTGCCATTGCTGTGAATTGATACCCAAGCGGCTGGAGCTTTTTTGCTGGGATCAATAACCTTATACGTACACATTCTGCATATGGGATGTTTCGCAGCGCGAGGTAAGATGTCATTCGGCCTGGAGTTCACATATGATCAGCTTCTCGGCTTTCTCTGTATCCTCGTCGATATATTAATGTTGGGAGTACACATACGCCCGTACGGTGATGCTCGGTAATGGAACAGGACAATTTCGTTGGGCACATTGATGCCCGACATCTTGTTGCTCGTTCGTGTGGGTGCTTCGTTCCGTCTTGGTCTTCCTGCGCGTGCTGTGGCGTTTGGATATTAGACCAGTAGTCGTAAGTTTCTGTAACAGTTCCTGCTTAACTATACATGAACGTGGGATGTGACTGTGAAAAGAACGAAGTCAAACGCATCTGGACTCGCTCCTACCGAAGGAGTTAGCCGTAGCCGACACCAGAACGACGATCTTTCCTCGGCTCACAACTTTCCACTTCACAAGTTCATCAGACTTCCCGCGTCGATCTTCGTCCACACACGTGTGGTCGACCACGTGCTCTTTATTGATTCCTTTCATCATCGTCAAGAATTTAATATATGAGACTTCTTCTACGTTGTCTGTTCTTGTCGTCTGTTTGTTCCTCTTACCCGGCGATGCACAGACACCACGTCTCCCATCATTACATGGAAGCAGTGATATCGCAGAACACAGTACTTCATTGCTCTTCACACGCCAGTATGCGATAGAATATACGCGAGCCAGAAGTTCAAATGAAAAATGACTCGCATTTTCCTTTACCGGCATGAACTGAAGCGACACACGCAAATAGACGACCGAATATGCAAGGGTCTCACGTCGACGTCTGCAAACCGCTCCGCCGGACGTCTCGAGACGAACGGTTTCTGACAGGTCCAATGCCGTGGATTCTGCTGAGACGTTGGACATATATGTTCGGCAATGTACTGCTGCCCGAAGACGGTGAGATTGAGTTTCTGCGTGCCTTTGAACGAAGATCGTTGTCGGAGGGCGGTGCATGGTGCATGGAAAGGTATGGTATGCGGACGTGCCGCTGAGGTGTGATCAGAGCAATGGCTGTGTGGTTCATGTGGCTATCTTAGGAACCTGAGACAGCTATGACCTGAGACCGCTATCGACGCCTCAGCGTATGGCGGTGCTGCGTGCTCGAGAGGGCTGGACTTGGGGGGCGGTGATGCTCAAGTTCAACAATTGGAAAGGTGCTATACTACTGCCGGTCATCGCCGTGCTGTATGGAGTAGAGGAAGTTCCGCAGCCTGCCAGCCACAGAGGACGACCTTCTCCATACGCAATCGCTGTCAAATGTAGAGGAGCGATGGCGTACGATACCTCCAGCTGTCGACCATGTTTTTCAACCTGTTTTGACCAACGATCGTCGAGCTCGATTCTGGCACGATCTCGACAGCAACGCCCCTTGTGGCTGTGACCTTGATCGAAGAAGGGCGAATGTACAATGAGGCTCATGCACTGCTCGAAACACAGGGAAATTGTTCTCGCCATGATCGGTCTCGAGTCCGTCCATCAGCTGCGCCACAGGAATCGCACCCATTTCCCAGTCTCACAGCCATGCGAGTGGCACGCCGTCCATCATTTCCGTCACAATCGCCAACAAAGGCGCTTGAAACAGCTCAAAAGTGGCTGTTCTGTCGCACGCCAAGTTGGCCTGCTCCAACTTTTGCAGCGCAGATTGCACGCTTGGCGATGACGACAGACAATCAAGGCGCAGCACGCGCCTGCTGTTTTGTTTGGCGATGATGATGAAAGTGTCACAAGCTTTAGATTCCCTTTCCACCTATTCACAAGAAACAAAGTGAAGCTCGCGAAAGGGGATATATACCTTGCTCCATTCCTCTGCCTCCGCTGAACCAACAAGACATCGCATCCACTTCTTGAACCAAACCAGGAAACAACCCAATCATACGCCAAGGTTACCTTCTAAGCTTGAACTCTACCTTCACAACACCGCAACCATGCCTTTGATGTACACCAAGGTACGTTCTTTCCCACCTCTGGCTTCGCTCACGTCAGCGACAGATCACTGACATGCTCCACAGAACTGGGGCAACAAGCGTGTCGGAGGCGGCATGCGCGTCGACAAGCACGGTGTCCACCGCAACCCATTCCGCTTCAGCCTGGGCAGGCTCAACTGCTTCCGTTAAACATCGACTGCCGAACATGCCGAACACGAAAGAGGCATTATGAGAAATACTCATCACGACGACACGAAGTGGAGACAACAGCGAGGAGTATCGAGCGATTGTTGCAATAGATGATTCATTGTATGATGGACGGAACAAACAGCACGGTTTCTGTGAGAAGAGCATGGTGGTTTTATATCATAGCGAAGGGTAAAATACCAAATGTGAAATTGAACGAAGTTTTTGACAACCATCCATACTGTGTTGCAAGTGCGAAGGGTTATTACTGACACTGCCAAACCGAAATGGTTTATCCAACGACTGGGATTGGAAAGGCACGAGGAGGGTAGAGGCAAGACACGTAGGCAATGAGGTTCAGGGATACGTGCAATGCTTCGTACACCCATACACGGCTTTCGTTATAAGCCTCTGTCTGCGCCGTCGAAGCCGCAAGTCGGCGTGCGAAATCATGGGGACACAGGCCGTACCCGACAGAGATCCAACCTCCTACACTCTCCTGTCGTCCCAGCTCAGCGGAGTTCCTCTCTTAACGACCCCTGCCACGCCAGCCCCTCCCACCACGCCCACCACGACCGCCACGACCGCCACGACCGCCGTTGCCTCCACCGCGCTGCTGTCCTGGGAAGAAGCTGAAATTTCCAAGCCCCGGTTGCTGCGGGACCATGCCGTCCGGCCGGCCCACATTCGGCTCTTTCTTCAACCTCAAATAAAGCGCCTGCTCTTGATTGAGAGCCCACTTGAAGTACCCCTTCTCCATGCTGGCGTACACAGTACGTCTCAGAAGCAAAGTGAAGTCGCTAGCCGTCTGCGTAGGATCTCTGTTGTGCATAACCTTGAGGAATTCAGGAAAATTCTTGACAAGGTGGATGTTCTTGATCGTGGCAGCCAGCTCGGCAGCAGCATTGTTCGGCGGAGCTCCATGGCGGTCGAAGAGGGAATCGCGAAGCTGGGGAAGAGTCATCTTCTTCACCTCCTTGGTGTTCGGATCCGTTACATTGCGAGAGTTGCGAACGGTCTCCTGCATGAATTTGAGAAACATGAGCAGGCGCCAGCTCGTCTTGGAGGCTTCGAACGTCTGATGGAGTCGGTACTTTGATATCGTATCGGTTTCCATGAAGCTGAGCTCTGGCATGTCTCTGCCCTTTGCGTCGAGCGTCCAGACGACGTTGCGAGTGATTGCCTCTTCGATGATGCCGTCGATGACGGCCTCGTTGATCTCAATGTCCGAGATGAGAATCATGATGAGCAGATGGCCAAGATTAGGAACGTGGTCCTTGGAGCGAGAGCCGGATATGAAGCCGTCGATGGTCCTGTCAGCATTGCGGATGATTTCGTTGTTCTCGCACGCAAGACACAGGAGAAGGTGGAAGAGATGGAAGTACGATTCGATGGCTTTTTCGCTCGCGTGCGTCAGCGTCGATTTCGCAGATCCGTCGTCCAGAATGTATCTACCGCCATTCTCGAACTTTTCGGCCTCATTTGAGAGCCGCACCACAACCTCGTTCATAAAGGCGTAGATGACCTGCTCGGCGCCTCCGCTGATGTTGGCTTTGCTGGCGATGGCGTTGATGTCGCGTGACGAAGATTTTCTGACGCGTGCCCAGTGACTCTCTGCGAGTGGAAGTGGCAGCCAGCAACTGAATGGCAACCCCTGGATACTGGTACGTATGCCGAGCTGCTGGAAAGCGTCGCGGGAGAGTAGATCAAACTCTGATGTCAGTGCGCGGCCTTCAACGCGTACACCTACACCAAGCTCGAGCTCACGGAAGCTCTGCTTAAGGGCGAAGCATTGCAGCTCGCGAGTCCTAATGACATTGTACTCGCGCATGATATCTCCGAAGCCTTCCCAAGCTCGAGCTGCTGTGAAGATGTGCTCGTCATCCAGGTAATCCAACACGGACAGCAGGATTTCCGCCGGGAGGTCTTGCAGCGTGACAGGAACATGATGCGGGTCCTTGGACGTGGTCGAGATGGTCGAGACGGGCTCGTAGGCATTGGCAGTGTGAGCGGGCAAGGCAGAAGCCGCTGAATGGCGGGCATCGGCATCACCAAAGCCACATGAGGTGCAATTATAACTGTCCTTGAGGACTTTCAATCCCATGCCGTCGGTGCCACGGGCCTGCCACTTCTTTCTGTCGACCTTGCCGCCATTCTCACCCCACATCTGCTCGATGGAATCGGATGCAAAGAAACTCAGCAATTGGATGCAGATACCTTTTAGCGTGTAAGCAGGCGTGTAGGCGTTGTCGTAATCGAGCATGTTGAGACAAAGTCGGTCACCAAAGATGTTTGGATGACTGACGCTGGACTGAATAGTAACGTCAGGTGGGATCACTGGGTAGTGAGAACTGAACTCCAATTGAAGGTGCAGAGCCTCCTCGCCTTCTGGAGTCAGCACCAAGCATGCCTTGGTGATGTCGGACTCGTTGACATGGAGCTCGATGCCAGGATATGGCTCGCGCTGCAACTCGTCGATGTCTTTGAGAAGACGCTTGCGCATCATGGCCGTTGTGGCCTCGGTCTGGTGTCGGCTCTGGAAAGCCATGATGAGTGCAGTCGAGCTTCTTTTGTGGCCAGATTAGCAACAGAGAGTGGCGCTGCCCTGGCAAAGATAGTGTCCGAGATGTCGTCCAAGCTCGAGGTGTCGCCGAAGTCGAATTGTGAAGCGAAGATACGCGTGACAGCAGGTGGTGTCGCAAAAGCAGCAGCGAGGACAATTACGGCTAGGTAGATGGGCGTTTGTAGTATTGGTTCCTGTGTTTGAAGGTTCGAAGTGGGTCTGGAAACATAAGGAGCAAACGGGCGACGGCAAGCTGCAGGTGCCTGACCTAAGCAACCTAAACCGGTGAATCACCGGTGTCCGGATTCGGTAGTTTGCAGGAGAATGAGTAGGAAGCAGGAGCTTCGCGCTTTGCCTTGAGACAATTGGTCCGGTTGAAGCAGCGTAACAGGCCAAGGTTGCAGTCTCGCGCAAGGGGCGTGCCATGTGGCGAGAATGGAGAAGTCAAACCTTTCTCTGCAGAATGAGAGATTTCATAGCTCACGAGGTTCGCTACGGTTGAAAACAGGCCTTAAGGAATTGACGGAGATAAGACTCGTGATCGCGAGAAACCAGCCCTGTCTCTAAAATTCTCTGCTTCGAAGCCTAGCGAAAAGGCGCGGTGGCTCAGCAGTAAACTGCCCGAGACAACATTGCTTGTGTTCCTCTGGCTGACGAATTTGGGTGTTCCAGATAGTCCTCAGCAAAGCTGTCCACCATCAAAGGTATTATGCCATCGCCTTCTCATGCAGAGTTTGGTATCAATAGGTTCGATCCTTCTGTTCAACCATGATCCGCCCCGGCAACATATTCATCATCCGCCGCGTGAAGCGCAACTTACTGAGCTCGCGGTCCATCAGCACTTGAGTGGGCTCGCGAGGTAGCGCTGGAAGTGACCAGATCGCTGTGGCAGTTTTGTGGCAGACTCTGTCTCGCCAATAGTCTGCTCGCTTGGAACGGCGCAGAGTAATGCCTCCTCTCCTCTTCAAATGTTTCCGCCTTCTTCTTTCCACTTCTTGATGTATTCCTTTCCGTCCAGCGGGCTCTTCGTCTCGGTGTGCGCATAGCTTTCGCGTTCCGCTCGCTTCACGGTGTTTGCGACAAATGGACTCAACTTATCTCTGTCATCAGCTCCTGTTCCCACTTGATACGCGCAATCCACCCCTTCAACATTCCCACTCACATTGAAGTTCGTCAAGTCTGGGCAGACATATGTCCGCACTTTGTTCCAATCGATCACATATCCTCCCCATTTTGTATGTCGTCCCATAGCTCCTGTCCGGTTTCCCTTGTAGTAGTTGTGCGGACCTTGCTTGGTCGTGAGCGCCAAGCGCCTGAGAGCGCGCTGCATAGGCTGTGTGGGCTGCATGGTGGGCGATTCGATCGATGTGATGGACGATAGGTCGATGCAATGCAAGATGGTGCAGCATGTAGTCGCCGCGGGAGTGTCGTCTGGAGTCGATGCCAAGACTTCGAAGTGCCTCGTCTCGAGTCGCAGCTTTCCCCAGCCAAAATTTCGAGGTTCAATCCAAGTCGCAACCGCCACACCACTTCTTACAGACAGTCGCTTGTCTAGAGTAAAGATGCCTCCGCGCGTGTCCAGATCGAGTGTGCCTACCAATGGGCCGAAGCAAGGAAAGACGGCAAAGAACAAGTCCAAGAAGCGCAGCTTGGATGCATACGCCAGAGCAGAGAAACTCGTTCCGCAGGAACGGTTAGGAATCGCAAAGCACCGTCTGGGAGAAATCGAGGACGATGGCCCACGGCACAAACGGCAACGAAGAGACAGCAACGAAGAGAGTGACGAGAATGAAGACGAAGAGCCGCAGCGAAAGCGGCCAAGCCAGCGACGAACGAAGGGCGATGATGTCGACGCCGAGTTTGGTTCCGACAGTTCGGGCAACGAGTGGACCATGGGCGGGTTGGCTGAAGACGACGAGGACAGCGACCTGGACTCGGACGAAGCATTTGGGGAAAGCGACGAAGAAAAGTTCGAAGGTTTCACATTCAGAGGGAGCAGGAATCTGAAAGGCAAGAAAAGCAAAGGCGGCAGGACACCAAAAAGGAAAAACCTTGACCTCGATGAGCAAGAGCAGGAAGACGAGGATAGTGGAGACAGTCAGGACGAGGAAGGTTTGGGCTTTGGCGATGAGGCTGTCGATCTGGCTGCAATGTTGGACGATCCTGCGTCTGATGATGATGCACAGCAAGAAGGAAGTGGTAGTGATGAGGAGGATGAGGAAGGATATGATTCGGAGTCTGAGTCGGAAGAGGATTCGGATGACGATGTAAACGACGAGGAGAAGGCAGCACGAATGCGAGACCGTTTGGAAGCGCTCGACCCTAAATCGTCAAAGGAAAAGTCAGGAGCATCGACACCTGGAGCGGATATCGATATGAACGATTTATTTGCCGACTTCGCTGAGGATGTGGCACCCACGACGGGCACGTCAAAGAAGGCCAAGAAGAGAGCACAGCAAGCGCCTATCTCTGCTCCTCTTCCAAAGCGACAACAGGTCCGGATCGATCGGGAGATAGCAACAGCGAAAGCGAAGGAGACCCTCGATCGATGGAAGAACACAGTGATTCAGAACCGAAGGGCAGAGCATCTATCATTTCCGCTGCAGCATCCTGATGACACTGGTGTCACCGTTGGTAAGGAGAAGTTCACACCCGCGACTCAAGGTGCGCCCGCGAACGAGCTCGAAGAGAGCATTCAGCGCATTATGGAGGAATCGGGGCTTGCCACACAGCGAGATGCTGAAGGAGGAGCGGAAGAGGAGGAAGACGAGGAAACTGCTCTGTTGAAAGCCGAGGGAATGGCTGAGAAGCACATGGATGTGGAAGAGGTCATGAGACGTCGAGCGGAACTCCGGAAGCAGAGAGCATTGCTCTTTCGCGAAGAGATCAAGGCGAAGAGAATTGCCAAGATCAAGAGCAAGAGCTACCGAAGAGTGCACCGTAAGGAGCGTGAGAGAGCAAAGGAGCAAGAGCAGCTGGCTCTAGGCGGTCTGGACTACGATGCTATGGACGAGGACGCCAAAGAGAAGCACGACCGCCAAAGAGCTGAAGCTAGAATGTCCACAAGGCACAAAGACTCGAAATGGGCGAAGTCTTTGAAACAGACAAATCGCACAGCGTGGGATGATAGTGCTCGTGATGGAGCAGTTGAACAAGCTCGGCGGAACGAGGAGCTGAAAAGGCGAATGGCCGGAAAGGACATTTCTGACGACGAAGGGAGCTTGTCGCCTGATAGCGATGGTGACGAGGAGGTCACAGCCGAGCAGCTTGATGCATTGCAGAAAGAAGCTGGCAGCAAAAAGGGCTTGGCAGGCCTCAAGTTCATGCAAAAGTCTGAAGAGAAGCGCAGAAAAGCCAACGATGAGGCTGTTGAGCGTATACGAAGAGACCTGGCCATTGCGGACGGGGACGAAGCTGAGAGCGAAGACGAGGACGAAGGACTAGGACGAGCCATCTTTGGACCTTCTTCTAAGGAGCAGAAGCGTCAGGATAAGCAGAAGCAGGAGTTCGAGGCGCCTGAAGATTCTGATGAGGAGGCCGAAGAGCGCGAGGCTGCTGAAGCTGGCATTGTTGTCGACAGACCGCAGTCGAAGGGTACTTCAACATCGAACGGAGCTTCCAAGAAGAATACACCAGCGAGCGGTCCACTTGCCAAGGGCGTATCGAAATCATCTGAGCAAGCAGAATCCAAGAAAGAGTACGGAGGCTGGCTTTCCACTGGTGGGAGCAAATCGAAGAAATCCAATGCAGCTGTCGAAGCCGATATCATCACTCCCTCAGCCATCGCCGCAGCGCCCCAGGAGCCCGCCAAATCTAATGCTGGACAATCAAAGCCAAAGGAAACCGACTCTGCCGCAGGCAACACGAATGGTTGGACCACCGTCTCATATAAGAATGATGCTGCCAACGACGATGAAGACGCCTCCGACGCCGAACCCACCAACGCCATCCTCAATCCCAAAGAAAAGCACCAACTCTCCCTCCAAGAACGCGCCTTCGCAGGCGACGACGTCGTAGCAGCATTCGAAGCCGAGAAAGCCGACATAATCGCCTCCGAAGACGAAAAAGAAACCTCAAACTACCTCCCCGGCTGGGGCTCCTGGACCGGCACAGGTCTCAGCAAATCACTCAAAAAAGCCAACAAAAAGCAACAACATAATCCACTCTATAAAACGAAAGTCGCGGGTGTGAGAGCGAATGAAAGGAGTGATAGGAATTTGGATAAGGTTATTATTAGTGAGAAGCAGGATCGGAAGGGGAAGAAGTATCTTGCTCCGACGCTGCCGCATGAGTTTGAGACGAGGGAGCAGTATGAGAGGAGTAGGAGGTTGCCTGTGGGGCCGGAGTGGACTACGAAGGAGGTGCATCAGAAGATGGTTAGGCCGAGGGTTGTGGTTAAGAAGGGGGTTAATTTGGAGGCGATTGGGAGGCCGGTTGCGTAGGGTTCTTTGATGATATGAAGGCGAGTTCAGCATGACAGGCTAGATGAAATAAGAGTGTGAGCCCATATTGTGCATCGAATATTTGTTCGAATGATGATTGGCAAGATCTGAAGACAAGTCCAAGAATCCTGTTGCATACAAGTGGACAATTCTCTGTCGTTATTCTACTCATGACTGTCGTAATACTGCTCGCCAAGCATCGTCGCTTCAAGCAAGCCTCATGAGTTCTGTACCAAAAACGCCAAACGGGTATCTATCGTTCAAGCGCATCATGCCTTCGTATGCTCGATGCCATCGTGCATTCATGACTCTAAGGTGCAGCAATCTCTCAAACGCCCTTACCAGCAATACATCTGGCCCAGCCATGAGCGGTGCTCGATCATGAAGATGCAATTTCTCAAAAGCCCTTCCGGTGACTCCGCCTTCCAAGGTGTCGTGAAGCAAAGCGCTTGGGCCAAAACGGAACATGTACCTTCGCTCTCGTCCCCTCAGATCTCGCTGGCAGACCGCCTTGACCTTCGTCGCCATTGCTGGTAACACCAGCATTCGTCGTCTCTGAAGGAGGATCCAATGGGAAAGTACTCGTCACAGGCACAACTTCAATCGTCACGTTCGGTCCCGTCAACGGTACACGATTCGCGATCGTCAAACCCCAGGTTTCGTTCAAGAGAAGAAGAGATTGGACAGTTTCGAGTGCAGACATAGACTGGCCGACACCTGCAGAGCCATCGAAACCTCCTGTGTACCACTTCTGACCGCAAGTCGAAGTCCCAGGTGCACCAGAGCAGGCTTGAGCTGCGGCGATGGCGGAAGCTCGCAAGCGCTTGGCGATACTATCTGTGATGCTGGGATAGACGACGGCGGATTTGGCGAGCCAGCGCGAGAGATAAGCTTTGAAGGAGAACTGATCGTTATTGCAGGTTCCGTAGGGCTCACAGGCTGCTTCGTACATGACGTCGGTTGAGTTGTCGATGTCGTCGGTTGGGAGGAAGAAAGTGTTTTCGATCGAGGTCAGGAGTCCTTCGGTTCGGTCTTTCCACACTTGCTCATTGGTGAAGTTAGCCATCATGGCAGTGCCGTAGAGAAGCATGGCTGGGTTGTAGGACCATTGCGTGTGGTCGAGTTCGGTGCAGTTGATGAGGTCGTCAGAGCCGTCGAAGACTTGGTATGTGGATGAAATGAGGCCGATGCTGTCCATCCAGCCCCAGGTCTTCTCTGCCCAATCTGCATATGTCTGATTACCGGTGAACCGAGCAAGGCGAGCGGAGATCTGAAGGAAGGCACCATTGCTGATCGAGTTGCGGTAGTTGAAGCCCTTGTTGGATTCGAAGATCTGCCATTTTAGACCTCCTCCGCACTTTTCAGTGTTCCAGCGAGCGACTTGGGTGTTCCAGACAGCGACCGCGAGATCGATCCAGCTCGACACTCGTTGTCCAGGAGGGAAGGGAAAGCCATGTTCTTCAGCTGAGAGAACCGCAAGGGCCTAGGATGACATTAGCACCGTATTCGACAGTATCGCTTCCTTGAGGACACTCACCCAAAACGCCTGATCATCGTTGCCGAGAGAAGTGTAGTAGGCTGGAGGCATGTAGTCCCAGTCTGGGCCAACTTGCGCGAGTAGTGCTTGGGTGGTGACATTGACGTAGCTTGTGTCATTCGTGTACGCCCAGTAGTCGACCATGCCTCCCCACAAAGCACCGGCTTGCCACCAGTAGAGTGGTGCAGGAAGTGTTCCTATTGCAGTTGGTGCCGTGCCGCTTTGGTTGTTCTGGTAGTATGACTGAAGGCCGTATGCGATGGAGCGCGAAGTGTCGCGAACAGAGACCGGGTCGTCGACATTGATCTCAAGCGCATTCGTAGCCCCAAGCGAAGCAGCTAGAGCTGCCAGGATCGATGTGAGTATCATGGCTGCTAAAGCTCGTCCTAGCTCTGATGTGCTCTGTAACTTATTATGTCTGCAGCGGAAACCACAGTCCAGCTGTGATCTGGGCGCAAAGGAAAGCTGTGTAGAATGTTGATTTCGAGATGCTGTTCAAGGAAACAAGTGCTGGTGGCGATCGTTTCGCCACTGTTTGCGCGGCAAACAAGCGACTAGCGATCTCAGCTTGAGCTTGTCTTGGGCAAACGAATACTTGGCCTGGCGAGCGAAAGATCAGATATGTCGCTCGCAACAAAGAATCTCCTTGTCGCACGACAAGGGGTACGGGCACGAGTCCGATGTGTGCTTGTGCAATAGACTTTACCTCGATTCGTATAGGGCAATTTGCGTCGGCCAGTGAAAGATGCAAGTGGAGTCGTGACGCACACGGCTGAGCGTTGCCGGCGTCTGAGGTGGGAGCCGCGGGGTTCTGTTCAGCGCGCGTGTTTCGAAAACACGTCCCGATGTTTGGCGCTAACGCTGCGATTGGATGTGATGTTTGGGAGCAGTCGAATGTTTCGAGGAGAGTTAGGGATGTCGCTGGAGTGGCAGATTGGCAGTAGATATACCGCGCGCTGCTGCTATTGTTAGGCGTCTGTCTATTGTCACTGCGAGACTGCCTGATTGTCAGTCGCTATTGCCTGTTTTGAAGACGCGTTTCGTGCACTGATGAGCACTACAATAGCAAGTCCATTCACTATTCTTGTCACGCGCAAGTTGTCGAAGTCACATGAAGGGAGTCGCTTTCCTTTCCAGGATTCACGACATCCCGTCCACCGTCCACGTTGACGTGGCGGGAGCATTTCCACATGCAAAGCATCGTGAGCAGTCGCTTCCCGTCCAGTGCTGGCTCCTTCTGGTCCGTCTTGACCATTGCTCAAGGAGCCGAAAGTGGTTCGCGGTGCGCGTGTTATCAAGTTTGAATCAAGGCGGGTGGCGTGAATCACATGATATATGCACGCGTTTCCTGCGCAGCAGCCTGACATGTGTGATGACACTGATGGATGAAGACGATGATGAGTTAGCTGATGATGGAAAAGGTGAAGTGCATCAGTCAAACATTGGGTCTGAACGCTTTGGCCGGAATGCCAAGGAAACCTTTCGACCTCGCCTCCCTTCCAACGTTTGGGCAATGCCTCTTCCTTTCTCTACATTCTCGTATTCGTTCGTACTTCCAGTTTTCTCGTGATAGTTGCGTCTTCTCGATGCTCAAACGGCGACCCAAGCTGAAATCTCTGCTGCGTCTTTTCAACCAACCCTGGTACAGGGCACATCAGCATCAAGTCTCTCAGCTCAGTTGGTCTTCCGCAGTCTGGAGCCTTGAATGTCCAGACCAACGAATACCAGTACACCGCATGGGATTTCAAATTTGCCAGAGCTTGATGGGACGAAAGATGAATAGGCTTTTACGATGCCATGAACAGAACGAGTCTCCCACCCAATGAAGAAACGAGAAAAGAGCTCACAGTAAGATGGCCAGCTGTTATTCTATTGCTGCAGCTATCAGTGCTCCATGCATATTTACGAACGGACGTATTCGGCCTCCGCCGAAGTTTCCCGGGGCTCGTCGGCTTTCCTTGCTCGTCCCACGCAGCCTGCCTGCTCACTTTGCATGCTGTTAGGGGCAGAAAGGCTTCAGGCCGAACGCTCAGGCGTCCAGAATCGTTTCAACCGCTGACATCATGAACAGCCCGCTTAATGACATTGTTGTTGCGCTCTGTCCGTGTTGGATGTTTGCTTATTTTACGCCTTCCTCATCGAGCAGACCGAGAAAGTGATGTGTCTGGTTTGTGTTACATCGTCCTGCAAGGTCCAAGCCCTGTCGTCAAGATAGACTTGCATAGCCTGGAACGCCTGAATTTCAGGATGAGCTATGGAAGTCAGCAACCTTCTGGACGTCTCATTGGGCGACTCTCCCCCAAAGCGGCAACTTTGGACGCCTGATCGCCATCTGTCGTTCAGGCTCCCCAGCGGCCATGTATGACAACAGAAAGCATGAGATGCTTGTATAAAAAATCAAAATGTATCGATGTCGAGAAATTGTCCAACACGCAATTCACAATTCTCGCTGCACTCACCGCGCCCATCCATCATGTTCCCACTTCTGCTCCTCGCCGGCGTGGCTTCCGCCTCACCAACTCCGCTGTTCAAGAGGGAAGTCTTTCAGAACGATGTACTCCCAGATGTCGACTTCCCAGATCCATCTCTTTTCTACAACTATCTCAATTCTCAAATGTACGTCTACGCGACCGCCGCGGGAGGCAAGTGTATCCCATACACTTCGACCAGAACTTTTCCTTCCCGCGATTTTGCGCCTGTGCAGGAGGCCTTTCCGAGTGAAAATGCCCCTGGTTGGTCGCAGCCTTGCTCGTCTTGGGCTCCGGATGTCAATATTGCGGTGAGATTGAGTCTTTCCCCTATTTTCGATCACACCGGACTGATCCTCATTTCTTCCAGCCCAACAACGGAAAGTCGCATTGGATGTACTACGCTCCCGAGCTCAAGAACCAAACTGGCATTCACTGTATCAGTCTCGCAACATCCACACAACCCGGTGGTCCGTACATCGACACCTCGAGCGAGCCCATGATCTGTCCTGCGGCGGATGGCGGCGCTATCGATCCAGCTTTCTACAGAGACTCCTCCCCGGCCGATGGATCGTGCTACGTTCTATACAAGATCGATACGCCGAACAACAACAAAGGCCACACAATGTGCGACGACGACACTAATCACATGAGAACACCCATCATGCTCCAGCAGGTGGACTGTGATTCGGGACAGCCCACTAATGGCGGCCCGACGGAGATTTACAACAACAACGGCGATGTTGACCGATGGAATATCGAAGCACCATCACTCTACCGTGGAAGTGACGGGACGTATTTTCTCTTTTACAGTTCTGGTTGTTATAGCAATGAGTCGTATACGTGGAACTATGTTACCTCGCAGTTCTTGAAGGGGCCGTACGGTAACCCACAATCGGTTGTTCGGTCGGGAGAGAAGGGTAATTCTGGTCCAGGAGGCGCAGATATTGTACTTGGAGGTGCTTTTCCGGGAGCTGTTGCGTGGCATTCGTTGCGAGGAGGTGATATCAAGAATGGCCGTCAGTTGAATGTGGGAACTATGCAGTACAACGGTGCCAGTGCTCAGGTTGTGTAGGCTGTCGGGCTTGGGTCATACGTATAGGCCGTACTCTGTTGCGACCAGTCTCTTGTTGGCCGTAATTTTACCTGGAGCACATTGAACAGCCAAGATACAATCGTGTGCTTGAATATGAACATATTTCCCAATAAGATATTGTTACGGCAGGTGCCTCTGAACCTACATGCCATTTCAAAACTTTGTCGGACCAAGACGGGCAAAAAAACCCCTCACTGAGCTGCACGACGCTATTGAAGTACAATTTGCCTCTAAAAGAGCGTACTTTGTCTGCGGTACCTCATTGACGGAAAAGAGGCTAGCAGTGCCTGTGTCAGCTTCGATGGCGATGAAGACGTTCGTTAAGACACGAACATGCTCAACACTGAGGCAATGACAGGCCAACCTGGTTCATTTGTGTTGTGAGCAAAGTGCAAGATGGGAGGCTTTGGTATGCAAACAATGGTGTACAGTATTGGTCGAGAGAAGGACCGTGGCGTGGAGCGAGGAGAGGTTAGTTTTGCACGCCAAGCAATGTGACTGCCTTAGGCTGCGAGCTCCGACTCCTCTGTGCGATCCCAGGAGGCATTCCATCCCATCAAGGCCTCTTCTTGACAACGCCGCCCACCCGGAAAATCTGTCGCTGGTGAACAGAACACTGGGCACCGCAATGGGACCCATCACGGTCCTGAGCACGAGAGCTGCATGCTGCTGATACTATAGAACAAGAGCCAAAAACGCCACTGGTACTGACTCATCCAAGCAAAATGGCATTTATGCTTCGCTTTTGCATTCAACGCAAGAGAATCGTCTTGCTTCCCTCGGTCCAGAAACACCACCATGTCTTCGCCTGACGTTCTCGTCACAGGCTCCAGTGGCCATCTGGGCCATGCTTTGATGCTCGAACTGCCCAAATACGGGCACATCCCTCTTGGCCTGGACATTCTTCCCTCTGAGCACACAGCAATCGTATGCTGCATCTCAGACCGGCCGCTAATTCAGAAGACTCTGCAGGAGAATCCATCTCTCCGATATGTGCTGCACACTGCAACTCTGCATAAACCGCACGTGGGCTCTCACAGCAAGCAAGAGTTTATCGACACCAACATCACAGGCACCCTTGTACTCCTCGAAGAGGCTGTGAAGGCCGGTCATATACAAGCCTTTATATTCACAAGCACGACTTCAACTTTCGGTTCCGCTCTCTCACCTAAACCAGGTCAACCGGCAGCTTGGATTGACGAGACTGTCACGCCGATTCCCAAGAACATCTATGGAGCAACAAAAGTTGCAGCTGAAGACCTCTGTCATCTTGTCTGGAAGGAGAGCCGCATGCCGACACTAGTCCTGAAGACATCGAGGTTCTTTCCGGAAGAGGACGATGACGAGAAATCGCGCGCTTCCTACCAAGATGACAATCTGAAAGTCAACGAGCTACTCTACCGCAGAGCGGACATCTCCGACGTAGTTTCTGCGCACGTTCAGGCAATTCGAAAGGCAAGGGAAATCGGATGGGGCAAGTTCATCATCAGCGCACCACCACCATTCCAGCGTAGTGAGGAATTGCTGCGTGACCTCGACCAGCAAGCCCCGAAAGCCATTCAGGATACATTGCCGGAGCATTGTAAAATACTGCAGGAGCATGGGTGGAAGTTACCGGAGCGCCTAGACCGCGTCTATGATTCATCTCGCGCTGTCACAGCTCTAAATTGGCGACCCAAGTACACGTTCCAGCATGCTCTTGAGCTCATCCGAGATGGGAAAGATTACAGGAGTGATCTAACGCACAAGGTTGGCAAACGCGGCTACCATGCGACGCCCACAGGAGTCTATACAGTCGACAAGTCTCGCTGACACATCTGTCTGCAGCGCCATGCGCACATTAGAAGAAGTTCATGTGGCTGTGCCTTTCGACGCAGCAACCGACAATGTCTGGGGCATTTAAGCTGCGAACAGTATGCGTTTCTGGTCGCCATTATCTGCTTCCTACTATGCCTGTTAGTTCTGTGAGCTGTATGCTTGAGCATCCGGCTTGGCCGAATTGCTCGGAAGATCAATGCTTATGTCCGGCGTGGATCACGAAAACTGCGTCACACAGAATCGCCCTGTTTCCTTATGGTATGCGGATCGAATACAACTTCTAAGGCCGAAGAGCACGCCATGCGGAGGATGCTTGCATCCTCTTCGGCCGAGCTCTGTACTAGCGCAAGCGAGCTGAACAGTGCTTGATCCTTCTGACCCTATCCTACATATAATCCACCTCACCTCAATGCTCCTTTCACAACCACACCCAATCCTCATTCTCTTGCGACCGGGTTGGAAACTATTGATCATCTGGCACCGAAGATGGCCAGCAAAGAACTGAGCACAACAGCGACGAACGCTTCGAACCAAATTGCTCTGATAAATGAATATTTGACCGGTCCTCCTGCCCAAGAACTTGTACGCAGAGCTAAGATCTTCGAACACAAAGACAATACAGACAGCCATCCCCTCAACATCCTCGATAATGCCTCTGGCATCGGCACGTTGATCTTCCGCGCCCTCATCCCAAGCCTCGCCAACGATCAAATCGGAAGGATCATAGCCGGAGACCTTGATGAAAACTATCTCTCCTTCCTTCGTGAACGAGCTGAAAGTGCAGGCCTCCCAGCAAAGGTTGAAGCCATGAAACTCGATCAGCAGAAGCCCGGTCTCGAAAGCTCCAGCTTCGATTACATCTTCAACAATTTCGGCGTCTTCTTCGCACCGAATGACGACGCTGTACTGAAAGAGACACTTCGCATGCTGAAACCCGGCGGCATTGCAGGGCTCACTTCTTGGCATAAAATATCTTGGTGGGACGAGATATTTCTACCGGCGATGAAACGCCACCTTCCTGAGGCGCCTGCCCTTCCGAATCCAGCCAATCTGTTCCCAGCGAAGGGGTGGATGGAGACGGAGAGCGCGAGGACTAAAATGGAAGGGGCGGGTTTTGGTGATGTAAGCGTTGAGATATGGAGTTTCACGCCGGATGTGACCGCGGAGGATTGTGCCAGGGCGTGTGCGCATCTCGTGAAAGCTGTGGTGGCTAGGGCCTGGAAAGAGGAAGAGAGGGAGAAGTTTGGAGGGGATCGGATAGAGAAAGCCACGTTGGATTATCTGAACAGCGAGTTCGAAGGCGGAAAATGGACTGGTAAGATGAGAGCTGTTCTGACATTGGGAAGGAAACTCTGATCGACCGAAGTCCTACGGGACATGTTTGTCGACGAAATTTTGCAGCCGCCCAAGCTTGTCGTCTGGTCGTAAGCTCGAATCTTACACAATGATTCAATACCAGCTTAGATTTTGACCTGCTGCACACTAATAGTCGAATAGAGACCGAACCGGCAATACCAAAGCACAAATTCATACTCCTTTCGCCGTCATCTTACGTTCTCCTCTTGACCTATCGCAACACTACCAGTGCATCACTCTCTCGTAAGTCTTCTTTGCGAGATGGACCTCACGCTTACCCACAGAAGAACGCTTCTTCAAAGCATTGCCATCAATAGTCAAGCAGCCTTCGATCTGCTCGGCCGAGCACAGCGGCGTCAACGTCTTGGTTCCCATATCACAGTACTGTCCCTTCGAGTCAACGAAATCTGGACCCCAGGAAGTCGCAGACTCGCAAAGCTCCTTTGCAGAGTGTTGCTCAATGCTTGAAATGATTAGCTGCTCCGTCATCCACTGTGGCCGAATCGAAACATCGCGTTTGGCCGGAGTGCCTTCCACAGGAGTGTTGTCAACTCCGTAGATGGTCGATTGACAAGCATGGTTGTTTGAGATGGTGTCGCCGGCATTCTCGCCGTAAGCTCGAGTGCGGAACTTCATCGACGCATGGGAGCCGGTTGTGTGGTCGCCATCGAACCATGTGCAACGAGGCACGTATGGGTTGCCGTCTTTGTCTTTTCCGGCCTCTTGGGTCTGTGTATACCAAGTCTCGCCGCAGAAGGAGCTATCAAGGATCGGTTGTCAGCAAACACCACTATGTGAGCATTGTGGAGGAAAGGACTTACCCAACATCACCTGTCCAGGCACCGCCAGGGCTACCATCGTGCATCTTCACCGTGATCCAAGCGACGCAAACAGCGTCATTATCGAAGGTGACATCCACGAAGTCAGCCTGTGTGTCCGGAGCACCCTGATCGACAGTGCTCGAGAATAGGCCTCCTTCTGCAACGCTGCCTCCTTTGCCCTCGCCAAGGTATTGGTTGTCAGCATCGTAGGCGTAGACCTGTCGTTGTAGTCAGCATATTAGTCTCAAAAGCATCGACTCTTTTGATAGCTATACCGCCTTGATGCCTCCACCGGCCTCAGTCAGATTGGCTGCAAGACCAGCTTTGACGCTGATGATAGCTCCGTTTGGGCCATTGTCGCCTGGAAAGTTGCTCTTGGCGAACTATTCGCAGTCAGTCGATGGAAGTAGTCTCAGTATGGAGAGTGCTTGCACTGATGATACCGAGCACGCCGCTGACCAGACCAACAGCGTTCAGGAAGTCTGTCATCTTGGAAGGTTGAGGCTGGGTTTCGAGGCTGGTGGAGGACTTGAAACTGGTGATTGATGTCTTGGATGTGCTGAGGACTGAGACATTTATTCGTGGGCTCTCATGAGGCTTATATGCAACGTTCTACAATAGTCCCTCATCTTCCTATAGTAATTTGTTCTTCCATGATCGGGTAAAAGGTAGCATTGCACTGTTACAAATCTCGTAGCGAAGCTGTTGGACCTGAAGGACAGTGAATCCTCCACCAGGCATAGCCGGCCTGCTAAAAGGAACATTGACAAACGATAGCAGCTCAAAAGCATTTTACCAACTCGCGAAGGAATCCGCGGAGGAATTTTGCCTACGCTAAGCTAATGGATTTGCCTACGCTAAGTAAAGCACACTGCCTACGCTAAATGAAGGACGCTTCCTTCGATCCACAGTGCCAGAGTCTGAGCTTGTATACATCACTCGATTCCTTGGATGCTACTCGATCTCACATCTTAAGAGCACCACAATTCCCCGCAATGTTCTCACCATAATCTCATCATCAATTCCAACCGCCCATTCCATCTTCCCCTCCCCATCACTCAATCCAAAAGATGTACCACCGCCTCCAACTCCTCATCCTCGCCATCTGTGCATGGTCAGTCCTAGCCGACGTACCAGCATGCTCCAAAGGCGGCCAAGTTGACGGCCAAAATCCCATTGGACCCTGGACCACTCGTAAGTCATCTCACACCTTGTATACAGTAATAAGCAACATTTGCTGACACCAAGAAGCCGAGAGCTGCGCGGAAAAATGTTACTTTCAGGAGACCGACAGTAGTAGCTCAAACTACCAGATGCAATGCAAAGGCAAATGTGGATATGAGGTCCCGGCTTGCGGTACTTCGGTTTGTCCGCCTGGGGCGTATACTTGCACTGGTGAGTTAGGTGTTGTCGTGTGCTGCTTGATCACGTACTAATTCGATCATCGTGGCAGCTGAGTAGAATACGAGAATTAAGTGAGGCCGGTTGTGTGCTGTTGGAGCTCAGGACTGCAGTATGGTTTGTGAACTTTGTCGTGTGGGCGACTTGGACAGTCAGAGAATGGTGATTGGCAGACTAAGATGCATTCCTTAATATTCTCGCTTCTCATATTCACATGTCTTCCGTGTCTGATCTCCTCAATCATTGTCGTCTTGTTCAACCATAAGAGATCGTTTTACCCATGTGATGGTTCGCTGACACATGGACAACCGTGATATGGATGCCGTAGAGTGGTTTGTAGTACTAGATGCCCGGTTAGCGTGTTGATCTCGGCATTAGATTGTTGACTGTTGTTGTAAAAACTGTATTACCTTTTCAGAACATGCACAGCAGTGCCGCTGCTATCAGTATCTGTATTGATAAATTCTGACGACGTAGCTCTAATTTACACTGTGGAAGAAAAGATCGGCAATCTCTTCAAAGCCCGGTGTTATTGTCTCTTGACTTTGCCTCCAGCTAAACAGCCAACAAGACCGCGACAGCTGCGGATACCATAACCGTAAGTCCCACACGACTACTCACGCTCGCAGCCCCATTGACACCCTTGTTAGACATGACAGCATTGACGCAGCCACCTTTATCACCAGGATGTTGGCCGTATTCGAGACTTGATACCAGTATGCTCTTGGCACTGAAGGGCAGCGTACTGCAAAGTCCAGCCTCATTTTCGCAGTTCCACGAGTACCAGTTGCCAGCATTCTCGTTGGTACCGTTTCCAGGGCAGCCGGGTTCGCTGAAGACGCGCAGCCATAGATTTCCAAGTCTCTCCGAATCAGTATCTTGTTGATTTGGATCCGCACGTCGTTGCGTGTAAAAGATTTGACTGTAGTTGAAGGAGTTGGGAGACCATGATGGCGCCTCACTGCCCGAGGAGTTGAGCAAGCTGTACCTCACGCCATCGAATTGCATTGCCGAAGCAGGAGGATCACTTGGTAGTGCATAAGTTATGTTTGGGTTCATGAATACTTCGTCAAGATCCATGCAGACTGGTTCATCGTAGCCACCGATGCGGACGATGATTGTGGCAGCTTCGCTTGACATGTCTGGAGAACGACCACATTCTGCCGTGCGTGGATCTGAGAACGTGATGTTCATCATTGTATTGTTCAAGACCGGCGATGGCAATCGTGGAAGCTCATCTGGGCTGTGGAACGTCAGCTCGTCCAACGTTGGTCCGACTTGGAATACTGACTTGAAAACAGCCATAGAGGAAGGCACTAGCCAGAGCGCTGCGAGAAGCACGCTATTGCCCATTATGGTTCTTCTGATGATTGGTCGGAAGGCGGAGTAAATTAATCGTTTGGCTGTTGGATATTTCCTCACGCTGTCCTCAAAGCCAGAGAACTTGAACGTGCAACAGAGATGCCAAACAATTCGGCTGCCATCATCGTTAGTTCTAGTCTGATATTTGCTAATAAGTTTGAGGTGACATCAGAAGCTGAGCGCCATGGATCGTGGGGGTAAATCCTTCCGCAGCGTTAGTCGAAGGACAGTTGCATCCGCTAGCTCACGAAGCTTCTGCGTTCTTGGCTCGCATAGCTTTGCGAGAGCGTCTGTTCCACGAACCAGGCCATCACTTGCTGGTCGATCTCCTGACTTCGTATCAATAGCCGCACACTCTTGCATGCTTTGCTTATAGCTTGGTGCCATCTAAGACTTTGTTGGCTTGGCATTTTGGAGGAGACTGTCTCGCGGAACCGACGCATGTGCAAATCTCTGTTTAGTGTTTGCTACTTGTTGGAGGCACAGCGAGGCGACAAAAGTTTAAGAGATTGCCGCTCGTGGCCGAGAGACATCGAACTGAGATAGAACATGTGCATCGCGATCAAAGTAATGAACGCGAGCGAGTTCTTAAACTTCTGAGCAGTTGCGGTGTTGAGTAGTCCTTGGCAGTGGTATGCCACAGGACTGATGTTGAAGTGCAGAATAAGAACAGTCAAGCTTAAGCAAGCCTTTTCATGTGCCAGGGCGGACAGCCGAGGACAAGCGAAGCTTATTTTAGTATTATAGCCATGCAGCCATCGTCTTCTGATGATCGATCGATGTACGCATGAAGATGCCATGCTGGAAGTGATGGATCCCACAAGGTAAACCCAACATAGAAGCCCATGCGAGTTGCTTGAGCTGCATTTACACGGCGACTATCGGATCCTTCGCCTTTGCTAATTGTGCCTCCTGGGAAGGATGCATACAAGCAGGAAGTTTGGCATCTCTGCTCGGCATGCAACAAAACGGAAGCTCCACGGAGTGCAAAGAGCATTGCTTGGATGCTTGCGATCGATGACCCAACGGAGCACTTCTTGAAGGGAAAATTGTACCAAACAGCCTTGTCCATGGCTCAAAGCGACCACATGGCATCGACAAATGCTTCGACCTCTCAAATGCAGTTATGCGAACGTGCACCAGGCCGAGCCCCGCGAGGATCTGCGTACATGGACAACAGAAGTGGCCTTACGCAATGGTCAGCGTGGGACAGTCAAGATCAGCAACATGGGCCGCAAGCAGCGTGGACGCCCTCGCAACAAACCAGTGGGCAAGTCACAACATCGGCACAAGCCTCAGCAGCGGAAAGAGCTCTGGCCAGTCTGGCGAGCTTGACAGACGCTGAGCTGCTGCAAGCTTTCCTATCCAGTCTGCAAGACACCCAGCTTGAGGGTGAGACCGGTGCCCCGAAATCGCCCCAAGCTTCATCTGAGCCCATTTGCTACGATCATGGCTGCAATGGACGCCGCTTTTCCTCCTTCGAGAACTACAGGCGGCATGTGAGGGAGAAGGACCCCGAGCGGACGGTCACATGTCTTCTGTGCGATGCGAAATTCACTCGCAAGAGCAACTTGATGCAGCATATAAGCCAGTCTCGATGCAGAGCTCTGCGAATGCTCCAGCGGCAAGATGGCTGCGATGGACGGTATTGTGCGTAACTCGGCTCTGGTTCATACTCCTGTAGAAGCAGCGGGCAGAGGGAGTGGGTGGTGCATAGCGGAAAGCTGTATTCGCGAAGCTTGAGCTGCCAGCTGTTGTAAGATTGTGCTCAGACAAGCACGGGGACCAGTTGTTCGTCCATACCATACAGCATCTGAGGAATGATGGAGGTTGTGACAAAGCTGTTCTCGATGTTCACGCCAGTTCGTGCCAGGCCCTATTCCACGGATAAGGCCTTGTTCGTGTCGTTAGCGCTACCGAATAGGCCTTATTTCATGTCGTGCTTAGCGTCTACGAATAAGGCCTTATTTATGTTTTAAGCCCCGTTTTGATGTTCGTGTAATTGTCGCTTTCCGGCCGGCAACTGTTTAGCGCTTACAGTACTGTACGCCTACCTACGTAGGGCAGCTACGCACATTGCGAAAATTAGAGTCTGCTCTATATAGTCGCTAGGACGACGTATGCTCGTAACGACGACGACGACGACGACACAGTCTCTACCTAAGTTTAAGGCGACGTATAAACTTCCGGAAACTCGACGAACTGCAAAGCCGAACACAATACAATATGCACCTCCGTATGCACCTCTGCGTCGCTTGGGTGTATTAGCTACCCTTGCTTCTATATCGCGCGTAGTATGGAAAAGGCTTTATTTTATAGAATAGGCCTTGTTCTATATAAGGCTGTTTTCGTGTCCGCATGAAACGGCACGACATCAAATAAGCCTTGTTTCGCGGAATAGCCGCTGGCACGAACTGGCGATAACATCGACGAATGATATGGAATTGATGGCAAGCCACGTCAAAATTTAGCCAGCACGACCGGCAATCCGATTGCGGAAGCACTTGCTACCCCAGGCCCCGCGTGCAGGGATCACTGCATAATCCGTGACGTCGAACTACTTCTTCACTATCGTAGACTGTCTTGTGTTCCTTGTCCACTCCCACTACACCTCCTCGCAAGCCTGAAAGGCAACAGAAAATGGCATCTGTAGAAGCTCTCCCACGAACGCACTTGCTATCTCTCCCACCCGAGGTCCGCGAGGAGATCTACCGTCTCCTTCTCTGTCCCGCAGCGAATTGCACGGTGCACTCCGACGAATATATCACGTATCGCTATGGACCCGCCCTACAGCTCCTTCTCACGAACCGGCTCATCTACATTGAAGCCCGCAAAGTCTTCCGCGACCTAAACCAATTCGTCCGCATCGAAACTCCATGGCCCGAGGCACGAAACCACGTAGCGACCGAAGGGCACGTGCCCATCATAATCGCTGACCAGAAGGCTGCAAAATTTGATAAGCATGTTATGGTGATGAGCATCGATGCCCCCCAGCATTCGAGTTTGCAATGGGATGTTCAGAAATTTGTCATCTTGGCAGACGATGTGGACAAGTTCGCGGAGATGTGGATGTATTCAGGTCTCACGCATCCTGGTCTCAACGAACACTTGCGACTGATCCTAGAATTGCGAGATCCGTATCGCCTGGAGGGCGAGGAGAAGAAAATTTCAGAAGCCTTGCAGAAGAAGTTGTTGTTGCCGTTTGGTGTGATCAAGAACTTGAATGCTGTGTCGAGGGAGGATGGGACAGTATTTACCGGAACACTATGCCCGTCTCCGAATATCGAAAAAGAGTTGAGGAAATTGCAGACCGAGCCATATCACAGTCCGGAGCATTGCCTACGGGAGGCCACGAGGCTGAAATTCGAAGGGAATGCAGAGCTGGCAAAACGCAATTTCCAGGGTGCGCTGAAGTTATACAATGATGCATGGAAAGCGATGCATATTGTGGTGAAGGGAAAGCAACGCCACATTCACGCCGATGCGTTCTTTGCGCGAGAGCTGAGGGAAGAACCGTACACTGGGAAGAATGGCCAAACGGAGCGCTTGATGCTGAGGATACAACTCGTGGCGAACACGTGTGAGGTATACCTGAGGATGAAAGAATGGTGGTTGTGTCATTTTTGGGGAATGCGGACGATCAACATGCTACGAGATGCGATACATACAGAGAATGCTGAGCTTTTGGCCCCTGAAGACGAGGCTGTGCGAGAATTTCCGGGCGCTGCTCAGATGGGAAAGATTTATTACCGAACTGCTGTTGCATCAAAAGAGCTTGGTAATGAGTATGAAGCTCGAAGACTGTTGAGGGTAGCAAGAGCCTACCTGCCGGACGATGAAGCCGTGAAGAGAGAGATTGCGGCGACAGCGCTGAGTCTTGGAGGCCCTTCGCCACATCCATGGGCACGAACTTTCGCACCGCAAAGCTGAATTCTCGCTGGGAATTTCCAGTGACTGACGTCGACCTCAATATCCCTGCTCTTGGACATTGATCGGTCCGGCACAATCTTCACATGCGACTTGCATTGATCAGGACAAGTGAGGTGACACAGGGATGCCAGGCGCAAACGAAGAGCTCACTTCTTAGTCACTCATCTCACGTGGTTCACAACCTCCAATTCGTTCCTAACATCCACCTCGACTTCTGTGCAGACGACACTGAGACCTAGGAACTTACACCATTCACCCACGCCAGTGAGGTACGGAACAGTGGCAACGGTGACGCTGCGCTAGCGCGATCACTCCGCGACGAGTTGACATCGACTTTGATTTCCAGACGCAACAACGCTACCTCAGAGCGCTTTCGTCCTACCAACACCATGTCGACAGCAGGACAAAGTGTCACTTCCACCGAGGGGCCTAGCAACTTGTCTGCCCAGCGCTCAGCATCTGATGCAACAAGTTACTCAACACCGCAATCGGAAGGATTCCGTGGACTCGAAGAGGTTCGCAAAATGTCGCGAGCCAATTTTTGTAACACTTCGTTCCGCAACGGTTTCCAAGACATCGCCTTCTCCTCATATGTCAAACGAGCTCTCGATCACCCGGAAGCACGAACGAGTCATGTCAAGGATGTTAATCTCCGAGAGTTTCTAGTGAAGAAAACAATTCAGGAAAGTCGGACCTTAAAGAGTGATCCCGAGTACGATGCCCTCCATTTCGACATTCCGCCAACGCCGCACATTGCGCCTGCAGGATATGATGAGATCCACCTCAGAAATGTTTTCAACCATGACATCGCCTTTGCAGCACTGAAGCACACCAGAGCGGAGAAGTTGATCGAAGATCACGGACTGGTGATCGAGTACTCTGTTGCTGATGCCCACTTTCTGACCATCTTCGGTCATCTTCGCACTCCATCACATGATCCAGCATTACTGGAGGGCATTTCGTCAAACACCAGCTATGAAGTCTACCACGACCTGCGAAACGGCGTCGATATTGAGACTCAATTCTTGCACTTGGGCATCGAAGGCCATCTTGACCTGGGCGCCGAGATTCCTGAATACGACTTGCCACACGTGGAGGCTTTGCATGATGTCTACAAACGACCTTATCTGGTGCGCCGCATAGAGGACTTGAATTTCATCAAGGCATGGGAGAGTCTGACGAAGTCGGATTGCATGATGTGGTATGCCAGAGATCTGAAAGCAGACAAGTCTGTTTGGGTTACGGTCTCCTTCCACGATGCGATTCGAAAGGGGGATGATGGTGACAGATTGGGCTTCACGATGGATTTGAACACTGTTACTCTTCCGTATCATTGCGATCTGGACGGTGTACGGAGAGAGGAGGCGATTGAAGCACACAGAGAGTTTGAGCGAATGAAGGCGGAGCGGGAGGCAAAGGAGCAGAAGGCGCTCGAGCGAGCGGCGAAGCTGGACGCAAAGTTGAAGGTGGAGCTCGACCGAGTAGAAAAGCGGAAGGCACGGGTTGCGGAGAAGAAGAAGGCCAAAGAAGAACGAGAGGCAGAGGCTGCGACGAAGCAGCAGACCAAGCACGAGCAGAGTTCTATTCCACCGGCTACGAAGAAGAGAAAAGTCGAAGACGAGCGAGAAGTACCGGCGGCGAAGGATCAAAAGAGCGAGCACGAGCAGAGTTTGGACTCACTAGCTGCGAAGAAGAGAAAAGCCGAAGACCAGCAAGATGCACAGGCTGCAAAGAAGCGAAAGACCGAGCATGAGCATGAGCACGAGCAGAGTCCAGACACACCAAGTGCGAAGAAGAGAAAAGCTGAAGACGAGCAAGAACCACAAACTGCGAAGAAGCAAAAGACCGAGCATGAGTCGAGCTCAGGCACACACGCTGGGACAAAGAGAAAAGCTCAGGACCACGAGATTGCACAAGCTCTGAAAAAGCAGAGGACAGAGAACAGACACAGCCCGAGTGCACAAGTCGTGCCTGGACGGCCGCAGTCTCAGCAGTCTGCGCTGAAACAACCCAGCATGGAGTAGAATCAGACCGTATGATGGAGACCGATAGCCCCCTTCCCATCCAAGAGCATTCCACAGAGTGGCGGCCCTTGTTTAGCAGCATGAGGAGCATTGATGCTCTGCCTACTCTTTGGATCCATAATGAGTAGAGAGAATTGTATAGATGCAGCACAAATCGAGAACATGTCTTGAATCATATGCAATTGAAATCTTATTCGAAGAGCTTGCTCGTTTCCCATAGTGACGAAGTCTTTCTGTTCTCCCAGGTCAGGCTCGAGTGAATTTGTAATCGGCGGCATGTGGGCATCAAATAATGCAAGTGCAGCATACGAAGGGCTACCAGAGACACATCAACCATACCCATCTCCTCTGTATCATAAACCCCACCCCCAAAACCAAACCCATCAAGCCCCATCTAAATCATAAGTTCCATCCGATGAATCTCCGAATCCTTCGTCCACCTCCTCAACCTCTTCCCATAATAATAAAGCGGAACAGTCAGTACAACCGGCAGCATAGAAACCGCAAACTGAACCATAAAAACCGTCGTCCACCCATCCCTCATCATAACATCAAAAACCCAATAACTCAAACAAAACCCCAAAACATTCTTCAAAACCGTTCCTACAACCATAATTTCTCCAGAAATAGGTTTATAACAATCAATCGCATAAGCAATCGCAATCGATGGGATAGAAGTCACAGCTAAACCCGAGAATCCGAATCCGCAGACGATGATAGCTTGCCAGGGCCAGTGCCGTTGATAGCCTACGGCGCCGACGACGTGGGAGATGATGAAGAAGCAGCAGTAAGGCAAGAGAGCTGGGAGGCGCATTTCGGCTTCGCGGATTCCGTTGTTTTTGAAGGTCATTTGGCGGGCCCAGTAGTCGGAGAGGGGGCCGGAGGTGAGGAGGCCAATGAGGCCGCCGACGAAGAAGGCGAAGTTGGAGTAGCCGACTGCTTCGGGGCTCCAGTTGTAGGCGGGGGAGCTGAAGAGGCCGGATTCGGTGAGGTTGAAGAGGAGGAGGAGGTCGGCGGGGCCGGCGAGCATGAGGGCGGACCAGAAGACGATTCTGGGGAAGGTGTTAGTGTATGGTGTAACATGAAATGCACAGCTGATACTTACGGGTTGAAGAAGACAATGATGGGCGTGGTGATGTCCCGAATGATGAAGCTCATCCATCGGCTGTCTGGTTTGGTAAAGGGTGCAAATTGGGACTTGTCAGGACGACCCTTGCGGATGTATTGTCCAGATACTGCGTCGTCGTTGCTGTTCACTTCCGAGTCGACGACCCTTCCTTGCGCTTTTGATTGATCCTCGTCGCCCTTCGGTCGCTGGGATGTGCGCGGACTCGAACGATGATACTTCGTCTCTGGGTAGCAGAAGACAAGCAGAAGAGTGACGAAAGCGGTGAGTGCGGTAGATAGCCAGAAGAAGCTGCGCCAGCCATGGTGGCTGCCAATGGTACCCGCCATGATGGGTCCGAGGAAGGCTCCCGAGAAATAGAAGGTGAAGTACGCTGCCATCCATGTACCTCGTTCATGGAGGAAGAACATATCCGCAATCGTCTGCACCATTATCGTTTCGCTGGTTGCAGCAACGATACCATTACATGCGCGAGCTGCTAGTAGACTTTGATGGCTCGAGGCAAGCGCCTGCCAAATGTTGGTGAGGACGACCAGAACGCCGAAGAAGATGGCCGTGGGTCGACGACCAAAGATGTTGGAAATCGGAACGATCAAGACATTGGCAAACCCAAGGGTGATCACGTTGAGGCCGGTAAGTAGCGAGAGTTGTTGCTGATCTAGGTGGAACTCCTGGCCCAGGAAAGGAAACAATGGCGCCAGAGAGAGGGCGGTGCAGACCAGTACCCAGACGTAGAGTAGTTGCGAAGTCGCAACAATGAGCTTCCACGTCGTACTCCAATTCAATGGATCGTTGGCGTTATTCGAAGGTTGCGGAACGAGGCTATCAAAATGTCAGCCAAGACGCTCATGGTCGTTTCGCATGTCTTTGCATACACTGAGCCTGTGTCGGCACCACCAGCATGCGCGAAATGGATGTTCCCAAAGTCTTTCATGACTTCGGTACCTGGAATGATCTCGATGTCAAGCTGCTCTGGAGCTGAACGCTCTTCCGACTTGTCTGCCATTGTCGCCATTGTGTGGGTGGAAATTGATCTTCAGTAGAATGCCGAAGCGACAGACGCGTTTCTTATATCAGGTCCAATGAGTGTAAAGAAGTCAGCAAGACTCCACGGCTCCCCCGACGGCAAAAGGCAAGCGGTCAATGAATGTCACAAGTAAGCAGCATGAGCTCAGAAGTCGGAGGAAAAGGTGCATGGGGTCGACGCGCAACGACCGAGTACATATACATGTACACAGAGGGAGCAGAGACCAACGAATGGCTGGGAAACGGCACCGAGCAGCGTTTCTCCTGTTCAAGCCGACAGTTTCTGGCAACGTCGCCGCGACCGCGAAGCAGTCGACTGTGAAGAACAGCGGTCAGCTACAACGGCTAGGCCGCCTGGGGAGCCTCATTAAATATTCCAAGTGGTCGGAAAATGCACCTGTACCAATCTGTCATAAGCGTGCATCCGACGAAGTATCTGTCATCAGTGGACGTCAGCTGCATCGTCGGGTACTACCATCTTACAGGTGGCGTAATAGGGCTCTTAATCGGATGTTTGCTCATCATGGCCAACATCACCGTTCATCGCGCGTTGAATTGACCATGATTGACAAAAGAAAAAGTGAGATGCTTAGAGTGGGCGAGCGGTTTGGCGAAGGGATGTCAACTCAGAGCAGGGAGGTTCGGAACTGTATCCGTAACGCGCCAGCAACGGCGTACGGTTTCGTCTGCAGCCCCTGACGACCGAGGCAGGACGAACGTAGAATTGAGGCCTGCTGGAAGGTATTGCTCTGGTAAGGCTGATGGAACCTGCGGCCGCTGAAGGATGCTCTGTTGCTGGACTCCAGTCTCGTTGGAGACTCCCGGATCCAGCTCCTCCATTGTCCAAGGCAGCTGCCTGAAGGCTGTGCTCCAGGTTGGCTTGAATGTCATCAGCGTGATAACGAGAAGAGGTCAATTTGAAGAGAATGACAACTTGCAGACCTTGACAGGTTGGTCATGTACTGTGCTCGTCTTTGGCGGTCGTTGAAGAAGGATGGTGTGTAGAGTGTGGAGGTTTGCAGGTCTAAGTTAGCGCCACATGGAACGGGCCTTCTGCACGTTGATCCTTGTCGACCTCACAACTCCCATGCAAACTGCTCGCTCACCTTGGCCGTTCCAACGCCACGGATGGGGTCATCGCAGCGTCACGGGCAACGTTATCGCCGTGCCTGGGCGTGTGGTTTGACACGATCTGCGATGCCATACCACCCCATTCCATCCGAGCCTCGCGGGCGTCGCACCGGCGAGTGCATGCGCTGTGCCTGCCGCCGAGCTCCGTCGCAGCAGGAGCAGGAGCAGGATGAAGAGGAGGAGGAGGAGAAGGAGGAGTGTCGTGCATGGCAGGACTGCAGTGCGCTCAACGCATGGACGGACAAGGATGGTTGAGGCAACGGCCCAGCTGTGCCATGGTTTGTGGCATGCTCGGTTCATGTAGCGACCGCGCAGGGCTCCAAAGCAAGTCTGTGGTTCAGCACGGCAGTGGTACGGTGACAGACATGCATTCCACCTCCATCATCGCCATCGATAGCTCTTTGCTCATCTTCACATCACCCTCCACGCAGGCAGGTCCTCAATAGTACTTACTCCGCCCAAGCACTCGCCCGCCGACGCCTTCCCTGTCGAGGCCGCGCGAGAACTCGCGTGACAAACAGACCACAGGTACGCCATTGATTGTTCTCAAGTCACGGTCACGGTCAAGCAATTCCTCAGCCCACCCCCGCGAGCACACGACACTTGCCTGCTACACCTGCGCCGCGAGTTGTGCCAGAGCAGTCCTGCGATTCCAATCGAGGAAGCTCTTTCCATCATCCTCAGCTTTCACCACAACACATTCTCCCTCGGACAGCTTCATCACCAGCAGCGACCTACAACTAACATGACCTCGAAGCAATCGGATAACCCCACCACTTCCCCACAATCTTCTATCGATGCCATTGTCCAGGCACCCGTAGCCAAAGTTGTCGAAGCACTCCGCCCTCTCGTCAGTCTTCGCCCGTCTTGGATTGGTCCCAAAGCTCCTGCTCGACCTGTCACCCCAGGCGCCGTCGCCATGACCATTCCCATCACCATCGAATACACATCGCCAGGTCTTCAGCCGCCTGTCTATATCGCAACGTCCCTCAGTGACCCACAATGGGAGCCAATCGAGATGGAAGGCACCAAGAACGACGGCGGCGAGTACAAGTTTTCCAAAACGTTCAATGTGCAGGAGGGCGAATATCAGTACAAGCTGCGTCTCGGTCCAGGAGACTGGTGGGTTTGTGACGAACATGAGCCACAGGTCGACGATGGCAGGGGTAACAAGAACAACCTGGTCACTGTGAAGCCTGGCCAGCCTCAACACGATCGAACGGACTCGGTACATGACCACGGCGTGCCATTGATGCCGCACGAGAGTGGCAACCAGCCTCCACCTGTTTCGCCATTGCTACAATCGGAACGCAATGCCCCTCCTGCCACTCCAGGTGTGGAGCATCAAGCGCCCTTCTTTGCACACGAAACGCTGGCACCAGCCAAGTCGGCCGAAAAACATGACGAGGAACCCGAGCATGAGCAACACAGCCCACTCCTTCCTCACGAGTCTGCCAGTCCTCTGCACGAGGCGGTATCACCTTTGTTCCATCACGAGAGCACAGCCATCGATGACCAAAAGCACGAAGATCACCCGGACAAGTCGCCTTTGCTGGGCCGTAGAAAGCACAGCGGAGACTCGATACCACAGGAAGTGAGCCAAATCATGCTTTTGGCGATACGTTGACGCTCGCATACTGACACTATCTTAGGCGGATCCCAACGAACCCGGACTTGAGCATTTCCCAACGGATCATAGGGGCATCCTTGATTCTATTGCTCGCACCAAGAAGTCGTTGGCCGAAGATCAAACGCACGATCACTCGCCCTCTCCTTCCCCTCCTGCAAAGGCTGTGAAAGCGTCTCCCAGCCCGCCTAGCTTGGCAGAGGACGCCAAGGAAGAGGAGCTGGCAGATGCGAAGAAGAAGCCTCAGGTCGCAATCGCAGAAGGAGATAACCGACCCGCAGCTCCTATCACACCACCGATGACACCCACGAAAGAAAAGCAGGCCGATCCGATCATCGAGCGCATCCAAGAGAAGGCTCAGACAATCAAGGAGACAGTGCAGGCAGCGGCAGGACAGGCTGCCGAGAAAGTTGACAAGACGAACTACTCCGCAATGTATGTGATTCTGCCAGCGCTGACATCTGCAATTTACTGACCTGATCTTAGCCTCACTGGATCGATGTTCGCGTTCGCAGTCGCTCTCACCGCAGTCGGGCTTTGGTTTTTCTCGGAAGGCGGCAAGCCTCTCGACATCATCGACTCATAAACATTGGCAAGAGGGGCGATCATACAATAACACGGCAGCACAACCACTCCTATTCCATCGAGCATTGACCCGTAGTGCTTGATTGATTGGGCTGGTAAAATGAATGATTAACGATGATGGCGTGACGAGACATGAAAATGTGGAATGACCAATTGGGCATGGGCAGGTCCTAGTATTGAGCACGGAGTACGCATTGTATTGGAGTAGGCTGTAGCGTACAATTCTACACTTCTTCTGCGCTTTTTTCTTCGAGAGATCATACACTCTTCGCAACAGCTCAAGAGTCATCTGTTCGGGGACGAAATCAAGGGCTATGTGCAGTGTGGCTGCTGTCAAGGTTTGGCACAGCAGTCTCAGGCCTGCATCGATGATGTCCACTTCATGGGGCATCGCTTTGCAAAACAGCTCGAGCATGATAAATGTGGCTGTTGCACATGGTTCCCGCACGGCGATCGCACGCAGGATGCATTCACGTTCCCGCTCCGACACGTGAGTGGTGGCTGCTAGCGTTCCCCATTTAGCGTCGAAGCTTCATCATGGACTCTCTCTGGAGGAAGCGCAAACCATCGACACGTCTCCTCGAAACACATGCACATATTGTTTGCGCAAAGTTCTTGACAAACCGCAATCGTCACCATCCCGGTCCCGCAGCGGCTCTGCTTGCCACGAGTTTCGTGTGCCAAACTCTGAACCTCCCGTCTCGTCATATTTTGGGGGCCACTTCGAACGATCGGCGAGCACACTCCTTGCACTCTGGACAGCGACCACGCGATTTGCGTGAAGAGTAGAGCGCATACTATCATCGAATTATTCGCGAATCTAGCTACTGTAACCGCGACAATTGTCCCCAGTGGACTCGACACCGAGTACATCCCCGCAACACGACTCGGCCTTTCTCCCCTGCAACGTCGATAAGTGCATAAACCAGTGCGAGCATACTGTACCGACGAAGAATAGATCCAAGAGCCTGGGAAAGCGCAGCTGTGGCGTAGTATACTTCAGCGCACCACGGCGCCGGCCGTGTGGCCACGGTAGTAGAAGGGAAGGAGAAGCCACGAGTACACTACGTGGCCAGGAGTTGAGGCAGGAGGAATCGTTGAACTCAGGACAGAGCGTTCTGCGGCCAGCGTGCCAGAGGTTGCGCTGTACGCAGCCAAGTCGGATGCGGTCTCCATCTTGCGATGGATCCGCAAAGCCAGTCTTTTACCCCGTCGTTCAACATCAATAACAACGGCAATACTACGGGCATCATTGGCGGTAGCAACGGTGATCACTGGAGGGTTCAAAACGATCTGCTCCGTGTACAGCAAATCCAGGCGGAACACGCCGAGAGGATAGCGAGGCTGGAGAGGAAACAGGACGACGATGCTCGGATGAAGAGCGTATGGGGGAACCAGTCGCCTTTTCCGAGTGTGCTGAGTGGGACGCCGCAACACGGTAGGTTCTCCATATGCCTACTGCGGGCTGTGATAGGCATGGACTGACGACTTTGCAGGGCCGCTCCAGCAACCTGCTGCAGATCGTTTCGCAGGTTTCGACGACGAGGCCAACAACCTCATGAGCAGCCTCCACTTGGATGCCGAAGAGGAGCCTCGAAGCAGAGCCCTGGGCGCTACTTCGAGGGCGAACAGTGTACGATTCGATGAGAGCGCGAATCAGAACCACTTTTCGCATTCTTCGAGGCCTTCTATGGATTTCTTCTCTAGGACAGGGAGCGGATTAGGAGGATTGCAGATGACCGAGCGGACTTCGTCACATAAGTCGGAAGGACGTGCCAGCTCGGTGCACTCAATGCGCTCTGCAGCTTCCGGTCGTGCAAGTAGCCTCAACTTGGATACTGCTGCTTATGGACTGGATTCTGCACGATCGCCCTCTGAAGCACCAGGCCTGGCTCCGGGGCTTCTACTGTTAGGCGCTGTTCCTGCTATCATACGGTGTTGGATGAACACGAACTTCAAGCATGATGCTTTGCTCTATGCTGCAGTGTGTACAGGATCATACAAATCATTTCTGGATTTGCGACTCATTCAAAAGTTGGGATTCGAGGATGTCATCGTTGCTCATGAGGAAGGCTATCGGACAGTGGAGCTACCTATCTACTTTCCAGAGGCTGTGCCTCACCCTGCTTCTTCCAGGTCGAGCAGTCCTGCGCCACAGCTACCTTCGCTCCGGGTCGACTTTCGCGTGATCGAACAAGTGACACAAGACGACAACGACAAGTCAATACAGATCTTCATCGGAAGCGATGTTCTTCGTGCACACAACGCGGATATTCTATTCTCATCCAACAGCATGACACTGTATGATGACGAGCGAAGTAAGCTGAGCATACCACTGTCACGGCCCGAAAACGAAGCCGCCTTCAATTCACTGCATGTTCTCAGCGGATCGCTACCCGGAGCCGGCGTGAACGCTTCAAAAGCACGAGTTGTGACACCTGAGCGGCCCCCGTACCTCAATGGGCTGGGGCGTGGTAGCAGCACGGCTTCTGTGTCGTCCGCGGCAGCGAGTCCGCCGCCCGGCAAATACAGACCTCCCGGCATTGTAGCAGCCGAAACAGGCGCCACGGACTTGACCAAATCTGGCACAACTGGCTCCGACTCAGATTCGCGCCCTGGCCTTCCTGCTCGCCCTTCCTTGGCGATGCTTAACACCAAGACTGATCGAGAAGATCCGTCTTCAGACTCAGGCGGCACTTCGACGACTACTGGCAAATCTACTGTGGCTACTCCTGCCATCTGGAGCAGTTGGCGCCGTGATGGGTCGACTTCAGCTTCGGCCGCTCCCTCGTCATCAGCCGGTGGGTCCCTCGACTGGGCCAACGCAGGTAAGAACCGCGAGCTCGTATACCAACGCAAAGACACAGGCATCAAAGTCTTGAAACCGAAGACCGCATCGAGGACGGTATCTGCTGCCAATGCCCCTATCCCGTCGTCTTCTTCCGGCACAGCGAGTCCTGCACCTGTCACTGAGAGCAGTAAGAGCCGCTTCTTTGACGAAGGCAGACGGATCAGCACTGCCATTGGTAATGAGAGACTCACGAGGGAGAATACGAAGGAGAACTCGGGCGCTTTGGCGACGCCCACGACGCCTGGAGGGAGTACGGTGAAGACGAAAGCGAATCCTATAGGAGGGGCTTCGGCTTTTTCTTGGTTGGGGAAGTAGGTGTGCTTGTTGAACATCCATTGTCCGGACGGTTCAGCTGTGTGTATGGGTTCTTTGGAAGCGTACGTATGTTGACAGCTCGCTTTGCTAGTCGCACGTTTGGCAGCTGTTGGAATGCATGATGACAGTCCTGCAGTGGGAATCTTCCTCTCGTTGCGTGTTGGGTTTGGAGAATGAGAGTATGCTCAGGGCTTCACATTCATGCTGACGTGCTGTGGTAGGATGTGTGTTCGAATTGTATCTTTGACGAATGATGGTCGCTCTCATTACCCATCCATCGTCATCGATCACCATAACACTCATTCCCCTCGTTTAGACACACGGCTGACAGAATTTCCTCGATCCTCCGTCGCCATCGTCGTGCGAAAGCTTGCCCTGGCAGCTGGAGACAGTTGAAATTGAACTCGAACCTTACGATTTCGTGCCTGCGTCTCTTCGCTGCAGGAATTGGCACTTATTGGTTCGTTCGCTCTGAAGCTGGGATATTGCCCAACAGTCTACAGGCATCAAGCTCTTCACGGAAGAGTTTAACAAGCATTAAGCTTCTTTGATGTGGTTCGTGCCAACATGGGGGATTTCCGCTTTGGGGAAGCACGGACTGCGTTCCGTGGACTTCATTCGTTTCTTGAGCAGGGCTTATAGATGAGTATTTGGGAGTGAGTTTTGACGTGGACCATGGTATCGCGGTGGGTGATGAGGTGGTCCCGGTGCAGGACGGTCATTTGTTGGTCTGCTCGTGGTCAGAGGTGAGGAGATTTCGAGAAGGATTGGTTTGTTGTTGGATCTGCTCGCCATCGAATCCTTGGGGAAATTCGTTCAGGAGCCGAGGATGCTGTGGATCGATGGGCGTGGTTAACATGGTTGGCAGGTTGTGCGAGGGCGTAATCAAGGAGTTGAGCTTTGCGCACTGATGAGCTGGCCTGGGAGGTATAATTGCATGCTCGCGCACATTATTCTTTCTGCTGCTGACGACTTACGCCGACAACTCCGAGACGGCTCAGACGCCCGAGTCCAAACACCACTCAAGAGAGAGCGAGCTTGAATCAAGACATCTCAGAAGAGCCGCGCTGTCGACAGATAGCCGACGGAAACTACAGCGACCATGTTTTCCCTAAGCTGGACCTCACTCACTTACTTCCTCCTCGCCATCACAACCTTCACCTCTGCGCTCCCCGCCCAAGGAGACCATCAAGAACACCAAGACAAGCAAGACAAAAACGAGAAATCTGCCGTCAAAACCGTCTCCGATGACCTCCAAAGACTCAACAACGACGTGACCAACCTTTACTATGCCCTCCTCGCCTTTGATGGCTTCGACCTCCTAAGCGCCTCAACCAAAGGCCCCCCAATTCAAGCAGCCAACGACCAACTCCTCTACGACCTCCAAATCGCCACCCAAAACGCCTTCTACAACCCAATCGGACTCACAGAAGCCCTCACAATCCAATCCTTCGTGCAAAACAATTTGGCACCCAATATCGCCGCCACAAACCAACTTCTCATTTCTAAGAAGGGAAATTTCGATACGACTGGATTGTCTGCGGTGGTGTTGGACAATTTGGGAAAATTGTATCAGGCAACGCAGGCGTATGGGCAGGCTTTGCAACAAGCTAATCCGGGCATTGTGGCACAGGGTGTTCAGCAGTCTTTGCCGCAGCTTACGGGGCCGGTGGTGCAGGCTTATCAGGCTTTCCAGGATAGTAGTTCGTTTTCGTTTGCGAATGGGGCTGGGTTCCCGCCGCCGAGGGGTTGAGGGGTGATGGCTGGAGAGTGGACAGTCTGGAGAGGAGAGGGAAAAGGGAGGAGAGAGGTAGATGTCATGGTGTGTTGAAGTTGGGGTTCGAGAGCGAGAGAGAGAGAGGGAACGGCGGCTGGTGTATTGTAGATGAGATCTTCTTTGTTATCTAAAGTATAAGAATTGTTCGACTGGGTCGATACTGCTGATGTTGGTTCACTACTCTGGCCCTAGATTGTCGCTTCCCCAACTCATTGGTAACCTCTTCCACCATCGCCATTGATGTTCACACTTTCTTTAGATCAAAAAGTCCGTGCAAGGTCAGCCAGACTCTAGAGAACGTCTGGTCGGCCTGCTCTCGCTTTGCCAACTCATGTAGCTGCCACGAGCGCAGAAGCCAAATCGCCACTGCTCCAGCGAGGAAAGTGCAAGCCGTGAAGACTTGGGCGCTGACATATCCGCTCGCCGAGACCAATTCCAATGCCACTCCTTCGCCAAATGTGGCTGGGAGTACAAGTGGCAAGCAGATCATACCAAATGTGCTGGGCAGTCTCTGCAGACCAGTCACCTCAGCGGTGACCGGCACCACAGTTCCCCAGAAGGTTCCCGCCACGGTCCCACCTAAGATCGCGAAGAGTATGAGCACCCCGTAAGATTTGGCTGGAATCCAGATTCCAAGGCAGAGGATCCCACAAAGCGCGGTCATGCCCGTGGCAACATTAATGCGTCCAAAAACATCCGAGATCCATCCCACCAACGGCCTTCCAAAGCCCAACCCCAAACTCAGCATTGCTCCCACCACAGCACCCTGCTGACTCGAAAGCCCAATCGTCTGCGCATAATTCGGCAACGAATACAACAAGACCACAAATCCCAATTCCGTCATGAACCCCCAAGTGATCAACAACCACGTCTCCACCCTCGCATACTCCCTCACATCAAAAGCCTTGGTGCTCGGTCTGACAAGTCGATTCCGATCTTTCAACAAAATCGCACTCGTCAAATTCGTCACCAGCGTAGCAATCGCCAAAATGCGATACGTCCACCTCCAACCCAAAGTCTCCAGACCGGCTCCAGCACCCAAATTATACGCCAAACCTCCAAACCCCGATCCCGCAGATGCAAGTCCCATAGCCAAGCTCCGGCGTTTCGAGAACCATTGTGGTAGAATAGCAGCAGCGGTGATGTATAAACATCCCATTCCCCATCCGAAACATACTCCTTGGCTAAGAAACAGTTGCCAAACTTCCGTTGCGAACGAGGAAGTCAGCATCGAAGCGGAAAGCAAAAACGTCCCGATCAGAAGTGTAGTTCTTGTACCGAATTTCTCGTTCGAAAGGGCCACGAGGGGTGTAACCATTAAAGCCTGAGAGATGGAGAGACCTCCTATAAGAGCATATTCCAAATGTGTCGCGGAGCGAAATGTTGAGACTCGCAGGAAATATGCCAGAAAAACACCCCATGCGGCGTTGACGCCCCAGGTGTGAGCGTTGATGAGGCAGACGCAGAGGGTACAGATCCAGCCTGCGATGTGAATTATCAGTAAGTACGTTTCATCCACTCACTCGTTTGTGAGCAGAAGAAGATGAGTAGACAAACTCACCGTACCCCCCATCAGGCGGAACATCCTCTCGCAACGCAAAATTCCCCTCCGTTTGCCTCGAGGCAAAAGCTTGCAATTCGACATCTTCCTCTTCCTCCGCGCGGCTACTCGTCCTCGAATGCGCTCGGCTCACATTCTCAGACCAAGTCATCGGAGCCGCGATCTCAGCCGGCGTTTGAGGTTCATGCGCTTGTGCTTGAGTCTGTGAAGTCGTCACTTCGTCGCCGATCGACGACCTTGCCATTTCGATTTCAGTTCTTGTTTCGCGTTCGTTCTGCATCTTCATCGCGTTATCTCTATTCGTCCCTGCTTCGCCTTCAACCATGATCTTCCACAATAAAAAGTCTTCGTCGCAAAAGAGATCTATGCATAGACGCCGCTACAATATTCGTACTTGTTATCTTCGTCACTGTAGAAGAAAATCTGTTGTCAAGAAAGTGAAGTGAGTTGGCGGGAGTCATAGCCGCTATTTTATCGTCATGTGCTAGTAATGAAGAAAGGCTTGATGAAAGGGCGCAAGGCGTGCAGCAGTGTTGTCCGGGCCGGCGTCAACTGACGGTACAGAGCTCTGCCGAATAGCATTGGCGCTCCATTCTCCAGTTTTGTGCTGTCACAGTCGTTGAGAGTTCCGCTAGCTTTTCTCGGAAACAGAATCCATTCCCGCGTCTGCAGTACTGCAAACATTTCACTATGCATTCGCCATCTCAGCCCAACACAAGTAGGTGACATGTCGCGACAAGGGTGTGAGAAACTCAAAGCTTGAGTAAGTGAGTGAAGTCAACAGCCGTGCCATTTCATATTCCATGCTACGTCTACTTCGAGATTCGTGAATGCCATGCATCATATAACCGTAGGAGATAACAAGGGCTCCGTGACCCTCATTGTTTAGATGCCTGTCTGCATCTCACATGCAATTTCGATCGCTTTCATCCATATATCTTCCAACTGCCTTCGTAAAGTGATAAGAGAACGAAATTGGCAACATCTTCCAGAAGACAGATTTGTCAAGATCGTGATCCGTGAAATCTTCAACCCATTATCGAAAAGAAAAAATTGAAACGGAAAAAGTGGGAGAGCAAAGTCCATCCCAGTTCGGTGCGCTGAATGGTATCGTCGCAACGACATGTTGAGTCAACGCCTGGTAAGATGCAAGGTGGTACAAGGTCGTAGCTCCGGTAGGATAAGTTCAATGCGCTTGGTCCGGTAGCTCAAGAAAGGATAAATAAGAAACTGTGCTTTTCGTTCCGGTTCGTTTGTGTGTATTGCGGCCGTTATCGATGACTCGTGAGCACGTTGGGCATAGTCGAGTGCCGTCATGTTCTTCGTAATCGTTGAAATTGTAACACAGTCGGGGTTGATCAGGGGGGTGCCTAGTTCGCTTTGATAACAAGCTTGCTGAGGAACTTGTTGCTGAGGCAGTCAAAGTCGTCGCGGTTGAATGTAGCCGACTGTGCGCGCTCCCTGAGGTACTTTTCTGCACAACTGTTAGTGTCGAATAAGAGGACGGATCAGTGCAAAACTTACCATGTTTGTTGATGTGCCCGCGCACTTCGGTCAATGCATCACACACGGCCGGATTTGAGCCAAGCAACTGGTGGTGCTTCTTGGTGTCCCACTCCTGGAGGCCAGGCAGCTTTGTGGAGATGGCTGCGAAGAGACCAACAATCACACCAACAGGTGTGGTCTCCATATCGTCGCAGAATTTCTGCACAGCCTTCTCGTCTGGCACGCGGTAGTGACAGTCGAATTGCATCTCCTCCCAGATAGCAAGCAGGATGGTGGCCAGCATGAAGATTGTTGGCCAGTTCTTGAGCTTGTCACCAGAGTATACTGATGAGTAGAGAGCAGAAAGTTCCTCCAGAATGTCCTTTTGGAGTTCGCGCCACATGTCAGCAAGCGCGCACTTGACCTGGAAGTTGATCATCACGGGCGCGATGGTCTGCCCGTAGAACTTTGAGTGTGTGTCGTTGATCTTGCCAACGAACTGTTCCTCTTCTGAGAGACCAGTGACCATTGTGACATGTAACGTCAGGTTGTACGCCAGGACAAGCTTGAGAGCCTTTCGTATCGATGGCGTCTTCTCCTTGCGATAGTATCGGTAGCAAGTGATCAAGATCTCCGTCAGAAACTTGGTACCCTCGAAGTATTCATGCACGAACTCCTCAAAGCCCTCGTCGAGATGGCGATCAAGGTATTCTGACAGCATGGCAGTGCTGACGCCCTCCATACCGGCGCACAGCTTGGCAGTCGTAAGCTCAAATTCTTCAGGATCTTTGCTCTCGGTGGTCTCAACCCAGTCCATGCCAAAGCATTGATCGTCCTTGACGTAGACCTCGCGCGCATTGATGGGTAGGTAGTGGCCATAACCGTGGGTGATGTACAACACACGCTCATAAGAGCTGTAGCCCTTGACGTTGCCAACGCTGAAGCCGAGTGAAACATGACGATCGTAGTCTGCCTTCCAGTCTTTCATGAAATAGCCAATGTCCTTGATGTCCATGCGCGTGCACGGCACTTGCCACAAGCGGGCATGACTTGGTCGACAACCGCCACATGGCTCACCCTTGTCGCAAGTCTTTTTCAAGAACTTGCATCGCAAGCACGCACGGAGTTTGCGGATCTCGTGTGCTTGCAAGCGCTGGTCAGGTCGAAGAGGACCGCGTCTGCGGCCGACCTTCTTCTCGCCAGTAGCGGCATCGCGGCGCGTAATAGTCGTAGGCGAGTTCTTCTTGATGACTGCCTTTGTCGTCTTGGCCTCGAGGGGAGATTTGCGACGTCGAAGCGGTGGCGACACTGGACCAGATGAAGCGGGCGAGGTCGATGATGACCCTGATGACTGGTAAGACACGACGTTGTGTGGGCTGACAGCGGTAGACGGGCCAGAGGCAGACGGTGATGTGTGCTGATGTTGGTGCATGGCCATGTTGTGAGCGTTTTGTTGGTAGGCAGCATACTGTGCGTCGAGATAGTCTTGGCCGTGGAGGTCGTGTGGCGAATGCATGGGCCATGGGGCGATTTCCTCGTAGCTACCAGACAACTCTGCAGAGTGAGGCCCATCAGACGACGATGAATCTGAACTCGTGCGAATGTGCAGGTTTTGGCTGGGGTTCGAGACTGTGCCGAATGAGTCTAACGACGCGCGGTGGCTGTGATAGTTCACCATCGACCAGCCCTCGTTATCTGACAGCGACTGCACTTCCAGAATGGTGCCAGTCGGTGAGCTTCCAGGCAGACTTGAGTGTATTGAGTCGGAGGCATTTTGGGTATGCTGGGTGTGTTGCTGGAGGGCGGCCTGGTTCAATGCCATGGGAAACATCATGCCTTGCGAGTAGTCCTCAAGCGGATACACGAGAGCGTTCATCGACTCCATCGGGCCAGCCATGGTCATATAGTTCGTCGGGTCCATCCCAGCAGTGACGGCGTAGGTTCCGACAGTCGTTGCAGGCATGAAGTCGACCGGCGACGCCTGCAGCGATGTCCCGAATGAGGCCGGGTTGTAGGCGGTCATGTCGTTAAATGCCGGAGCGGTGTGGGCGGCGAATTGGGGCTGCTGCTGGGCAGACTGTGGGAATTGATACTGCCAGTTCGTGTCGGACATGATGCCCGAGTAATCGAGATCGAGGCCATGGGAGCCGAGATTCAGCGGTTGATTGCTGTGATTGCTGCTCGGACGACTCGTCTGGGACTTTTGGTCTTGACTCGAGGAAGCGGCCATATACGGCTGCTGCTGTTGCGGGTACTGAGCCTGCGCCTGCGCCTGCTGGTTGTGCTGCTGCTGTTGATGCTGCATCGCGACTTCCTGCGCGTACCGTTGTTGCTGCTCTAGGCTCACGAGTTGCTGCTGCGTGGGCCAGAAGGACTGCGGTTGTGGGTTCGACGCGGGAACGAACGGCGGG